AAAGATTGGTTACTTGATACTTTGTACACATTTAAACAAAACATTCCATTGTCTCATTTAAAAGTGTACTGTCTCTCAAAGTCTTGCGTAAGCATTTTAAATTTACTAAATATCTCTCCCGTGAAATATTTAGTACTTTTCACGTAGAAGTCACAAGATTACCGTTTAACAGTCATTGTTTCTAAAATTACGTGTTCGTTAGAAAACCAGAGATTTGCATATATCAAAATCCATCTTAGTAGTTCGATTTATTTTATTTCTTCTGGTTCTTTGTGAATAAGTTGCATCAGTTGACTCTGATGATTAAACCACATTGCGAGCAATCCAGTAAAGTATTAGTCACTGAAAATTGATGTCTGGTTTCTTATAAAACAAGAACCTTGTTTTCATAATTTTTCTTATACGTAGGTTTGCTTATTCTAAATACATCATGAACAACTTGACGATTCTTCAGTACGTCATACAAAATAATAAACTAACAAACTAAACAAAACCAAGATTAAGCTTTGAATGGAAATATAACACAATTTTGTGAAATAATAATAAATATTTAAGCATATGTGAGCTGAATAACAAACCGAAACGTCTTTGAGGCAGGGGACACTTTGTGAAAACAAAAGTCATGGGATCTCTGCCAATAGTTTTATCTAGAACGAGAAATAAACATGCATTTTCATAATGGTATACCAATACCAAATAAATGATGAAAGTTTTCTAACGGACTTACAGAACAACAAACTTGCATTCAAATTATTTTTACTCAGTAAAATGAAAGACGTCTAAAATATGCGACCACATAACCATGACAATAATCTACTCGTTGTGGGTCTTATGAGGTGGAATGATGTTCAAAAATCACTGAACCTCTGGTGAATTTGATATTTTAAATATCAGTCTGACACGTTTAAAACAATCATGAGTTCCATTAAAGTATTTTACGGAGGTAACACTACAATGCATAACTTAACTCAACTAGCGTCAAGTAGTTTTCTTAAAGAAAATCAGCTTCTGCAGCCATTTGACAAACAACCATTTCTCAGCACACATGCAAACTTATGAGTTTTTCACAACATTGATTCCCTCCACTTATCTTGACAGAGAAAAACAGACAATGCTGACAGAATACAGTGAATTTACCATATTTTGTTGCTTTTTCACTAGCTACACATTAGTTCATAGCTTTGATCACTTCCAAATGTGAATATATTTGGAAACTGCGGAATCCCATGTCTATCAGAAAAAATCATCTTGCATAAAAAGTCAGGTTGTGTTGTAGTTTTAGTTAATGTTTTGGAGAGTCTGCCTGATTAATTTCAGTAAGACATCTTGGATATTGGTGGGGGGAGGGTCATAATTTCATTGCTCAATTTATTAAGTACAGGTCATTTAAAAAGTGGGGAAAATTTAAATCTGAGTTGAAGAAACCGTTATTTGCATTATTCATATACTAAGGTGGGGTTTCAGTAGTTCCAGAGAGGCTAGTTAAAGCCCATCCTTGTTTCTAAGTATTTCGTCGAGTATTATCTGAAGCCCTTCATAAATAGCAGTATGTATCGACTTTAATGTATGACCAGTAACGTCGAGTATTTATGCATCTCTAGTCAAATTCTGTCGTTGACGAAATTGATAAGGAATTTATTTTGGGATAACCCTCGATCCCTATCAACGTTTATCCAAGTTAGTAGGACTTCTGAAGGACATGTTATTTATTTCATTGACGAATTTCTGTCTACTGTCCTTACAGTATGGAAAAGTTTTCGTACAGGTGACTCACCTCACTAAACTAAGACTGTAGTATGTGTGAGTTTACAGATATGAACCTGTGAACTTCACTTGAATACTACAAAAAGTCAGCGTGGTCTTGTAGTTCAAGCAGATTTTTGAAATAGCACCTGGTGCTGTACAGAAACTGTGAAGTGTTGAGCAAAAACACAGACTTTCTGGAGTTATTATGTTTCCTCACTGAAGACAATGATGATATATAACTATAAACACCGTATTTATTCAATTGATTGATCTTGTTGTCTGAGTTAGTCTTATATTGATACCATCGATAACCTTTTAAGTTTGAGAAGTTTGATTTCTTCCTTTGAGGACCCATAATTCTGCTGCGTCTTATCGTGGTCGCCGCCTGAGGGGAGTAAATCGGTTTAATTGAGAAATGTCAAAGACTTTTCTCATATATATATATATATATATATATATAGAGAGAGAGAGAGAGAGAGAGAGAGACTACAGACTTTTGTTTACTTGGTGATTTTACTGCATTTTGGTGAAATATCTTGCTGTTGTATCGGATATTTGGACTCATACAGTTTTTCTTGAGATTTCCGTTCATTTTATCGTTGTTTAGGGTTAGGCAACTTTCAGTCTTTTCAGAAATTTCTCGGTAGACGAACAATCGGCTGAGAGTAGTTGGTAATATGAAAATTACAAAAAATATTGAGGCATAAGAAACTCAATATGGGTCGTGGTTCGGACATGTATACTTCAAACATGCTTGTGTTGGAAAGAAAACACTGATAATTTTTGCACAGCATTTCGTTGGACAGTATTATCATTTATTTGTTCCTTCTCTCTGTTTTGTGTTTTCTCTAGGTCTTCTTTTAACTATACGTTATATTTTTCAGTCTTCTTTCTCGGGGTATTTGTTATCTGCTCCTGGTTAAATATTCCCTTTTTATTACTAAATTTACTGTTGTATATTGCCGGGCCATTGACAATAAAGTCATGCGTGACTAAACTCGTGATCGCGGCGTGGTTCAGTATATGACTGTTAACCTTTGATTGTCCGCTTATAAAAGTTGCTGGAACCCTTGCAGATAGATATTTGTTCCCATCTTTTTAGGAATATTTTTGTTGGTTCTCGGGTATCCGATTCTTGTTTATTAACTATTCCTTTTGTTGTTTAGGACGTTAGTCTGTGTTAGCATAGGCTGAATCGTTTGAGATATAATGTAATTTTAATATAATTTATTCTCTTAAATTAGAACCGTTTAAATTGAGCACATAGTTGTTGGTTTAATATAATTTAATACAAGTCATTCAAAAACGCTTCGTACGCTATACAGAAGAATATAGTCTGGTCTAATTGAATAGACGTTGGTTCGTCAGTTCTGTGTTTAAACTGAATATTATCATTTCGGTTGTTACACACATCTTCAATATAAATAAATAACCGAAAGAAACAATATAGAATATATTTTAGTACAATCAAAATCATAATAGATCTGAATATGTCAATGTTAAGATATTCTTTATCAAGGTGAATTTATATGATCTGCCATTGTATCGATTTGTACGTCAAAGTATTACTTACTTACTTATTTACTTACGCCTGTTACTCCTCGTGAAGAAACATAGGTCGCTCACCAACATTCTCCATCCAACCCTGTCCTGGGCAATCCTTTCCAGGTCTTTCCAGTTGTTATTCATTCTTTTCATATCTGCTCCCATTTCGTGACGTAATGTGTTCTTTGACCTTTTTCTTTACTGCTTCCCTTCAGGATTCCGTGTTAGGGCTTGCCTTGTAATGCAGTCTGGTGATTTTCGTAATGTATATACTATCCAACTCTAACTTCTTTTCCTAATTTCCTCTTCAGCTGGAAACTGGTTTGTTCTCTCCCACAGTAGACTTTTGCTGATGGTATCTGGTCAATTGATGTCAAGTATCTTGCGTAGACAACTATTTATAAGTGCTTATACCTTCTTGATGGTGGTTGTTGTAGTTCTCCCAGTTTCAGTTCCGTACAGTAGAACTGTTTTGACGTTCATATTGAAGATTGTGACTTTGATATTGGTTGAAAGTTGTTTTGAGTTCTATAAGTTCTTCAATTGTAGGAATGAGGCCCTTACTTTGTCAATTCTTGCCTTTACATCTGCATATGATCCTCCTTGTTTATCGATGATGCTTCCCAGGTACGTGAAGGATTCCATATCTTCCAGAGTTTTGCCATCAAGTGTGATTGAGTTGGTGTTCTCCGTGTTGTATTTGAGGATCTTACATTTTCCTTTATGTATATTGAGGCCTACTGATGCAGAGAGTGCAGTTAGACTAGCTGTCTTTATCTGCATATGTTCGTGTGTGTGCGATAGGAGGGTTAGGTCATCTGAGAATTCCAAATATTTTAATTGGTCCTGAGCTGTTCATTGTATGCCGCGGTTTCCCTCAGATGTTTTCATAATCCAGTCGACCACCAGAAGAAAGAAGAAGGTTGAGAGTAGACAGCCTTATCTGACTCCGGTCTTTACTTGAAATGCATCTTTTAGCTTTCCTCAATGCAGAGTATGGGCATGAAAAATGTGTGCAGTTGTAAATTTAAGTAGTGGGGTTTAAATTAGTGTGTGTGTGTGTGTAGATTGTGTGGATAACAAACGAGACCAAATGTGATTGTTTCGATAACTAGTTCAGGTTGGATGAATATTTAATGTTTTCTTCCTATTGAGGGCATAAGAATTAAACATTATGTGAGATGCCTCAGCTACTCTCATCACTCTATAGTTGGAAAAGCCTTTCTGAATCATTTTGATATGTTTAATATGGATTTGATGATTATTGAAGATAGCATGTACTGCTATTGATGATTTAACCTGTAAACTTTCTAATTCTAAAAGATTATTGTAAAGTCTTTTTGTGTAATTTAACTGTTCCTTAGCTCGAGTTCATTATCTTTTGATGCATATCAGACTTGATCTGTTAATTGAATGGGAAAATAAGAATCACTGTCAATTATGATTGATTTCATTCAGGTCTGAGAACCATACAGTAAATACTTGATTTACACAATGTCAATCATATGTTTCAGACTTGACAGTTCCTTTGCTTCCACATCAATCATTCAGTATTCTTGTTCTCTTTACTTCAACTTTCTTAACCTTCTCTACCTCCAGATATTTCATTTTTGATTGATGATCTATACTACTTATATCTGTCGATATCAGTAGCATACGTCACAAAATAAGTAAGCGTGTATATGTGAGTTTTCGACTAAACTGGATAGATGAACTTTGATTTCTTAAGTGATATTCAGTATGTTATTGAATATGTTCAAGGAGATTCAATGATTGCCACCTATTCAAATGCATGATATCATCAAGTTTATTCATCTTTAAATCAATTGTGACTGACAAGAGATATAAAGGTGAAACTATAATTTATGAACGACCTTTGAGTGACGCTAAACTGACCTTGAGGATGTCCACCTAATAACTAGGACCAAGTGAGGAATTTGAATTAGGATTTACAGTTGATGATTAAGGTTAGAAATTAGATTTAGGGTTTTCATCATAAACTGATATCAGCTATAATACCAAGACTCTATTTAGCCGAATGGGTGAATGAGTTTCGCGCCAAAATCCGAGACCTGTTATCTTATAAGTGATTGGTTCATCCATAAATTATAGTCTTGAAAATCTTTTCTTTAAAATGATTTTTTTTGTTTTCCGCAATTTCGATTATATTGGAAGTCTGATCAGTCCTAATGGGTTGATATGTGACGAAATCTCTATGGGAATTTAGAAAGCTGGTTTGGCTTTTGTCAACTTACATCACCTGTGGAGATGGCGAGATATCCGTCTATCAATTAAGAGATAAGTATACTGCACAGTAGCTCGATCTGTTCTACATTACGGCTGCGAAACGAGGCCATTAAAAGTAGAAGGTATTCGTAAGCTACTAGTATTTGGTCATAGATGTCTTAGAAATATTGCTCGCATCATCTGGGATCAGCAGGTAAGTAATAGTGAGGTTAGATGCCAGGGTATTAGAGAATGATGGTAAGTCAGTTGATGAGCTTGTGAATCTTCATCGACTGATGTGGTTAGGCCACGTGTTACGTATGCCTGAACACCGATTACCACGACGTACAATGTTGACTAGTGTTGGGTATGGTTGGAAGAAAGTTAGGGACGGTCAATCCAAAACATGGCATCAGTGCTTGAAGTCACTAACTTCTAGTCTTAGCCATGTTAGTAGATGCGGACTACTTGGTTTGGGTCCGTGTGACTATCGTAACCAATGTTTGAAGACTCTTGGTGACATGGCTCAGAATCGATCATACGCTCTGTCTTCCTTTAAACTAAGAGATTAAAATCGCTTCATATCCTTCTTTCTACGAACTGACTCTTTCTTCCTATACTACATCCTTATACACAATCTTTCTTTTATATATTACTACCATTGAATGAACTGCTTCTATGAATCCTCTGTTCGTCTTGTTTTGCTAATGAGGTATGGCAACTTGAACCTATGTATATATGAGTGCCTAGTCCAACATTATAGCTGACTAACTAACTCACCTTTACATGTTTTCTTATTTAAAAGGATCATCTATTCTATGAACTGATTCTATCTTAAACATGATCATTTCCTGTTTTTGTTGTTGTTTGTTTTTCATTTTAAACAGCCAAATAAGAAACTTTCTTACATTGAATGATTTACCAAATGAATGTATTGAATATCTACTTAATACATTATATAGACAATCTAATTCACTTCTTATTCAATGGAATCTAATCAGTATTAATAATGATCAAATGAATGTAGATTCAGTATATACTACTGAAATTACTACTACTAATCATCATCAGGATGATGTTGATCATGATGATGATGATGACGATAGATCGTTAATAACATTTGATAAGTTGTATTGTCTCCTTAAACTATTATGTTTATTTGGAAGGTAAGTGATATTGAATTGTTCTTTTGAATATAGATGTATATTATCATTATCATCATCCTCAATAGAAATGATACTATTCAACAATTCATTATTGAAGATCATTCTATCCATCAAATTATAACAAATCTATTAAGATTGGTAATTAAGTTCTTATATGATCTTTCTGATCTATTCAACTTTGATAGATTTGTCATTCAAAAGTGTTTGATCTATTCAATCTTATCATTTACTTCATAGAAATATTATATGATCCTTATGGAATGTGGAATAAATGGAAATATATGTAAGTTATAGTAGGTATTCATTGTTTGTCAATTGAATGACTCGTAATACTGTGGTTTATGCTAATTGATGTCGATAGATATCAGTAGTATGTATTATCAATTGAAAGTGAAATGTCTGGCAGTAGAGAAAGTTAAGAAGATTGATGAAAAAAGAATGAGAACAAAGAGTGATTGGTGTGGAAATGAAGGAACAACGAAGTCTGAGACAATTGATTGACATTTTGTAAATGAAGTTTTCAGATCTTACTAAGATGTTCTGTAATTTTGTATTCAAATACATTTGGTTGTAACTATAATAGTTGAGATGATCAGTCAATTGAAGTTAGACCACCATGGATAACTTGGAAGTAGTAGACGGCTGTTTCGTCCTATTAAGGGACTTCTCAGGAGTTCGCATTCACGATTCCGCCTCGTGAGATTCGAACCCAGGACCTGCCAGTCTTGCACGTGAGCGCTTAATCACTAGAACTCGGAACCTGCCGGCATCAAACGGTGTTAATGTCTAACTTTAACTAATCCACAAAATTGAGCAACACACTCACATTTGGTTGTCCTCATTTGAGTTCTTGTTCACTACACCCACTATAGATATATCAGTAGGATACTAAAATTCTGCGTAAATATGTAACGCAAAGTTAATAAGTAGTATGCGTAGTTTGAAATTCAGAATGTATTCAGTTTTTGTGATCTCTTAATTATGTTAGTTCATCCTGGGAGCTCACTTAAGAAAGAAACACTCCAACCAGAACAGTCGATCACTATTCATAGTGTTCAGTGTTTATAAAAGATCAACGAAAATTTGGGAGAACTGAATAATTGTTTCATTCTAGTTTAGGACTCTTCAACAATCTATGATGAATTTAACTTAAAAATGATGAAGACTAATCCTTAAAAAAACCCTTTCAGATGAAATGTAATAGTTAACTCACTAGTGGCTTTCATCATGATATCCAGACTTCATTGTTTGCGTTCGCACTCTAGACCGATAGATCCTGGGTTCAAATCTCACGGGGCGGAATCGTCGATGCGCACGGCTAAGGAGTCTCACAATAGGACGAAACGGCCGTCCACTTCTTCCAGGTTATTCATAGTGATCTAGCTTTAATTGAATCATCATCTCAACTATTAAAATTACAACGGAATGTATTTGAATACAAAATTACAGAACCTCTCAGTAAAATCTGAGATCCATAGATTAAATACTTCATTTGCAGAATGTCAGTCGATGGCTTCAGACTTTATTGTTCTTTTGTTTCCACACCAATCGTTCTCTGTTCCCTTTTTTTTGCTTCTCGATTTTCTTGACCTGCTGCCAGATATTCTATTCCTGACTAGTGTTATATACTACTTATATCGATATAAATAGCACACATCACAATACTAGTATCATAGTGAATTTTTATTCCTGCCAAGATGTATCATATGCATGCGACTGATAGTTTTGTCAATTATCATAAGGATAATAATGATACAATAATAAGTTGACTAACCCAATACTAATTGTGAATAACCTAATACTATCAGTATGTAATAGATTGAATTTCGCAGGGGGCGAGGTCGTGGATGCGCACTGCTGAGGAGTCTCACAATAGGACGAAACGGCCGTCCAGTGCTTCCAGGTTTTCCATGGTGGTCTAACTTCAACTGACTCATGATCTTAATGATTGAAATCACTACAATCTCCACAAAACCCTTTCAGATTGATAAGTAACGAACTTATTAAGTTGAATGATTTATTTACGTTTAAAATTTATCTACTATTTTGACAGAAGAAACAATCATTTCTGGTAAAACATTAATGACCAGTAAAGTTCAACCGGATCTGTTGTGAGATAGTAACTCAATGATGACAATAGTGGACAATAGTGATACAATTTCATGAATTAGTTGAAGTTAAACATTAACACTGTTGAATGTTAGCAGGTTCACTGGTCTACAGGTTAAGCACTTGCGCACGAAACTGATAAATCCAGGATTTAAATCTCGCGAGAAGGGATCGTCGATGTACACTGCTGAGGATTCGCAAAATAGAACGAAATGACCGTCCACTATTTCCAGGTTATCCATAGTGGTCTAACTTCAATTGACTCATCATCTCAACTATTGAAATTACTATAATATCCTCTCCCAAAACCTATTCTTTGATTAAAATCATTAATTGTTACTTAAAGATATTTACGTGTCTCTGTATCTAAGTATCTACGTGTGTATGTGTGTGTGTGTGTGAGTGTATGTGCATGTGTGTTCTAGTTGACTCTCATTTATTATAATGTATTCTTATGATTTAAAATTTTTTTAAAATCTTTGTTTCTATGTCCAAATTATTTAGTTACTATGAACAAAAATATGAAAATTTAAAATTTTTCACTTGTATATCTACATTATTAAAAGAATCACTTGATAATATTCATTCAAGTATATTCGGTAAGTAATCTGTTTATTCAATTGAAATATATAAATTTTATGATTTAATTTTTAAATAAACGTGAGAATTTGGTAGATTAGATACATATTCAGTAAATAATACAAAAAAAAAACAAAAACAAAAATGCTAAATCAATCATCATAGTAACAACTGAATATCGTCTTTCCTGTACTCACTTAGTTACTAGGTGATAGAATATCATTTGGGAAATGTTAGGTTTGATTAAAGCTTGAATACTACTACTACTACTACTACTACTACTGATTCTTCTTACTTGGAATGGAACAAAGTTACGTTGGATTTAAAGATTCGATTTGGTTATTCAAGTCCGTTGTCTTTGACTCAGATCAGACTTGATCAAGATGTTTTGATAAGATGTAGAAAAAAGTGTATTCTACAGGCAACCAGAAGATAATCAAGTTAATCAGGCACATAAATCAAGCCTATTTATACAAATATATATATGTATAAATAATCGATATTTGTCATATAAATTCTTTTAAACATTCATCAATAAGTTCGTCCATTGATTATCATTCAAATATTTAAATATTTAATCGATAAGTTAATCAATAAGATAAAATTAAAAAAAAAAAAAAGAAGTGAGTTTATGGGAAGGATCTATCATCCTTAATAGGAACTTGTAAGTTTTAAGTATAACTTATTTGATTATGATACTTGATAAGAGAGATTTCAATTCTACAGTTTTTTTTTCTTTTGTTTCTTTAAATTGTAATTACACATAATTGGTATAGAACTAATTTTGAATGGTTTTTTGTTGTTGTTGTTGTTGTTGTTGTTGTTGTTGTTGTTGTTGTTGTTGTTGGAGGTTTCCTTTAATCATTAATTATTTCAACATAAAAACATTGGTATAAAGAGGTATTGAATAGATTGGGATACTGTGTAAGTGGCCAAACTGTAGTAGATGGTTTTCTTAAAGGGTCATATCTGGAGCTTTTAACTGAAATGTCTAATCTACAAGGTAGTCAAGCAATGTGAGCAAATGCAGTCCGATAGTAACCAGTGATCAACGATTGGTTCATACGCTATTTGTTCGTTCAAGATTGTAGAACCCATGTATACCATTGGTTTGGAACATCCTTATCCATGAATTTGGTTAAAGCACTGGACATTTGCTTTTCATTCTCTCAATTTCGTAAACAACTTCGTGGACTTGAGAAATCAATGAGCAAGAATTCCATGATAGTGGTTGTATACACTGTATTTAATAAACGGCAAATATAGAGTTAAATGTTAACATGATAAAGTTATAGACTGGTAATTAAAATAATTAATATTTGCCTATAATTTAAGGATAATCTTTGTCAAAAATAGGCATTATTCAGAATATTGTTAAAAACTGGAAAACACCTGAAAGTTGTTTTATCTTTAGTATCCATGATCTTAAACGGGATTTAAACAAGAATATTTATGTCTTACAATGTATATTATATCGTGAAATTATTGAATCGCTTCATTTATTGATTTTTTATCTTTAACTTAGATCATTTTTGGTATAATATTAACCTTAATCAATATTATTGATAAGTCACTTTTTCATTTTGGATCTGGTCAACTCTACACTGTTGATTCAAGAAATTCATTCTGTATCTAGTCTTAGATAAACTGACTATAATCGTACTTGGTATTTACAAATTTGTTGTTTTAGACTTTTATTTGAAATGGAGATAATTTCCTACTTATTTATACCTGTTAACCCTCGTGGTGGAGCATAGGCTGCCCATTAACATTCTCCATTTAACTATGTCATGGGAAATCCTTTCCAGTTTTTTTTCCAGTTGCTATTCCTACTTTACATATCAGCTTCCAATAGCCTACGTAGTGTATTCCTTAGTCTTCTTTTTTTCTGTTTCCCTTCAGGATATCAAGCTAGCGTTTGCTTCGTGATTTCTTCAATGTATGTACCATCAACTTCTAACGTCTTTTTCTAATTTCTTCTTCAACTGGAAAATGGTTTGTTTTCCTCCTGTTGCTGATGGTATCCTGTGAACGGATACTGAATATCTTGCACAGACAAATGTCTATAATTACTTGTAATTTTTCGATGATCGTTGTGGTAGTTCTCGAAGCTTTAGGTCTGTGTTGACGTTCGTATTAAAGATTCTGACTTTGATGTTAACTGGTAGTTGTTTTGAGTTCCATATGTTGTTCAATTGTAGGAGTGTCGCCTCTGCTTTGCCAACCCTTATCTTTAGGTCTGCATCACGTCCTCCTCGTTCATCCATGATGCTGTCTGTGTACGTAAAGCCATCCACCTCTTACAGAGTTTCTCCATCAAGTATGATTGCCTTGATGTACTTGTTGTATTTGAGGATCTTGGTTTTTCCCTCATATATGCTGAGGCTTACTGATGCAGAAGCCGCTACTATACTAGTTGTCTTCATCTGCATTTGTTATTGTGTATGAGATAGAAGAGCTATGTCATCTGTGAAGTCAAAATCCTCTAGTTTCATTCAAGCTGCCTATTGTATTCTATGCTTTCTCTGATATAATCCAGTTGACCAACATAAGAAAAAGTAAGGGTGACAGTAAGCAGCCTTGACTGACACCAGTCCTTACTTGGAATGCATTTGTCATCTGTCCTCCATTCTTAACTTTTCAGTGTACTCTGTTGTATAAATTCCGTATGGTGTTGACAATCTGTTCATGTACAGTCTCTCACATTCACAATCACTTCTGGCCAGACCTTGTACAAATGTCATTTTCCTTTTTATGGAGCGATGTGGTCTGTTTAGTTGGTATATAAACTCAGTTATGTTTGAAATATATGATTCATACCGCGGAAGCTGAGATCGGTGTTCTGGACTCAACAGTTAAGTCTAGGTAGGAAGAACGACCGATAAGGACTCTAGATTACTCGTACACGCTTATGGGTCATTAATCCGGTCTATAATTCACTGTCATCTAATTGACGGTATCATTACGTCATATATTGACAAGGCCTACTTACTTACTTACGCCTTTTACTCATCGTGAAGGAGCATAGGCCACTCACCAGCATTCTCCATCCAGCCCTGATTGACAAGGCTACAAGTTCTAATATATTTATAAACACAACTTCAATGGATCTTGAATGATTGGATACAAGTGTTTTATCTTTTGATAAATTTTTATAGATTTAATTAAACAAAACAATGATAATGCAAGAATTCGAACTTTACTGATCAATGCTTATTGTTATATATCAGTTGGATGTTATGTAAGTTCAAAGAATCTGAAATCTATTCTAGAAGTGATGTGTTATATACAAATAATATCAAGTATTTCGTTTGTAATGTTAATGTAGTTGATCAAATCTATCAGAATAAATTCTTTAATAAATGCTTATAGAAATTGGTACCGTTTGCTTCAAACGCCATCACGTGATCCACTTAACTGCTGAGTCCAATAAAGGTTCGAGTCCCACGGTGAGCATCACCTCTGGGATGCAGGCACATTCAAATGATGAGTCCCGATTGAGACGAAATGCGCGTCCACTGCTAGCCACTATCCACGTTTGTTTACAGTGCTTGTGACTTAAGGCAATATCGAGGTAATGAGCACAAAATGCATAAATACCTATAAGAGATTTTTAGGATATTATAGTAACCTAATGGTTGAATTTATGAGCCTATTAAAGCTAGACCACCATGAAAAAGCTGGAAGCATTGGACGACTGTTTCGTTCTAGTGGTTTGGGGGTTAAGCATTGACATGCTAGACCGACAGGTCCTGGGTTCGAATCCCGTTGTGCGGGATCGCTGGTGTTCACTTCTGAGGAGTCCCACACAGGTTTTCCATGATGATCTAGCTTCAATTGACTCATGAACTCAATTATTAAACCTATAAGAGAGACTGATCAATTACAGACCTAAACATGTAGATCACTTTAACTATTACAAAATCTGGAAATTTCTCATCGAATTTCTCAACAATTGCTTATAGGAAATAATTCGAGAACAAACAGATTGGTCTAGTTGGATACCTGAACGAATAGTAAGATTGAGATCGTGAACTGATTGATGTTAGACCAACATTGAAAACCTGGAAGCGTTGGATAGCCGTTTCGTCTTATTGTAGGACTCTTCAGCAGTGCGCTTCCACGATCCCGCTTGCGGGATTCGAACTCAGAGCTTTCAGTCTCGTGCTCGAACACTTTACCTCTAGATCATTGAGCCAACACCTAACAGTGTTTGTACTGATTAGATTCTGTTTTAAGAGATCAAGTGACTAAATATTATTGTATACCTTATTTTCTCTTAGAGAGTTACATTAAAACATGAAGAAATGATATTGAGAGAGAATCAATTCCATCAATTTCCAGTATTTCTCACTGATTAGTTCCAACCTCTCATCTTCATTCTTGTTTTCTTTACTTCTCTTTTACTTTCTCTACTCTTCCCTCAAGTGGAGTTTGACATTTTTGAAGTCACTTTATTGATTATCAAGAAATTTATGGAATATGAATATATTGTCTGATATGAAGTAGTGAAACTTAATCAGTTGAGATGGCTGGGACATGTGTTACGTATGCCCGACCACCGACTGCCCCGACGTGCTATGTTTTATGGTGTAGGAGTAGGTTTGAAGAATGCTAGAGGCGGCCAGACCAAAACATGGCACAAGTGTATAAAGCCACTGACAAGTGGACTGAGCCATGTTGGTAGGTATAGACTACCTTGTTGGGGTCCGCGAGACGATAGCGACCGATGGTTAGAGATCTTGAATGACATGGCTCAAAATCATTTGAGATGGTGTGCGCAGATGCATCCACTCTTTGTGTTCTCCCAAACTCGAATCTTTTGAATTCTTCATGTCCTTTATTTTCTTTCCTAATTTATTCCACTGTATTATACTCCTTAAATAACATAATCAAATCCTAATGTTCCCTATCACTACTTATACTCTCACTACCTCTACAACTACGGGATTTGAATCGATAACTGAATCTCTGTGCTAATGTGGTATGGCAACTCGAACTAATGTACGTACGTACGAAGTTCCACGTTGTTACTGACTGACTGATATTGTCTGATATTGTTGTATTGTGTATTCACTATGATATGAATGGTAATTATCTTACAAACTGACTTTGGATCTTAAATGGAAAGCGGTTAGCAGCGGAATCCAGAACGCACGTTTTTGTCCTATTTGGGGCTCGTCAGCTGGATGTATCTTCATCCCAGTGTAAATGTTCACTCTGGGACTCGAACCCACAACCATTCGCTTCAAACGTTTATAAAGCTCGTGACTTAAGTCGATATCGAGGTAGTCCACATAGGATGCACATATGCCAACAACAGACTGATCAATTGCAGTCTTACACAATAATAGGAAAATACAAGCAAATAATACCAAGTGAAATTAAACTTCACTCTATTGCACAAGCAGGTGACTCTCAGGTGTCAGCAGCTAAGTAGATAACGCTATGGAGTTTGAAGTAAACGGTACTGAGTTCGATTCCCAGAGTGAACATCAACTCTGAGATGCAGATAAATCCATCTGACGAGTCTCAAATACTTCTGTAAAAACCACCTACTTGTTTTCAGGAGATAAAATGTTAGCTTCTAGAATTGACAGAATTCAAACATACCGTCAAATATTCAGTAACATTCAAATTTTATTTGTTAAATTTATTTATTTATTTGAACATATAGAAATTGGTATAAAGGGGCACCATATACATATGCGTCACAAAAATCTCATTTGCTTTGTGTGAGGGTTGTGATACTGCTCAGGTGCCCAGACCGTAGAAGATGGTTTCCTTAGGGAGCCACACCCGGAGCCTTCGACCTAAAGATCTGATCCATAAGGCAGTGGAGCATCGTAAAGAGATGTAGTTTCATGGTAGCCGGTGACCAACCATTGGTTCATACAACATTTGTTCCCTCAGGATACTGGAGTCCATGTGCACCATTAGTTTGGAATCAGGGTTTTCCAACTTCCCTAGGTGAACTCTCCGTGTCCACAAACCCTGTTAGAGCATCGAAAATTTACTTTTCATCCTCTCAATTTCGTAAACATCTCCGTCTCAAGAAGTCAATGAGTAGGACTTCCCGGGCAGTAGCTGTATACACTTGTCCATGTGAGAGCATTTGGAAAGGGAGAGCTGACTCTCCTCACCCTCGGTCATACCAGATCATTTAATTGATATTTATTAAATTTTAAATCATAATGAAATCTTTTATTATTTTTTTCACAAGGGTTTTTTACAATACAATCATTTACACGATTTGTTTTGTTTAATCAATCAATCAAATCAACCACTTACAGAATTATCATCATCATCATCATCATCGTCATCGAAACCTCAGGGAATTTATTCTAATGTAAATGAACAATATTCTTTTGGAAAGGATTTCTCACAGAATATCAAGACTAATGTTAATCAATCAAATTGGTCTCAACAATATAATGAAGAGTTTGTTGTTATATCAAGTTTTTTAATTTATGGATTAAGTCTTCAAGAACCAAACATGGTGAGTTAATATTTTAAATTATGTCATTTATTGTAAGTATTGAAGGCCCCTAAATGCCCTGGTATGGCTGAGAGTGAGGACAGTCCGCTCTCCTTCTCGAAATGTTTTCATATGACCACACGTATATAGCCTCTGCCAGGGAGATCCTACTCATTGCCTTCTAGTGGCGGGGGTGCTGTTTATGAAATTGAAAGGACGAAAAGCGAAACTTCGGCTCTTTAACCGGGCCGGTGGACACGGAGAATCCACCTAGGGAAGTTGGAAAACCCTGATTCCAAACTAATGGTGCACATGGGCTCCAGTATCCTGAGGGAACAAATGTTGTATGAACCAATGGTTATGCACCGGCTACCATGAGACTGCATCTCTTGACGATGCTCCATCTTTAGGTCAAAGGCTCGGGGTGGATTAATTCAATAATAATGTCTTATACTGTTGTAGTGGCCCCCAAATGGCCTAGTACAACTGAGATTGGGGAGTCAGCTATCCCTTTAGAAATACTCTCAAATGTTCACGTACATACAGTCACTGCTAGAGAAATTGGGTTAGAGTTAATCTTAGTGACCTGAGAGCGTGACCGCAGTGCCCAAAGTACAAACACCTGAGGTCAGTCACACAAGACCTTTCTGTGAGTAATTTTCGTGTTAGCTCAGTACTTGTTGAGACCTTATCGCCGGAGACGGATATCCATGGGATAAGGTGAGGTGTGCATTTTGGGAATCAACCTTTTCTAACTCCACCCCTTCTTATGAGAATGCAGCATCTCTGTTATGTTGGTTGTCTGATGGAAACACCTTATCGTTGTTACACCTCTTTACATTCAGCAGTACGACTTCGCCTTCGGACCTCGGATTTGCTACTTTTAGTCTTACCACTCATCAACCAACCTGTCTGGCATAGTAGGACCTTGAGAAACGATTTTTCTAGCCAGTATAGCTTGATTGGTTCATTGTGATAGTCAAGCTCAACCACTACATCAAGGTAGCAGCCACAGTTGTAGGAAGCATCAGTGGAAAAGTGTAGATAAATTTTTCTTGGATATCTAAGTCTTACATATTTATAACTGTATAATTAGTTACATAGACATCTTGGAAAATAAGCATAATTAAAGTATATACAACCAGGCTTCTTGATATTAAGACTAATTAACGGTTTACTAACCTTGATAGATTCCTTTAATCAAGAAGTTATTTTACGGTAACAAAATATTTACTCTACATTAGTTCACGTGGTTGAATTAATTGAATACTGAATAGTTCTATGACATGATAAAACAAAAATGCAAATTATCTTAAGTGAAACATCTAGTCACCATGTTAGTTATCCAATTATGATCACCACTGCCACAAATTAGCAAAGTAGAGTTTAAAATTTATCTCATTGCTGAGGAGTCCCACAATAGGACGAAACGGCCATCCAGTGCTTCCAGGTTTCTCATGGTGATACTATCTTCAATTGACTCGTGATCTCAACGATTAAAAGTAGATTTGTCCATAAATTGAGTAGACATCAAGAGTTTTACTTCAACGATCATTACTATGCATCATATGGAAACCCTACGGTCTAATCAAAGCAGGGCCCTAAACTAACAGGTTAAAGATATAACAAAAATTCATGGTAGCGAATACTAGGAAGATGTGACTATCAACCATCCCTGAGAGAGTACTTATGTGTATGTCATGAAGTACATGGGTGAAAGTTTATTTACCAGTGGTATGCATGTAATGCATAAGAGATAGTCAGGTGTAACAAATACGTTCGAAGGGAGTAGTGATTTTCTACTCTCCCAGTTAAGTGAATATACCTATACGTATCCCATATAATGCATGAGTGAAAACGTATATATTACCGATGTGCATGTACCTTGTACTTGCTACTGCTGTAATGTCCGCGCGTCAAGACAAGGGGTTACCGATTTCTTTACGAACTCATATCTTCGTGGTGGGTTTGTGAACCTTGAATACTCAGAAACTAATTCCAGAAAACCCACACCGATTTCACTAGATAAGGCCACCATCTCCATTATCAACGGAAACCAACATGTTGGTTATTAGAATTATTTATATCTTTTACTGAACCATCAACATGTACGTTGGTCACTTCAACAAACTACATTGAATTATGAATAAAATGGCAATTTAACTAAGTGGACATAAACATAGTGACTATGGTTTATGTAAGCAAGAGCAATCTTATTTATCATGATGAATACACTTTATTTAAATGAATATATTGAACAGTTAGGGTTGTGGAGATTGTTGAATTTTAATTGAGATAATGAATGGATCAATTGTTAGACCACCATTAAAAACCTTAAAGCACTGGAAGGCAGTTTTGTCGTAGTATGGGACTCCTTAGTAGTGTGCACCCACGATCCCATATCAAACGGATTCAAACCCAGTACCTTTGTTCTCGCATCCGTAAGCATAACCTCTAAACCATTGAGCTGGCATCCTGGAGTCCTACTAAGAAGCCTTGACCAATGTAGTCCAATCTGTGTCGGATGTGAGATAGTTGTCCACCTCAGACAATAGATGAAGTGTTGAGCAAAATCATGGATCGAATCGAAGTTAGATGTTAACACCATTGGATGTCGGATCAATGGTCTGGAGGTTAAGAGTAGGTTCTGGATTATCGTAGATGCAGACTGCTGAGGAGTCCTATACTGGTGGTCTAGCTTGTGGATTATTATACAGTTATTGTTATGACCTTTATGTCTGTCATTTTTCTTCATATCTGTCAATTGGACAATTATGTGACCAGTAAATTATTTTCATTCTTCTATTTTTCTCTAATCCCCCCCAATTATTACGCAATCTCATTTGATCTTTAGAATTTCGTATCACTTTATAATGTAATCCCACCTATCCTTCTATGGACATATATTTCCCATATAACTATAAGTTTTGAGATCATATTCTAACTGTAAGCATCTTTATAACAAGGATCTAGATTTATCTAATTATTTGTTGCTTTGTCAATTATCTTTCTCCTTCAATAATATTCAATTCATGATATGATAAATCCACGTGGTATTGTTTATTTGGATCTTTCCATTGATGTTTAGGACTGTAATTGATCAGTCTCTTATTAGTATATGTACATACTGTACATATTGCCTTAATTTACAAGCATTATAAGCAAAGTTGGATAGTGGTTAGCAGTGGAATCCAGGACGCGGGTTTCGTCTTATTTAGGACTTGTCAGCTTTATGTATCTGCATTTCAGAGTTGATGTTCACTCTGGGACTCGAACCCACAGCCATTCGCTTCAAACGTTTATAAAGCTCATGACTTAAGTCGATATCGAGGTAGTCCACATAGGATGCACATATACCAACAAGAGATTGATCGATTTCAGTCTTACACAATAATAGGAAAATACAAGCAAATAATACCAAGTGAAATTAAACTTCACTCTATTGCACAAGCAGTTGGCTATCAGGATTCAGTCGCTAGGTAAACAACATGATGAAGTTTCAAGTAAACGGTACTGGGTTCGATCTCTAAAGTGATCACCAACTCTGAGATGCAGATAAATCCATCTGACGAATCCCAAAACAGAACAAAACGCATGTTCTGGATTCCATTACTAATCACTACCACCCATCTTTACTCATAACAAGATAAGTTTCATAAAACAATTACCTCCACCCCCCTTCCATGAAACATAAATCTAACAATAATAATGTACTTTAAAATGTTTATTTCTATTCTATTTCTTTCACAAATTATTAAGAATAAATAAACATGTAAATAAAATCTGGTTTATTTAAACTGAATTATTACAAGTACACATAATCATTTATTTATTATAAAACAATGGTTTTTCACACACACATACATACGCACGCACGCTCGCACGCACACTCACACACACATGCACAGATACGCACACATTGAACCATTTTCTTCAGAGATGCTTGTTGATCTGTTTTCTTTGTGAATAGAAAACTTGTTTATATAGGTATGAATTATAGCACTAATTTCTGTGTTACTGTACTATAGTTTCTAACAATAAACATTGATCAGAATACATATATCTAATTAAGGTCATCTTTAGTTTAATAGAGAATATGTGCTTAATACATTATATTAATCAGTATGAGTAAACGATGATAGTTTTTATGATCAAAGATGGATAGTGGTTAGAAGTGAAATCCAGGATGAGTGTTTCGTCCCATATAAGACTCATCAGATGAATGTATTTACATCTAAGTGTTGATATTCACTCCAGGACTCAAATACAGTAGCCCCCAAATGCCCTGGTATGGCCGAGAGCGAGTTGGGTTGGCCCTTTCTCTCGAAATTTTCTCACATGGCCACGCGTATATAGCCTCTCCTAGGGAAGTCCAACTCACTACTTTCTCGTGGCGGGGGTGTTGTTTACGAAATTGAGAGGACGAAAAGCAAACGCCCGGCGCTACAACCGGATCCCAAACCAATGGTGCGCATGGACTGGCTCCAGTATCCTGAGGGAAAAAATGGCGTGTGAACCAATGGTTGGGCACCGGATACCATGGGACTGCATCTCCTCACGATGCTCCACTGCCTTGTGGGTTAGACCTTTAGGTCAAAGGCTCCGGGTGTGGCTCCCTAAGAAAACCACCTGCTTCTGTCTGGGCACCCGGGCAGTATCTCAGCCTACACACAAATATAATGAAAATGATGATATTCACTGAAAACTTTCTTCGAACTCCATGGATTTATTGACCAGGCTATTGATTACATTCAGCTCATGAGTCTTAAATAAGACAAAACATACGTCCTGGATTCTATTGTTAACCACTATCCATTTTTGCTTATAATTCTTGTAAATTAAGGCAATACACACAGGATACACAAATATCAAAACGGGATTGATCAATTGCAGTTCTAAACATCGATGTGAAGATTCAAACAAACAATACAAAAACGACTTAAAGTGTCATATCAATCTAAAAGTTTATAATCTACCACTTGTATCTAGTTAAGTCCTATTTCTATTTAATTGTCATCTATGTGAATCAATAAAGCCAAGCCATATGTAGGTTGTAGAAGTCAGATTCATGTACTCTTCTTTTGTTACATATTTGATAGATTACAAAAGAATTGATACTTAGGTTTACCATTGATCTACTATACAAGTTTTCTCTTACTGTAATCATCTTGTAAATAAGGATATTCTTAACAGTCTATGATATCTTACTTTGCGATTTCGTAGATTGGTTGAAGTTAGACCTTAGCAACGTTGGATACCAGCAGGTTCAGTGATCTAGAGTTTAAACGTTCGCGCGAGAGAATGATATTTCCTGGGTTGGAATCTCACTAGGCTATATCGTAGATGCGCACTTCTGATGAGTTCCATACTAGAACGAAACGGCCATCCAGTTGTTCTAGGTTTCCAGTGGTGGTCTAGCTTTAATTTACTCATGATCTCAACTATTGAAATTACTATAATATCCACAAAAATTCCTTCTGATACGTAAAAAAATGTCTGAAAAGTTTATTTATCATTCCAATAGATGATCTGTCATTTTAAACCTAATGGTATAAACTTAATCGAAAATCAATTGCTTGAGTGTTACGGTTTTTTTTTCTGATAAAACTACCAATAGAGTAATTGATCCAATAGTTTAAGTAGTTTATCTTTTTCAGGTGAGGTTAATAGTTGAGATAATGAAGCGTATTGTACAGGCGTTAGCTGTTAATTTTCTAAGAATTTCACATTTGGAGGTGTCTCAGACGGCCAAGTATTGAATACGATATCAATTTGATATTTTACACTACTAATAAGTAATATGACACAACTTGATCACTTTCATGACTTTTTATTTATTTGAACACATAAATATTAGTACAATGAGGTACCGAATGCGTATGCACCACACAAGCCACTAGATTTGTGTGTAGGCCCCGGTGCCTAGACCGAAGTAGGTGGTTTTCTTAAGGAGCCACACCCGGAGCCTTCTACCTAATAGTCTGATCCATAAGGCAGTGTAGCAACGTCAGGAGATATAGTCCCATGGTATCCGGTGACCAACGATTGGTTCATACGTCATTTGTTCCTTCAACATCCTTCATTCAAATGCACCATTCGTTTGGAATCAGTGTTTTTCAACTTCGCTGGATGTATCCTCCGTATCCACTAACCCGGTTAAAGCACCGGACATTTGCTTTTCATCCTCTCAATCTCGTAAACAACTCCCGTGGTGCGAGAAGATAGTGAGTAGGACTTCCCTGTCATTGGTTGTATACACATGGCCATTTGTAAGAATTTTGAGAAGGAGATCTGGATCTCCCCACCCTCAACCGTACCACGGCATTTGGGGGCTCCATGACTTACAGTTAAGATGTTTAAGAAATATATTATATTTCTAGTTATTCGCTAAATTATTTGAAATCAGCTAACATATTAATTCTAATCTTCAACTTAGGGAGTATGTATTTTTACCGGAACATATTTTAAAATGAAAATGACAAATTCGTCTTATATTGGTTTTTTTGAATCTTTACATCGATATTTAGAACTGCGATTGTTCAGTCTCCTATCCACATATGTGCATCTTCTACGAATTGCCTCAATAGTATCATTAAGTTACAAGGATTGTAAGCAAAGATGGATGGTAGCTATAAGTGGAATTTAGGACCCAGGTTTCGTCCTATTTGGAACTCATCAGCTGAATTTATTTGCATACCTGTGAATTAAGGTAATATCGATGTGATTCAAACAAGATGAACATATGTCAATAAGTTTCAAATAACCGAATAAGAAATGAATCAAACTTTACTCCATTGATTAAACTAGTGACTATTTGGACTCAATAACTAAGTAGATGACATTACGAGGTTTGAAACGAATGGTACTGAATCTGAGTCTCGGAGTGAACATCAACTTCAGGACGCAGGTATATCCATCTGATGAGTTGCAAATAGGATGAAGTGACGTGTGTCCAGGATCCCATTACTAAGCATTATTGATCTTCGTTTAAAAATTACATAGTAAGTTAGTATTCTACGGGATGAGGTCACTAACCCCATGTCCAACCTTTCTTCTTTACCCGGACTTGAGACTGGCAGTAACACTAGAAGTGCTACAAACAGAGTTAAGTTGAAAATATTTAGATAAATGAATTTGTTCAGAAGTTATTCTAAACATATATATCAGTATAGTGATAATAACTTATCTATTTATTATTTCTATCCATTTAGATTATATTAAAATCAGCGGTAGATCAATTTCGTTCTGATATTGGCAGTAAAGGAACTCTTTCCACTATTGATTATTGTAAGTTTAAAAATGGAATAGATTGAATGAGTGTTTTTAGTCTTTCTGATTACTCTCATTGTTCTCGTTTAAGTAACCAGTGTTATTTGAGTATAGAAAGCTTGTATATCAGTATTAGAATTGTATATTTCTTATTACAACTGACTATCTTATGTAGTTAGATCTTCAATTATACAAAGGAAATTAGTTTTAACAATGTTAACTTTACTAATGCAATTAAAATCTGTTTTATAGCAATAGTAACAATGTCAAAGAACCTAATTGAAGGTATGATCAAAGATTTATGTAGTTTACTATACATACATTTAATTCCTGAAATGATCAGGCTAAGATTGTAGCCTTGTTGATATGATTATATTCAAGTAAAGCAGATGAAGAAAACTAGTGTAGCATTAGCCTTTGCATCAGTAGGCTTAAACATACACAAAGGAAAAAGTAAGATCCTCAAATACAACACGGAGAACACCAACTGAACCACAATTGATGGCGAAACTCTAGAAGATGTGGAATCCTTCACGTACCTGGGAAGCATCATCAATGAACAAGGAGGATCATATACAGATGTAAAGGCAAGAATTGACAAAGCAAGGGCCTCATTCCTACAATTGAAGAACTTATTGAACTCAAAACAACTTTCAACCAATATCAAAGTCAGAATCTTCAATACGAACGTCAAAACAGTTCTACTGTAAGGAACTGAAACTTGGAGAACTAATACACTCATCATCAAGAATTTACAAGTATTTATAAATAGTTGTCTACGCAAAATACTTTACATTGATTGGCCGGATACTATCAGCCTACTGTGTGTGAGAATAAACCAGCTTCTAGCTGAAGAGGAAGTTAGGAAAAGACGACGGAAATGGATAGGATGTACATTACAGAAATCACCAAATTGCATCACAAGGCAATCGCTAACTTGGAATACTGAAGGGAGGCAAAAAAGCGGAAGGCCGAAAAACACATTACATCGAGAAATAGAAGCAGATATGAAAAGGATGAATAGCAACTGGAAAGAGCTGGAAAGGATTTCCCAGGACAGGGTTGGATAGAAAGTGCTGTTGGGCGGCCTATGCTCCTCCATGAGGAGTAACAGGCGTAAGTAAGTAAGTAAGTGAAGCATACATTTTTTATCATAGTTATAACACTAATGTACAAAGACTATCATTTCTTTATATTGTCTTCTTATTATATCATTTATAGATTATCAAATTCTACTTATACAATTATCTAGTCGTATAAGACTATGTTATCAACATCAACCAGAGATTCTTCTATCAAATATTCAACCAATAACATTCAATGATTCGTCGTCGTCATCATCGTCGTCGTCGTCGTTGTCGTCGTCTTCTTCTTCTCCTTCCTCTTTTAAGAGACATTATCAATACTTTTTAACATTTCTAGCCTCTATTGATATGAATCAATCATATTCTGATATATTTATTACATCACAATTAAAAAGTGATCTAACATTGATATCTTCTCCTTTATCTATTAGACGATTACCTAATCACTTTTATTATAAATTAACAGAATATCTATGTACTATATATGATCCCAAAACAGAAATGAATCATATTCCCGATTTGATTAATGTTATTGGTAAAAGTCTTTTATGTTGGGTAAGTAAAATATTGGAATAACGTTTTGATGGAGTTTTATTCTCTGAGCTGAATGGTTTGGTTGTGGAGCTTTCATCATTCTTCTGAACGATATCATCAGCATCAGCACAAACTTCAGATAGAAGTGAAGTGTTCGAATTTCTCCATATGTGTTTCATAGCTTGTTCTGTACACCTCAATGCTGATTGGTTCTTATTAACCTTAAATTTGTTCTTGTTAACTTCTTTGTTTTGGTTGTGTCTCATATTGTTTTGATTCTTGTTCCTATATGGAATAACTTACTTCTTTTATATTAACATTGAAGTGAATGAAGAATTTCATCTTGAAGGAATCAAGTTCCAGTCAGTTAGTCAGTCGGTCAGTTGATTACAACATACAACCAGGCACATATATGCATCGGTTCAAGATGCTATACCTCATTAGCACGGCAAGATCAACACCAGATTCATAGAAGTAGTTTATTCAATGATAGTAATAAATAAAACAAAGAAGATTGCATATAAGGATATAATACAAGAAGAAAGAATTAGAAAGAATATGAACACCGTTCGATGCTGGCAGGTTCATTAGTCTAGAGGTTAAACTCTGAAGCGCGAGACTGGTCTGTTCTAGGTTGGAATCTCGCAAGACGGGATCGTGGATGCGCATTTTTGAGGAGTCCCACAATGAGACGAAACGGCCACCCAGTGCTACCAGGTTTTCCATGGTGATTTAATTCCAAATGACCAATGAGTTCAACTATTAAAAGATTATTAGATTATAAAAGTCACTGGTTTGTTAGAGGAGCATTGTGTTTTCATTCTAAGTAGTTTATATTCTCATGTATTCGACATTCAGTATGATGAGCCTTCGATATTACCTTGTTCATAGGTGTGAAGAGCAGGTAACCATAGAATTCAGGAAACCGGATTTTATTAATTTTACAACTAGTTAGCTAGACATGTCTGTATTCTGATACTGAATTTCAGATTAGAAGTAGGACTTCACAATGGAATAATGATCTCCATGGTTTTCGCTATTGTTACTGAGTGATAAACATCAAATATCAGTTCATGAAGATAAAAATTCTTTGATATAAAAATCATAGGTGCAAATTATTATGGTACTGTCATACTTTGCATCTGTCCCTTCTAAGTTATACTGGAATACTACTGAAACCTTGAGGAATTTTCAGTTATTATTTATATGCTTCACAGTTGACTGTGTTTGACCTCCTGATGATTAAGTTTTCTGTATGTATGGAGAAATATCCGTTGCAGTTACTTCCCTGTTGCTGATACCTTGAACTGGGGGTCGGGATTGTCTGTAGTGATGAACCAATCCGGCTATAGTGGTTAGAGCAAATATTCCTCATGGTCCTACCATACCAGACTGTTTGGTTGAAGAACGGTAAGACTAAAAGTAGCAAACCCAAGGTCTGAGGGTGAAGTCATACTGCTTACTGTAAAGAGGTGTGACAGCATTAGGGTGTAAACTTCAGACAGTCAACATAACAAAGATGTTGCCTTCCCACAAGGAAGGGTGGCGTTAGAATAGGTCGACTCTCAAGGATTTCCATTTCCGGCGATAAGGTCTCAACAAGTACGGTGCTAACACAAAAATCACCCACAGGAAGATCGTGTGAGACCGACCTCAAGTGGTTGTCCTTTGGACACTGAGGTCACGCTCTCAGATCACTAAGACCACCTGTAATTTAATTTCCTTTTTCAGGTACATCTAGAAGAACCCTTCCATGGTGTGGGCAACCAGGAAGTGAAATCTGCCTTACCTGTTAGAGACGTTATATCCCTAGAAGTCACTTTGTAAAGTACCTAATTTTGTAATTTTATTTAGAAAATTTGAGTTTCTTTGTTTTCGCGCCAAAAGTGCTCTTGTCACCTTCATGTCGTATTTCCTACTTGGAAAATATCTTAAATGCTATTGGTCCGCTGCGTCTTTTAGTATGCTATTTGGTAACTCTCCCCAAGGACGGTTTTCTACTGTATATATATACGTTTTGATTTGTGTTTGTTGTTATCGCTCGTTTCTGGCAGTTTACAGAATATACTTCTCCATTCCAAGCTTGGACTTCTTTCTCTAGTTAGCGGGGCTGGGACGCATCAGAATATCTAGCTTATTGATCTTTGATCACCGAGTCTTTGTTCTTGTTCGCAGTCTAAGTGAACTCGTAACCGCTTCAAACTTAGCATTACCTCTAACAGCACTCAAGACCAGTGATTGACCGACCGATTGACTGACTGATTGACTGAATATCCTTTATTTTTCTATGTAATCCTCTTTCTTTAGGCTTTTGGAATACTACCAATGTGTATTGATCCACAATTAAATCATTTAATAGACAATCCTTGTAGTGAACAGATTTCAACATCGTATACACATATTATTATTCATGGTGATATTTTGATTGTTTTATTAAACTGGATCGTTTATTTATGGAATCATTATATAATGAATTCATCACAATATTCATCAGATAAATCAATAAATGTAAACACTATTCATATCATTAATCAATTATTGAAAATAATTATTGATTGTTTATTGGATCCGGATACAATTGGAGAATTGAGTAAAGCATATTGTTGTCAAGTTGGAGTAATTCGATATGCAATAATTCCAAATATTGTTAAATTATGTGAATTATTAAAACAAAAACTTGGCATATTGAGTACTGAACAAGAAAAGGGTAAATATGAGGTTAGTTTCAGTAATTCATTCTTTTTTACTTTAAACTACTTATGAGTAGTTAAAAATGTTATGCGAAATTTAATGCGAATATAATTTCGGTAGTGGTTTGACGATATAAATATGCTTCAGTAGTGTTTAGACTAAAAGGAATAACATATGTATATGACCTTGATAAATGAGTAGAAAGTAGAAAGAGTTCCATGCTCATTAAGTGTATATACGGTCTACTACCACACAACTGTTCTTGTTATCGTTACATTTAATGTTCAAAGTATGGCAGCTACTGGTAGTTATATGTTAGTGAGTTCCTTTAGGTGTCCGCCATTTGAATTGTGTTCAAATATGACTATACTCGATAAAAACGATCGAATTCCCTTGAAATGATGTTTGTCAGCTATTAGCTATATCATAGCTATTGAACTTCTTTCCAATTATTAGATTGTTAATGATTTTCAATGCAAATATTTCAAAGATGTATCAGACGTACTAACTTAAGATTTCATATCACTGATGATGAAAGGAGCTGTAATTTCTAGTTTTAAATACGGACAACAATATGCAATAGAAGGACCACCATTGAAAACCTGGAAGTACTAGGCAGTCGTTTCTTCCTAATATAGGACTCGTCAGTAGGGCGTATCCACGAACCCACACCAAAACAAATTGAGGCTCTTCATCCATTGTCTGAAGTCGAAAGCTGTATCCTATCCGACAGGGATTAGACTTTATTGGTAACGACGTCCCACTAGAACTTCAGGATGCTGAATCAATGCTCTAGAGGTTAAGCGTTTGCACACGAGACTGAAGGTTATGGGTTCGAATCCCATGTTCATGATCGTGGATGCACACTTCTGAGGAACCCCATACTAAGACGAAATAATCGTTGAATAAAGCTTTTTCAAGTTTATGATCCTATTATTTTTAATTTCATTTGTAGGTAGTGAAATATCAATATTTCCAAACACTTAAAATCTTCAATATGTTTTTAACCATACTTCAATGTTTAGGAGAATTTTCAATGTCTGCTCCAGATCTTGCAAGTTTTCTAAGAATGTTTCGTTCAGAATCTGTCAGATTATTTTGTAATAAAATACTACAAGTAAGTTTATATTATCAAGTAGATTTTACTTTTCGATTGAGATCATGAATCAACTGATGTTAGACCACCGTTGGAAACCTCAAAGCATTGGACAGCCGTTTCGTCCTAGTATGGGACTCCTCAGCAGTGCGCATCCACGATTCGTCCAGTGCTTCCAGGTTTCCAACTGTGGTCTAACATCAGTTGATTCATGATCTCAATCGAAAACTTAATAATCTCCACAACCCCAATACGGATTTTATTTTATTGCGAATAATAAAAATTATAATTTAAGTTTAAGTAACCTGTGATTAGTTTCACTGATACTATGGTGTGTGCTACTTATATCAATATAAGTAGTATGCAACTCTAGTCAGGAATAGAATGTGTGGCATTAGAAGATCGAGAATGAAAGAACAGGAACAGAAATCAATTGATATGGGAATGCAGGAACAGTCAAGTTTGAGATGATTAATTGACATTTTACAAGTGATTCTCAGATTTTAATAAGATGCCTCGATATTGCCTTAATTCACAAGGATTCTAAGCAGAGATTGATAGTGGCTAGCAGCGGAATTCAGGAAGAGCGTCTCGTCCTGTTTGGGACTTGTCAATGTAGATGTACCTGCGTCTCTGAGTTGATGTTCACTCCAAGACTCGAACCCAGTACCGTTCGCTTCAAACGCCACTGCGTTATCCACTCGTTTGTACAATAGGGGTTAAGTTTAAATTCGTTTTTAATTGTTTGTTTGAATCTTTCTATTATTGTTTAGGATTGCAATTGATCAGCCTCTTATTGGCATCTGTGTATCCTGTGTGGAAAACCATGATATTAACTTCAGTCACAAGTATTATAAGGAATGATGAATGATGGCTCGTCCTTTATTCCACTGCTAACCGCCATCCATTTTTGCTTATAACTATTTACCATATTTACTAATTTAATTATACTTCACAACTCTTATAGACATTTTTTTCTTCCAAAAAAATCCCTACTTTCTAGATACTTGTAAAAATCACACAAAAAACTCAGCTGAATTTAACTCCACTACCAAGTTCTGGCCATTGGTTTCAATTTAGTCAACCACAAGACAGTCTTCTTGTTTTACCAGTTGGACCGGAATTAGGAGATTTAAAATAGTAAGTGGTATGTTTTCAAAGTAAAAATAGACTAGAGAAAATGAATATTTGATATCAATCCTTTTTTTTCCCGCCTGTAGCTCTTTTAGAGTTACTGTCGGTCCTAAGCCTTTTTTGCCGCGTCCACTAACAGAATAGTTCCCAAATAATGGTTCATATAATCGATTTAATATCACTTCGCTTAGTATTTGTTCGCGAAATTGCGCGACCATCTTCCATTGTATTGAGGTAGATACCTGTCTCTACCCGACACGGATTAGCTCCACTGGTCATGGCTTCTCACTAGAATTCCGAGAATTCCATCACTAAGCTAGTCACTGGTCAGCACATGGTAATTATCAGTTTTAGGGGTTGTGGAGATTGGTAAGTTTTTGATTGAGATCATGAACCGATTGATGTTAGACCATCATTGAAAACCTGGAATCACCGGAAGGCCGTTTCGTCCTATTGTGGGACTCCTCAGCATCGCTACTCCATGTCGGGTAGAGAAAGATATCTACCTTAGTACAATGGAAGATCACCGCACAATTTCATGAATTGGTTGATGTTAGACATAAACACCGTTGGTTGCCGGCTCAGTTGTCTAGTAGGTGAAGCATTCACGCGCGAGCCTGAAGGCCCTGGTTTCGAGTCCCTTTGGCGCGGGATTGTGGATGCACACTGCTGAAGAGTCTCATTTCGGATACGAGAACATGTCCTAGAGGAAAGCAGTTAGAAGTCTCATTCTTGAACATCTAATTGACTGTAATCACCCCACTGATCTACAGGTTGGTTTATTATATGTTGGTAAATACAATTCGTCCAAATCTACCTAGATTTCTTAGTAACTAAATCTTTAAAACAGCAGAAACACTTGTCATTCGTGAGATGAAGCCAGAACTGTGCGTACAAAAAAGTACGTCTTATCCTTATCTTTACCATAGCCCTAGATTATTACTATTATATTTCGTGTTTAAAAAGACCCGCTTCTCTCTTTAATTATAACTCATATCCTCATGATTTTATTCATAATTGTTTCTGATATCACTTCATTTCATTTCGCCCCTTTATTATCATTTATTATTGTAACAAAAACATTTTAATCGTTGAATTCACGAGCCAATCTAAGGTAGATCACTATTGAAACCGTTGAAGCATTGGATGGCCGTTTCGTTCTAGTATGGGGCTCCTCAGCACTGCACGTTCACGATCCCGCACCAAAGGGACTCAAACCCAGGACCTTAAATCCCACATGTGAACGCCTAATCTCTAGACCACTAAGCTGGCACCCAACGATACTCGTATCTAACTTCAATCGATCGTGATATTGCGCAACCATTCATCTATTGTCTGAACTGGATAACTGTCTCACACTTAACATGGATTGGACTCCATTGGTCATTGATTCGCACTAGAACTCCAGGAAATCCATCTTGAAGATAGTCACTAGTAAGTACATGATTAATATCAGAATGGGGATTTGTGGACATCGTAGTAATTTTAATAGTTGAATTCATACTAGGATGAAACGACCGTCCAGTGCTTCCAGTTTTTCAATGATGGTCTAAGTTAAACAGATTTACGAATTCACACACACACACAAACCATCATGGAAAAGCGAGAAGCCCTGGATGGCCGTTTCGTCCTAGTATGGGACTCCTCAGCAGTGCGCATCCACAACCTCACTCCGCGAGATTCCAAACCAGTCTCACATGTCAACACTTAACCTCCTGAACACTGAGCTGGCATCTCACGGTGTTAATATCTAACTTCAACCAATATAATTATAAGTTTATCATTCAATGATCAGATTTGACATTCTGTTCTGTTCTATTAAAAATATCAATTATTAACGTTGAAACAATATTATTTTCTTGTATCTATCCCCTAGTGATCAAGATATCAGTATGACTTTTGAAAATTCATTCACATCAATGAATCCATTATCAACGGATATCAGTTTACATTTTTGGTTATCAATTAATAATCAATCAATTAATATTGATCATTCAATTAGTGATCAATTTCAATCAATCGATCCAAAACGATATTGCCTTTTTAGATTATTATGTACAAATGGAAATGGTTTAGAGATATTTTTTACAAAATATGGTTATTTAGTTGTTGCTGTATCAACACAAGAAGGTTTCAATTATGTTGTTGTAAGTCATTCAAATGATGTATTGATTTATTGTTATTTCCTTGGTTCAAATCCTGATTTTAATTTGATCGATTATACGCCTAATCAACCGTACTGATATTGAGCTGATATATTAGTCCATATTGGGCAGCTATACACTAACTCTTCTTTATGCCTAAGCTTTTGAGTCCAAAAGTAGTAATCAGTATATACAATATTTATATTTCAAACAGATGTGGCTTATATACAGACGAACTAGACCAGATCACACCATTAAATGAAGATTAGTAAGTTATACATGAACAAGCCAAATGTGACTGTGAGTAGGAGAGACTGTAACTAATCGACTGGTAATAAAGTAGTAACAATAAGACGTATCATTTTCTGGTTAGCGTTTTTTAGCAAGTTAGTTTTCTACGGGATGGAGTCGCTAACCCCATGCCTAACCCTCCTCTTTTATCCGGACTTGGGACCGGCAACAACTCTAGGAGAGCTACAAGCGGAGGTGGAATCCCGAAGGGAAGCGGAAAAGAGGAAGGGCAAATAACATATTACGTCGGGAAATAGAAGCAGATATGAAAAGGATGAATAACATCTGGAAAGAGCTGAGAAGGATTGCCAAGAACAGAGTTGGATGGAGAGTGCTGGTGGGCAACCTATACTACTCTGCAAGGAGTATCAGGCGTAGGTAAGTAAGTAAGTTAGTAAGTAAGACGTATAATCGTAGTTAGTGCATTAATGGAAAGCTCATGATAAAAGGAATACATACACAAATTATTCTAACCATTCAGTAACTGTACAACAAATTAAAATGAACAATAATTTGGAAACTAGTTCCAACTTCTACAATATTCATTCCGCTATAAAATAAATAATTTCGTAATCACCTATTCTCTATCTTTTGTCATTATTAAAACCATCTAGTTGGTAAGAGTTCAGAGGCGATTTGAATAATTTCTGGATGATTTACTTGGATCATCTTTCATCAAATATATTATCAAATAGCTTATCATGTCTCATCGTTTCAGTGTATTCAATTGTTCAGTTTTTTGCTAAATTTTATTTATTATTGAAACCATTAAATAATCAATTTTAGAACACGATTGAAAACCTGGGAGTACTGGATGGCTATGTCATCCAAGTATGGGACTCCTGAATAAGGCGAATCTATACTCCTTCAACAAAGGTAATCGGATTCAGGACTTTAACCTCTAGAGTATTAAGTCAACATCCAAAAGTATTGATGCCTAACTTCAATCAATCTATTTAGTCCCATACTAGGACAAAACGACTGTTCAGTGCTTCCAGGTTTTCAATGATGGTCTAACATTGGTCGGTTCATGATTTCAAGGAAATTCATCAATCTTTAAAACCTTAAATTGATTTTTGTAATTTTGTAGTATCCTTACATGCATTTCTTTGGATAACAACAATACATACTGCTATATAGTCTCATTAATACTCTATTGAACTTTTTAATTGACTATTGAATTGACAGACTTTAAACAGTTAACTATTTTCCCGTTATGTCTGTTTAAAGAAGAATATGAATTACAGTTGAAATTTGTATGTAAAGGGATTTATTGTACCCAGTTATAACTAGAGCTTATTATCTTGATATGACGCATATAACTTGAACACTTGAACGCTAGAACCCTATTAAGTCGCAGTGAGAAGACAAAAGACAAGTGAAAGAAATACTATTCCAGACAGTGTCAGATTATAGTACAAAAACTGTCAGGTATAGTTTTTAGTAAAAACGAAATCATCATCCGCACACAGGGGGTTAATAGCAATGTCCAATAGGGAAGCTACACGTAGAGATTCTAGAATATTCTTCCAAAAGGTGGTTTGATGAAATATCTTTAGCTCTTTCTAAGCTTCTTACAGCTTCCTTGAGTTCACCCGTGGACCGTTCTTACATACCCAATGGTCAAGAGTACTGTCTTATGATATATCTACAATTCGATAAGATGGTTAGTACCATAGGGTATTGTATCATCAAGGCAAATATAAAAGGTTTAGACTAGTTTAGACTAACCACTGTGGTTATAAGTACAATGATCTTTAGTGCTGTTAGATGTAAGAGGGCAGTTATCACTTCCTGCCTGCCCACATCATGGAAGGGTTCTTCTGGAGATATTTGAAAAGGAAATTGGGTTAGGAGTAGTCTTAGTGACCTGAGAGCGTGACCGCAGTGTCCAAGCAACAACTACTTGAGGTTGGTCACACACGATCTTTCTGTCAGTGATTTTCGTGTTAGCTCCGTACTTATCCGTGGGATAAGGTGAGGTGTGTATTTTGGGGGTCAACCTTTTCTAACCTCACCCTTCCTTATGGGCAGACAAGCATCATTGTTATGTTGGTTGTCTGTTGGAAACACCTTACCGTTGTTACACCTATTTACAGTCAGCAGTACGACTTCGCCTTTAGACCTCGGATTTGTTGCTTTTAGTCTCACTGTTCTTCGATCGACCTTTGTGGCATGGTAGCACCTTTGAAAACAATTGTTCCAGCTAGTATATCTTAACTGGTTCATTACGATAATCATGCTAGACCACCACATCCAGGTAGCAGCAACGGTCAGGAACCAAGGTGATATCTTGGACATATCACAAACCTAAACTCATTAAATCCAACCAACCCTTATATCAGTGAATCAATCTCTTATATCAGATACATGATTTTTATCCCTTTAGCACATGATTTTTTTTTCAATACTAATTTTCAATTTCATATATTTTAACTATCCTAATTGTAGACATGTGGACCAAATAAATTAACACCATGTGAATGGCATTCTGTTGCAGTTGTCTTTTGTCATACCCGTCGTCTTTTAGTTACTAAGGCGATACTCAAAGTATTTATAGATGGTAACCTTTGTTACTCTGGAGATTTTCCTCATCCACAAATAAATGGAGTAAGTGCTTTTTTTCAGTTTGTTTCATTTATAAGATTCTGTTGATCAAGTGTGAGATAGCTGTGGGAGAAATTTTTAAAATATTCACAACCAAAGTTTTATGCTTTTTGGGATTCATTTGATTATCACATGTGTAATTTTGAGAAGACACTTTTATGAGGTTCCTATTTGTTATAGTTTTCCCCGGAGCCCCTTTGAGGCTACTGCCGGTCCCAAGCTCGGATAAAAGAGGAGTGTTTGGAATGGGATTAGCGATTTTATCCTGTAGAAATCTAGCTCGCTAAAAAAACGCTAACCAAAAAAAAATTATTCAGAAAAATTATTCTTCGTCACAGCTACATTGACGTGATGACCGGACTCGGATATCGCAACAATCGAATCGAACTATATTATTCAAAATATCCGTTCCTTTGGATTGTACCATGCCAGATAAGTTTTTTGGAGGTCAGTAAGACAAACAGCATTAAGGTTTTAGCCTGAGGGTAAAGTCGTACTGCCAACTGTGTGATGGCAATTAGATGTTTCTTTTGGACAGCCAGGAAAGGTCAGATTAAAATACAATCACAAATGACCAAAGAACAGGTTTAGATATCCCGACCGTTGTTGCTACCTTGACGTGGTGGCCGGGCTCGACAATGGTGATGAACCAAACAAGCTATAATGGCTGGAACGATCATTCCTATAGGTCCTACCATGTCACACAGGTTGGTTGAACAGCGGTAAGACTAAAAGCAGCAAATCCAAAATCTGAAGGCGAAGTCGTACTGCTGACTGTAAAGAGGTGTGACACTAGTATGTTGTTCGCTTCAGAAAACCAACATAACACCGATGCTGCCTTCCTACAGGGTGTGGTGGGGTTAGAAAAGTCCGACCCCTCAAACGCACGACTCACTTTATCCCACAGATTTCCGTTTCCGGAGGTAAGGTCTCAACAAGTATGGAGCCAACACGAAAATTATTCACAGAAAGTTCGTGTGTGATCAACCTCAAGTAGTTGTTCCTTGGGCATTGCGGTCACGTTGTCAGGTCACTAAGACTACCCCTAACCCAATTTCCTTTTCAAATACCTCTAGTAGAATCCTTCTACTGTATGGGAAGTGAAAACCGCTTTCATACCTCTGACAGCATTAAAGATCACTGTATTCATAATCAATCTCCCTTCTTTAGGTTTAGATATCGCATACTAAGAAACCATCAGGTTCTAGCAAGGTCTTTTTTTAGTGCCACTTCAATTCTTCTACCATATATACTTGAACAATCATCCCGGTCAAATAAAAATAGATGGATTTAATGTGGATCTTAACAGTTGAATATATATTAGACATTTAAGTAACTGTTTTCCTTACATCATAATGAATATCTTAAATATCTAAATTTAGATATTCTTTAGTGTATGATAACTTTCTAACTCAGTTAAATAAAGTTTTGATTAAGCATTAGACTTAATAGGACAAAACTAATTAAAGTTTCTATATTCCCCATGAGTTATGTTTCTATTCTGGATACAGTTTTTACAACTGTCCCATCGTTTATTGTTTTCGGCGTTCACATTTAGCTATTGAGTTCTAAACATCAATAGAAAGATTCAAGTAAACAATACCAAGTGAATTAGACTTCATCTCATTACACAAGCAAATGGCTGTCAAGACTCAATAGCTTAGTGAATAACATGATGGCGTTTGAAGCGAACGATACTGATTTCGAGTTCTATGTTATATAATAATGTTTTAGGTAAGATTATAACTTATGGACGAACATTGAGCGACTTCTAGAATGACCTTGAAAGTGTCCACCAAATAACCAGGATCAAATAAAGGTTATAAATCTGTGTGAGGAATTGGAATTATGATTTGCTGTTGATGGTTAAGGTTATGAATTAGATTTAAGAGTTTTCATCACGAACTAACATGAACTATAATGCCAAAACTATATTTAGTCAAATGGATGAGTGAATATCGCGCCGAAATCTGAGACCGCCAGGTTTTGTTCTCTCAACAAATAGACTCAACAGTAGTTAAACTTTAATGACATTCATGAATATCTGGGCTATCTGTTCCTGTCATCCAGACATTTCAACAAGTTATCTGTTTTCTTGTGTGTTTGTTTGATTGAACACATCATTATGTCTATTAACCGTATAACCTATTCAAGTGAGTTTATAAGAAAAGTTTACGATCTTTCTTTGTACAACTTACAATAAATTACAATCATCATCAGAGACATCGGGGTGGCTGACAGATAATATGCATTGTAAACAAGCAAGATTATTCGGATGGTGATTCCTGAAATGCTTACGTCTAATCGGAGATCATTCAATATTTGTTATCAGAATCGATCAAGGAATAAGAAACGGACTCTTATTACATATATTCGTACTGTATGATTATTATATAACTTTTAATGACCCAGGATCTGACTCCAGTTTGATTGTTTCTGATTGCTATTGAGATTGAACAGAACATTCCTCGTATATAGTTATTGACTTAGATCGTGTTAATGAATAACGGAATTAAATAAGTCAAATACGAGAATAGGTTTCCAAATAGTTATATTTTGGACAGTCGTTGATCGGAACAGATAATCAGAGGGATGTAGCGAAGGGATCAAAAAACTGAGCGAAACGACTAGCAGTGGAGTAGGCATGTGAGCCAACTCCCTTTAACTAAGCGTTAATCAATATTTATAATCACACAAAAATGGTCTGGTCTGCTTCGTATGTTTAAAATATATGATTCATACAGTAGAGACTGATATTTGTGTTCTACAATGAACGGGCAGGGTTAAGCGACAAGTTGCTTTCTATAACGAGTACCAAAAAGAATTCAGAGTTGACTCAAGGCTTCTAGTGCTGTTTGATGCATGGTTGGTTTACCACTGGGACAATGTCATAGAAATTGATATTCTGACTGGAGATTTTATTACATGATATTTGATATGCCATAGGATATAACAGAGTTATTTAATCAAGTTGATCTGATTACGTTACTCTAAAAAGCATCAACAACACCTAGTTCAAATATAAAAATAGGTCTACTACAACTATTCTAATGATGTCATGCTGTTTAGTTCTTAATGCTTATTAGATTCTATTTAAGGTGGCTGTCAACTGGTTATCATGATATACAAGTAACACTATCTCAATTGTGATGAGTGATAATTCGTATGAAACCTTGTTTCAGAGCTTGTTTTCCTGGATGGCTGTTTTGTCCTATTATCGGACTTGTCAGCAGTGCGCATTCACGATCCCGTCTCGCGAGATTCGAATCCAGAACATATCCGTGTCGCACGCAAACGCTTAACCTGTATATCACTGAAATTACCGGAATCCAACTGTGTTAATGTTTAGCTTCAACTAATCCATGAAATTGAGCGACACATCCACCATTGTCTTCAGTGAGTAACTATCTCACAGCAGACCCAGTTGAACTCAAATGGTCACTGTTTCTCAACAGAACTCCAGGAAATACCTCATGAAACCAGTCACTAGTTGGATCTAGTTCTAACTTTGTGCTTTAATTCAATTGATTATTCATTATTCTCAGTATTTCTATATTTTTTTTATTCAGAATATCCAATAATCTTTCTGTATCTCAGTGATAAACGTCTAAGGAGAAGAATCAATACCTTAGGGTATGCAAATACATCATTCGGAGGAAAATAAAAAAAGGGGGGTGATTTAGCTTCAGATTGTTAATTCTATTTGAGGATTATCATTCAATGTTGTTTCTGTTCATTCCCTTTTTGTGCATGTTTTACAATACTACTCATTAAAATTGAATACCTTGTGATGCTCTCAGTATGTGAACTTGTAGAGACTGTTAAATTTTATTAAAAACCCTGACCACTGAGAACCTTAAAGCACTAGATCGCCATTTTTTCCTAGTACGGGACTCTTTATCAGTGTATCAGCAACTCGATAGGTTGTCGAACCAAAGACCTTCAGTCTTGTGCGCGAGTGCTTATCTATGCATCACTGAAGCGACATACAATGATGCATAAACTTAACTTCAATGAGTTCACAATATTGCAAGTGTAACTGCGTCACACTCGACACATTTGAGCCCCACTAGCTTTTTAAATTCATTCCCTTGAGTTTTGGCTCATTAGTTTAGAGGTTAAGTGGTCGTTTATGAAATCTAAAATCCTAGGTCGAACTTCTTGTGGAATCTTGAGTGCGTGCTGGTGAGGAGGAATCCCAAAGTAGAACAGGATGACTGTACAGTTCTTCCAGGTTTTCAGTATTTGTCTAACATAGGTCATTCCATAATACAAATAACAATCAATAATTTTGACAAACCTCTCTGCTGTATTTCTTATTATGTCATTAACAACTGTGTCTTTAGTAGACAACAGATAAATTGTTTAATTACCGACTAAATTGCAACACTACTGATCCTTGTGGAACAATTAATTGAATAGAATTCATCACTCTACATCAACTTGATTGACTACGAGAAAGCATTTGATAGAGTGGACAGAACAAAACTACGGAGGCTTCTTCGACACTACGACGTGCCTCAGAAGATAGTCAATATAATACGGAATTCTTATGATGGATTAATCTGCGAAATCGTGCATGAAGGACAGCTCGTAGACTTGTTTGAAGTAAGGCCCAGTGTCAGGCAAGGTCGCTTACTCTCACCCTTCCTCTTTCTCCTGGTGATCGACTGGATCATGAAGACGTCAACGTCTGGAGGAGGGAAGCATGGTATACAGTGGACAAGCAGAATGCAGCTAGACGATCTAGACTTCGCAGATGATCTGTCTCTTCTATCGCACACGCAACAACAAATGCAGGAGCAGACGGCTAGGGTATCAGCAGCCTTAGCAACAGTAGGTCTCAACATACACATAGGGAAAAGCAAGATTCTCCGATACAACACAACATGCACCATTCAAATCACACTTGATAAGAAGATTTGGATGATGTAAAAACGTTTACGTATCTGGACGGTATCATTGATGAATACGGTGGGTGTGATGCAGATATGAAGGCGTGCATCGGCGAAGCTACAGAAGCATATTTACAGATGAATAACATCTGGAATCCATAACAACTGTCTATTAACCAACACCAAGATCACAAATTTCAATACAAATGTGAAGACAGTTCTACTGTATGGGGCCGAAACCTGGAGAACTATGAAAGCAATCATCCACAAGATGCAAATGTTTATTAACAGTTGTCTACACAAAATACTTCGGATCCGTTGGTCATACACTATCAGAAACAACCTACAGTAGGAGAGAAAAAATCAGAACGAACCAGCGGAGAAAGAAATCAAGAAGAATCGTTGGAAGTGGATAGGGAACACATTGAGGAAAGTACTCAACTGCGTTACAAGACCAGCCCTCGATTTGAATCCTCAAGGCTAAAGGAGAAGTGGAAGACCAAAGAAGAACACATTACACCGATCAATGGAGACAGACAGACATGAGAATAATGAACAACAATTGAATAGAACCAGGAAGGAAGTCCCAGGATAAAGTGAGTTGGATGGAGAATGCTGGTCGACGGCTTCTGCTCCATTGTGGCTAACAGGCATAAGTAAGTAAGTGTGTAAGTTAGTAAGTAAATCGTTTAATTAGACTCATCAAACAGCGTTAATACAGATAGGTTTCTATTCAATTTTGATCCTTTATCTGACCAATAGATTGTTCATTTGTATAACGTGCCAATTACCGGTTGTTGTTTTTTTAGTTGAATTTTTCAAAACTACTGATATGTGTTTCAGTACTTTTCTCTTCTCTTCCCTCACTCTATCTCTCTGTATTTCTCTCATATAGAATATATTCATTCTACATATTGGTGGTTGTCCAAATTGGGTTGATCAAATTGCCTATAGTAAACTATTATGTAATATAAATTCTAGAACTGGTCGACGTAATGCTGTTATATCTAAACAACAAACTATCCATAATAGACCTCCTTATAACACTAGAGAAACTTTATCAGTTTCATCGATATCATCAATATATCAAGAAAATTTAAAAAATTCCTTGAATCTATTCTCTCAACAACTTGATATTGGTAGAATACATAAAGTGAATTTAGGTAATGAACGTTTATTATGGGGAAGAATATGTTCATTTCAAGGGAAATTAATTTCATGTTCTATGTTTAATGAAGCATTATCTGATATTATATGGCAAGAAATTTATTCACATGGTAACTAAATTGTTTCATTTTAATTGGTTTCTATGCTATTTTGTATAAATTATTCTAATATAACTATTATGGAATAAGTTTAATTGGAATAAATGGTATATGGTTATAAACTGGAGTCTAGGAAGAATTTGTATTAAATCTTTATTAATTAGATAGATCTGTATCTTAGAACTGATTCAATCAATCAATCAATCAATCAATCAATCAATCAATGGGAAAAAAGTATGCAAATACTCGATGATAATTACATGGAATTATACAGTAGGAGGGGATTTGTGGAGATTGGAGTATTTCAATAACTTTGCAGTAAAACTCTAGGAATGACATCTTGAAGCTGTTTACTAGTGGATGGTCTAGAAGTTAACAGTTTATGTTATGAAATTTGTATTTCATTTATGATTTTTAGATAATCGTTTAGAAAGAGGAAACATAAAAAGAAAGTTATTTATGTTTCTTGATTACTTAGTTATATTTAGTCTTAAAGCATAATGGAGAGTCAATGAAGATCATTTTATATTTTTCAATAATGACATTGTTTTTTCGTTTAATAAGTTGAAGTCATTATATTTTATTCTGTCGAGCTATCGTTTTCAATGTGACAGAGGTAAAACTCAATAATTAGCTTGAATACATTTAGATCTAAATTCATTTAAATTCCAGGAATTACAATTTGAAACTATTTATTTAAGATGGTGACTAGTGGTAATCAACAGGCACTCGTCAGTAAAGTGTACCTGTAATCCTGAGGCAACTGATGCTCCCTGAGAAGGAACTGTTGACTACCTCAGACCAATGTCTAATGTCAACATAGTGCACACAATGTCGAAGTCATCTAGACTAGTGGCCACATTGCAACTTGGTCGATAGTGATAAGTCTTGAGATTTTGAACGCTATACTCGATTCCTAAGCTATTCTTGAAGACCCCCAAGCTAGAACTATACAGCGACCTGAACACGAGAGAGAAGGCGCAAAGTATGCGAAAAGTACTTTACTTCAAGGTTCGTTTTTGTACAGAAAAACACGGGTATTTATAGATGTTAACATTTGTTAAGTCAACATCATATCTTCGCCAATCCGCTAAAAGACATATTATGCTACTGATCAATAGTAGCACGCCACGTTGGCATTCTAGAAAGCTCCATCGTGCTTTCATTGCCTAAGACTCTTCGGCTCCTTCAGGGCCTCCGGAGGCTCTGTTGCAGTTCTCGGAAAACCGACTTAACAGATAGCATTCGATCTTCACGAAAATAGGACCTGACACATATGATATTCATCATCACGTAATGATAAATCAATTGTGAATACATCTCAATCTTACAGGAGGTCATTCGCGGCCCGGATATCTCAGTGGTAACCTGTCTGACTGTGAAGCTGCATGATGCGAGATAGAATCTGTCAGAGAGCGTCAGTTCCCTTAAGAAAACAGGTTGATTTGATGGGAAGAAAAATCAATATTCGATTGATTTACTTAATATGAGTTTTATTCATCATTACATTCTTTTTGATTCAATGTAATGATTACGCAATGTAATATTTCTTTTCTTTTCTCGTATGATATTTATTCTGTATAATATACAATATTCTTGTATTCCATTGACTATAAACTATACTCAGCATATAATTTCTTATCACTGTGAGTATTTTTCATGTATGTGATTTTCTTCTAATTATTAATCAAAACGGGTGTACAATCAATATATAAACGAGTATATTTTCTACTAAAGGGACTTCGTTCTTTTCTCTGGTTGCTGCAGAATACACTTCTTATTTCAAGCTTGGACTTCTCCCTCTTGATAGCGGGGCTGGGGCGCAGCAATAGCTAGCTCACTGGTCATTGGTCATCGAATTTCGTTCTCGTACGCAGACTACGTGAACCCGTGATCTCTCTCTTTTTCAAACCCTAACACAGGTACACATTGATGCCAACTATCAAATAGCATGAAACCTAGGTTCAGGGTTTCCTATCAACCACGTTCAATCACCATCTTATCTTAACATAATGCACACAATGTCGAAGTCACCTAGACTAGTGGCCACATCGTAACTTATTCGATAGAATTCGATTTTCACGAATGAATGACCTGACATACATAACATTGATCACTACCTAGTGATCAATCAATTATAAACTAGTTACTTCTTAGTATATGATGATTTCTAACAAAGTATGTTCACTATCTATCCTATTCAGATTGTTCAATATGTACTAGTTGTAAGTTCGAATCCGAGACATTGTTTCTTTAATGATTATCAACTTATAATAACAATACTAACTAAATTCATAAAGATATTCATACCGCTTTTATTCCCCTATCTAACTGTTTTCTTTCTACTAGGACCTTGTAATCTAACATATCTATTGGACAATGGATGTTATAATATAAACAATAATACTACTACCAATACTACTAATACTACTATCAATATCAGTAGTATAAACACTGATGATTATACTGGAAATATAAATCATTCAACGAAAATTCTATTTCATTATCATGCTAAAGCAGTGAATTTATATAATTCTATATGTTTAGAATTAAATAGTGAAAATCATGGTTTAATTAGTGCTTTTGAATGTATCAATTTGTTACCAAGTCAACAAAAAAATCAATATTTATTATACAATGAAAATGTTTATAATCAATATTTATGGTTTAAACATATTTATTATAAATGTACAAATTATGGTGGTTTACCAGCAACTATATTAGGACCTAAAAGATTAGAAACATTTCGAATAACTGTAAGTTTATTTGTTTGTTTTTGCTTTAAATTGAGCGCCTTTCCTCCTCAAGGTCATTCCCCCCTTGTTTCAATATTCAATTTTTTTTTGATTTTTCTGAAACTTCCTTGTCATAAAATTATCAGTGAAGTATATTGAATTAGGAAATCAAATCATCAACATGTGGGTGGATGACACGGGATTAAAACCGTCAGGGAGCATCAGTTCTCTGAAGCCTACATGTACACCTAACTGACAAGTGCCAAATAGTCTGAAACCCCGGTTTAGGGTTTCCTATTGATTATCTTGAACTAACATCTTATCTTAATATAGTTCACGCAATATTGGGTCACCTAGATTAGTGAATGGATTACAACTTGATCGATAAGATTCGATTTTCATGAAAGAAGGACCTGATATACATAATGTTGATTACCACCCTATGATCAATCACCATCCATGGTTTACTAATCTTAGCTATGGACATTATGCATTTATTTTAGAAAGATTGACAATATTTATTAAACTTCGATGGATGAAGCGAAGCTTTAGATTTGAATAGAGATTCTTATGTACCGTTTCGATTTATAATTTGTTAATAGTTTATCAATAGAAAGCTTTGGACATCTACAAAACCTTTATTAGTATAAAGGAACTGTCATGTCAAAAGTTTTGTCAAATATCATGTGGCTAAATCATCAATTAGAGAACACCGATTTATATGACCTTGTCTATGTGTTAAGCTAGTGACATGTTAACCGGGATGATCAGTCTTGAGTTAACTTTGTATCCTTATTGGTACTTGATATAGCAAGCAGCTTGTAGCTTAAACTTGGTTGTTCATTTCAGAATACGAATATCAGCCTCCACTATATGAATCATATATTTTAGACATACATAGTTTATATATAAGCAGACTAGACCTCAATACACAATAAAGTGAGAAATAATCATTATACAAGATCAAGCTAAAAGTGGTTGTGAGTATAGGAGACTGTTACTAACAGAATAAGAACAAAATTAGGAATATTAAATTATATAACAGTAGTTAGTGGGTCAAATAAGAGCTTATAATGAAAGGAATATAATAATAGTCTATACATAGTTCCCAGACTTACTTACGCCTGTTACCCTCAATAGTGCATAGGCCGCTGACCAGCATTCTACAACCCACTCACTTTGTACTGGACATTCCCTTCTAGTTCTATCCAATTGTTGTTCATCGTTCTCATGTCTGTCTCTTTCCATTTCATGGAGTAATCTGTTCTTTCGTCTCCCTGTTATTATTCGCTTTTAAGGATTCCAAGTGAAGGTTTGTCTTGTAACGCAGTTGGATGCTTTCCTTAATGTGTGTTCTAACCAATTCCAGAGCTACTTCTCGATTTATTCCTCTTCATGAATCTGATATGTTCTCTCCTACAGTAGGTTATTCAGATATTTCATAGATAAAAATGTATTTGTTTCTCTAGTAACCTTCACTATTCAGAAAGAAGTACTGTAGTGTCGGTTGCTATGTCATGCCCACATAACTTATTCTAAGCTTTCTGACAGACTAATTAATTCATTTTTCTTGTGTCACTTTTGACCTTGTTAATTATTCACTATGTATCGCCTTGCCTCGCTTTGCTTCGATTCAATTCTACTATGAATATTGAGTAACGATTGATTAAAGTGAGTTGGCTTACTTGGCTTCTCCATCGCGCGTTGTTTGGTTTTGCTTCACTTTCCGACTAATGATTATACAAAATAGACGTATTCAAGAATCCATCCTCGTATTTGACTTATATAACTCCATTATTCACCAACGCTATTCAGTTCGATAAAGTATACGAAGATTGACGATATACATAGATCGATAACAATCATAATATGTTTTTAATGAAGTCAGACACCGGTTCACCAAACTACTTGTCAACTAGCATCAGAGAGTGGTTTTGTGACTATTATAGTAATTTAAGTAGTCGAGATCATGAATTAATTGAAGTTAGATCACTATGGAAAAACTGGAAGCACGCGAGATTGATAGGTCCTGGGTTCGAATCTTGCGAGGCGGGATCATGGATGCGCACTGCTGAGGAGTGCCACAGTAGGACGAAACGGCTATCCAACTATTAAAATCTTTCATTTCGAATACTAAACTTTCAAACATTTCTAATGATTCACTTTCATGTTTTAACCTATATCACAGTGAACTAATCATTTATTTCACTTCCCTCATCTTTTTCTTGTATGTGGGCATTGAAGGATTCAATCAATCAAATTGGAGGTATGGGTGTACTGTTACCAATTCTTAAATTACTTCGATATTTTCCAACAACTGACTATGATAATTCATTGAATAAACTGTATCCTATAGATGCTACATTCTTATCAACAGATGATGTAGGTTTAACTGATCTATTCATCTTTGCATATCAACGTTATATTCATGATATGAATATTGTCTTCAGTAATGAGATGACAAAAACATTATCAACATCGAATATAACTGATAACATGCCTCATGATATGGTCTCCATGAAGACATCTAATAGTGTTTCATTGAATGAGTCAAGTGAATTACGTCCACGTTCTACATCTCTTTCGTTAATTAACACTGGTAGTACTAGTAGTAGTACACCAAAATCGAAAGATGAACGAAGTAGTTCTTCTGGTTCAATTACATCTAGTGAGTTTGAAGTTTTAGGAATGATATTTTTATTTATTGTTTACATACTACTAAAACGTTTGATCAGTAGTTAGATATTTTCACCAAAATATAATTTAATTAATGCCTGAATGTAGATAATTGAAGTGATAAAACTTTCAGAAATTATATTTGTATATAATTCATATAGATATCATGAAGATGCATCTCAGTGATTATTTATTTAGTTTAATAGTTGAATTCATGAGTCAATTGAAGTTAGACCACCATGGAAATACCTGAAACTATTGGATAACTGTTTCGTCCTAGTATGGGTCTGACTCCTCAGCAGTTATCTTTTAAATTTCGCCTTTTTATGCTAATAGAATAACTTGTATCGATAGTTATTATTACAAGATGATTAGAACTAATCAATTCAAATAAACGTTTGACATTTACTTAGTTAGTACGACAATGAGAATTCAGTTAATGAATAATCTTGGAACATTATCTTGATGAAATCTAAAGGTTGAATGTCTTATTATGATAACGCTATCCATCGTTCTAAATGACTAAATGAAAAACAAACTGTGGTAGTTATATAACACAATTATTTATTATTTAAACACATGAACATTGGTACAAGGAGGCACCAAATACATATGCACCGCACAATAACACTGAAGCTGGTGGTAGTTATCATTTCTTGCCCGGGCGATAAAACCGAAACAGGTGGATTTCTTAAAGGGTCACTCTCCAAGCATCTGACCGAGAAATCAAATCCACAAGGCAGTGGAGAAACGTTAGGAGATACAGTTCTATGGTTGTCGGTGACCATCCATAGGTTCATACATCATTTGTTACCTCAGGATCTTGAAGCGCACGCTCATCATTGATTTAGAATCAGGGTTTTCCAACTTCATTAGGTAGGTCCTTTATATCAACCGACCTGGTTAAAGCTCCGGACATTCGCTTTTCGTCCTCTCAAATTCGTATATATCACCGCCGCCTCGAGAAGGCAATGAGTTGAATTTCCATGCCAGTGGCTGTGTACACGTGGCCATGTGAGGGCATTTGGAGAGGAAGAGCTAACGCTCCCCACTCTCGATTTTACCAGGGCCATTGGGGGCAAAATACTGTTGAAAAGGGATGAAAAGTATCATTTTTGGGTTCTTAATAACTTTTGAATTAATTCAACACTAAACATTTTCACTGGATACACAACTAAAAGCCTTCGAATCAGTCATTACAATTAACACATGTGTATACAACAAAGTAAAGTAATTACTATAATATCCACAAAAGGCTTTCTGATATGAATCAACATATGCTCACTGGGGACTGACTTCATGAGGTATTTCCTGGAGTTCTAGTGAGAATTAGTGATCAGTGGAGTTCAACCGAGTCAGTAGTGAGATAGTAACTCACTGAAGAAAATGATGGAAGGTGGTTCAATTTCGTGAATTAGTTGAAATTAAACATTAACACCATTGGATGCCAAGAATTTTAGTGGTCTGGTGGTTAAGCGCTCGCGCGTGAGACTGATAGGTCCTGGGTTTGAATCTCACGAGGTAGGATAGTGGATATGAACTGCTGAGGTATCCCATAATAGGACGAAACGACCGTTCAGTGCTTCCAGGTTTTCAATGGTTGTCTAACATCAATCGGTTCAAGATTTCAATGAATAACTTAATAATCTCCACAACCGTATACAAACATTTGTCTCAATGATAAACATGAATTGTATACATAACCATTTATATACAATGCATTGTATTTTCTCTTTTTATCTTATAGATAATACATTGAATAATAGTAGTGTAGCTAATCTACTTTTAATTCTACGTAATTTAATATTGTCAAAACCGGAAAATCGTGTACAAGTTTTATCCCCTGATTTTATATTACCCCTTTTATACCTTTTAAAAAAGGTGGGTAAATTATCTTACTGGTTTATATCAAACGAAGATGTTTTATTATACTTAAGTGTTGCTTTTTTTCTTTTCTTTATGAATATTTATAAAGTATAGGAATAGTTCCTTAATGTAATCTGCTTGAAGGATCCATAAGAATTGATTATGAATACAATGATCTTAAGCGATGTTACAGATAAGAGGGTAGTTTTCACTTTCCAGTTGCTTATACCGTGGAAGGGTTCTTCAAGAGGTAGCTGAAAAGGAAATCGGGTTAGGGGTAGTCTTAGTGTCCTGAGAGTGTGACCGTAATGCCCAAGGGACAACTGCTTGAGGTCGGTCACACACGATCTTTCTTTGAGTGATTTTCATGTTAGCTCCATACATGTTGGGTACTTACCTCCGGAGACGGAAATCTGTGGGATAAGGTGAGGTGTGTATTTTTTGGGGTCGACCTTGTCTAAACCCACCCTTTCTTGTGGGAAGACAGGATCGCTGTTATGCTGGTTGTGTGAAGGAAACACCTTACTTCTGTCACACCACTTAACAGTGCTCAGTACGAATTCTCTCTCGTACATCGGGTTCGGTGCTTTTACCGTTGTTCAACCGACCTGTGTGGCATGGTAGGAGCTTTGAAAATGATCGTTCCAGCTTTTATAGCTTGTTTAGTTCATCACAATTGTCAAGTTTGGCCAACACGTCAACGTAGCGGCAACAGTCTGGAATCTGGATAAATCGATTAAATGATAATGTAACCATCACTGATATAACACTCTTTGAGTTTTTTTATAGACTAGCTCATATTATACTGTTGGAAGTCAATGTTTTAACTTGATGATAACTTGTTCATTGCTACTGACTACATCACTCCTTGCTTACTAGTGCTAACCTATATAAAACTCTGCGGTTTCTTAACATCAAATATATGGGATAACAATTTTTGAATCATCTGATTTAATGATCATGTCATAATTTGACCGGTGAAAGTCGTTCGTTATTGCTGGACGAAATATAACGACTTTCGTTACTACACTATGATCGCATAATGTCAAGTTAGATGATAGTTCAGTTGTGATTGCATTAGTCAAGTTAGTTTGAATATAGACCGTTAACCAGTAATAGACTTTTCAACAAAGCCAGGGGCTATAACCAGAGATGTTCTCATTCACGTGTTATGACTGAACAAATTTATTGTTATTTATTTGAACACATAATTACTGATACAAGAAGGCACCAAATAGATATGCGCTAAATAAATCATTCGATTTGCGTGAGTGCTGGGATACTGTCCCGCTGCCCAAACCGAAGCAGGTGGATTTCTTAAGGGGTTACATTCGAAGCCTTTGGCCTGAAGGTCTGATCCACAAAGCAGTGGAGCAATATAAGGAGATTCAGTCCCGTGGTAACCGTTGATCAATAATTGCTTCATACACCATTTGTTCCCCCAGGATCCTGGAGCCCATGTATATTATTGGTTTTCCAACTCCTCTAGGTGGATCCTCCACATCCACCAACCCGGTTAAAGTGCCGGACATCCGCTTATCGTCCTCTCAATTTCGTAGACAACACCCGTGGTGCTAGAAGGCAGTGAGTATGACTTCGCTGTCAGTGGTTGCATTTTACGTGTCCATATGAGAGCATTTGAAGAGACAGAGTTGATTCTCCCCACTCTCGGCCGTACCAGGGCATTTGGGTGCCATGACTAAACTAAACGTATTTAACTATACTATTTATATCATTAATAAACTGATACAAAGAGTAAATACATACACTGAATACACTAACTGTTGATTTACATTGAATGATAATTGAATAGCACCATAGTACTGTTTAGTCATTTAAGTAATATGTGAACATAATTCATAAAAATGGTCCAATCATAAGTATACAACTATAACACATAAAACAAACTGATTATGTTATACATTTGGTTTTATCTACATTTTGTTGTGAATCATCTTAACTAGTTTATATCTTACTTCGGTGTACACCAATTATACGAACAGATGTAAGTAGTATGTATAGCAGGAATTGAAAGTGGAATACTTTCTAGCAGAAGATTGAACTAAAGAAAAGAGAAAGGAAATCAGTGAGCGATCAGAATAACAACAAGATTGTATAAAACAATTAATTGATTTTTCTTATCAAGTTTTCATCCATTACCTTTGATATCTCTGTCTGTATTCGAACCTGAGTTAGTGCGTTCATTGTACTACTTCAATATCATTTCACTATTATATTTATAAAGGAATAATGATACCAGAAGGGGTTTTGTGGTTAAAATCATGAATCAATCGAAGATAGACCATCATGAAAAACCTGGAAACACTGAACGACCTTTTTGTTCTAATGTGAGACTCCTCAACAATGCGCATCCACAACCCCTCCCTCTCGAGATTCAAACTGAAAATCTATCCGTCTCACACGCAATCGTTTAATAGTGGTCTAAAATCAATCGATTCATGATCTTAATCCAAAATCCAATAATTTTTACAAACATATACAGATAATTTGTTTTTGTTTTTATTTTTTTTTTTATTTTACAGCTTCATCCTTTACGTTTCAATTCATTTGTAGTATCTACAATTCATGATCTCTTTCGTGTTCTTATCTATTTACCTAATAAAAGACAATCATTATTTAATATGAATACAATACAAAATTGGTTTGATAATCAACCAAATCAAATACTATCTAAAAATGTATTATATCTTACTTGTCAATTAATATTAGATTGGGATTTATGGTCAAAACCTAATTCCATAGCAATTATGTTCCATTTACAAAAATTAAATCAATTGGTTATTGATTATAATAGTTTATTGAAAGAATTATCAGTGGATTCATTATTAGAATCACTTGTACAATATCATAAGTAAATCATAGTTTTATTGATAATATGTTTGTATATCATTGATGTTTAGAAATACCTTAGTAACTAACCATTTCTTTGGTTTGTTAGTATAGGGTTATTGGAGATTGTTAAGTTTTTGATTGAGATCATGTTAGACCACTATTGAAAACTTGAACGGCTGTTTCATCCTATTGTGAGACTCTTCAATAGTGAGTATCCACAATCCCGCTAGCGGAATCAGTGATCATTGGAGCTAATCCATATCGGGTAGAGACAGGTATCTAGTTCAGTACAATGGAAGATGGTCGCATGATTTCGAGGATTGGTTGGGGTTAGACATTAACATTGTTGGATGCCTGTCGGCTCAATGATCCAAAGGTTGGGCATTCATACGCGAGATCAAAGGCCCTGAGTTTGAATCTCGTGAGCGGGATCGTGGATGTGCACTGTCGAAAAGTCTCACAACAGAGTGAAACGGCCGTCCGGTTCTTCCAGGCTTTCAATGATGGTTTAACATCAATCGGTTCATGATCTCTTTGGGTTGTTTTGGACTGCTATCATAGTCGGCTATATGATGTATGGGACAGCGCAACTAGCGCAATAACCTTAATAGATATATGATTATATATATATTTTAATCTTATTATGTAGTTTTTAATTGTATCTATATTAATGGTTGCTTTGATTGTCAGAAGGGGGCATCAGCTTCATGATTTCCAAAGGAACTCAGCTTTCACCATAAGACATCATAACTCTTCTAACTTCAATTGCAGAGTTTCAATGGTTTGAATTATTTTTTCTGGTTAGTGTTGTTTTAGCGAGTTAGTTTTCTACGGAATGTGGTTGCTAACTCTATGCCTCACCCTCCTCCTTTATCCGGACTTGGGACCGGCAGTAGCTATAGAGGGGGTCCAGGTGCAGTTCTTAATAGAACGATGATAGTTACCCCAAAGCTGTCTCATGTTCGTCAGTCATTTTAGATTTTAAATATGCCCAAAACTTTAAGGCGGTTCATATGAAGTTCAAAAAAATGCTTATCATTACAACTATACGCAGTCGAGTCACCTAGGCTAGTGGATACATTACAACTTGGTCGATAGGATTCGATCTGCACTAAGAACGATCTAACATGCATCACATTAATCATCACCCAGTGATCAATCAATTGTAAATACCTGTCGATTGTAATGTGGTCATTAGTCCAGATGACTTAACAAAATACACACTATGGTTAGATGTTAAATAGTATGAGGTAGTTGGCTTTAAACCCTGCTTGACCTAGGTTTCATTCATGATAGCTAGAACTTATGATTACAGATTACCTAGAATCTTTCGGGTACTGATACTCTCTTTACGATTTGATCCAATGTCATTCAGCTTCATAGGTCACAATGTTACGACTGAGCGATCCGGTTAGAGACCGGACTAATTCAAGTGTATTAAAAACTCATATAAATGTTTTAATTAGTTATAATGTGATCGAATTTCGATTGTTATGAATGCACATTGAAGATAAGTACTTAGCTGAAAATCTAAAGCTATTGAATGTTCCCTATTTTACATTAATTTCTCAATTGATCTCTGTTCATCATATAATCTAAGTGAGTTTCTATAGGACTAAGTGTATTACAGATGAAAATATGTGGTAGTACATCTTTCTAGGTTTGAAGTTATTATGAGTTCACTCAATCTGCAAACGAGAACAAAGATTCGGTGATCAAAGATCAATAAGCTAGACATTCTAATGCATCCCAGCCCCGCTAACTAGAGGAAGAAGTACAAGCTTGGAATGGAGAAGTATATTCTGCAAACTGCCAGAAACGAGCGATAACAACAAACACAAATCAAAAAGTATATATATACAGTAGAAAACCGTCCTTGGGGAGAGTTACCAAATAGCATACTAAAAGATGCAGCGGACCAATAGCATTTAAGATATTTCCCAAGTAGGAAATACGACATGAAGGTGATAAGAGCACTTTTGGCGCGGAAACAAAGAAACTCAAATTTTCTAAATAAAATTACAAAATTAGGTCCCTTTCCATGTGAGTTCTGGTGATCTGACGTCCCCAACACATATAATATATAAAAGAAAGATTATGTATAAGGATATAGTACAGGAAGAAAGAATTAGTTGGTAGAAATAAACATATAAAGAAAATTTAATCTTACGGTTGAAAAGGGACACTGAGTGTGTATACACCGACGCCATTGTGATCAATTGTGAACTATGTCACATAAGTCTCCAATCATTGGTTACAATAGTCACATGGACTGGACCCTAACCATATAGTTTACATCTACCAACATGGCTAAGACTAGAAGTTAGTAACTGATGCCACGTTTTGGTTTGACCGCCCTTAAGTTTCTTCTAGTAGTCTCCAACACTTACTAGCATTGCGTGTTGTAGTAATCAGTGTTTAGGCATAATTAACACATAGCTTAACTATCTCAGTCGATAGAGAATCACAATCTCATCGATTGATATATCATCACTTCCTAATACGCTAGCATCTAACCTCACTATTACTTACCTAGTGATCCTAGCAGATGAGAGTAATATTTCTAAGAAATCTATGATCAAATACTAGTAACTTACAAGTATCTTCTACTCTTAATGTCCATGTTTCACATCCATAAAGTAGAACAGAACGAACTGCTGCACAGTATACTCATCCCTTAGTTGATAGACGGATATCTCGCCTTCGCCATAGGCGGTAACATAAGTTGGCAAAAGCAGAACGAGCTTTTTTTCGTTCTTTTTCTTCATTATCAATTTATTATTATTATCTTCATTTTATTTCTTTTCTAGTAATTTAGATTTATGGTTAAATGATCTACCAACAACATATACTACTGATATCTTACTAAAAGGTCCTACATTCACTACTGATATCATAAATAATATTGATAAATATGAATCATTAATATCAAATCAAATAAGAATACAATTATGTAAATTAATTGAAGTAAAACTGTTACCAAGGACACAAATTAAAGATCTAATTAAATTAATTGATTTTATTATCACTTGTCCAATTATTATATTGGTAAGTTGGTTTAATCAATAATTAGAGAATATTAGTAATAATAATACTATTATTATTATAGTTGAAATCATGAGTCATTTGAAGCTCGACCACCATGAAAAACCTGGGAGCACTGGATGACTGTGTCATCCTATTGTGGGACTCCTCGGATCTGTGCATCCACGAGCTCGCCTCGAGAGGTTCGAACCCAAGACCGATCAGTCTCGCGCGCGAACGCTTAACCTCTATACCACTAAAATTGCCGTCATCCAACGATGTTAATGTCTAATTCCAATTAATCCACGAAATTGAGTGACACATCCACCACTATTTTCAGTGAGTTACTATCTCACAACAAAACTAGTTGAACTTCATCGGTCAGTGCTTCCCACTAGAACTCTATGAAATACTTCTTGAAGCCATTCACTAGTGAGCGTATATTGATTAGTATCAGAAGTGTGATTTGTGAATATTATAGTAATTTAATGGTTGAGACCATGAGTTAATTGAAGATAGACCATCATAAAAACCTTGGAAGAACTGAAGGGCCATTTCGTCCTATTGTGGGACTCCTCGGCAGGGCGTATCCACGATCTCGCTTAAGGGATTCGAACCCAGGGCCTTCGGTCTTGCGCATGGATTGGTTGAGATTAGAAATTATTATTATTATCTAGTTATTTTATTTTGATTAATAAACATTTACTTCAAAATGATGTCTTTATGAAACATTTTCCATGTATTAAATGTTAATGAAATTTTATCTGGTGAAGCCAGTTTAGTTTTTCTGTCATTAGATTTCGTGTTTATAAGTCTCAAAAACTTATCTCATGAAGTTGACTGAGTTGGGAAATCATTATCCCCAGGTTTTAGCAAGAGGACACCACATAAGTGGGAAATTATAGTCTACATGCATACCAGTGACACATAAGTTTTAACCTAACTCCCCTCGGCTTACACATAGGTATACTCACCCAGGGTAAATATAGTCTACATCCACATTGGTAACACACAAGTTTTCACATATGCATTCCATAGCATACATATAGGTATATTCACCCACCTGGAAGGGTAGATGGTCACCACTCTCTTTGAACGTATTTGCTATAACTGACTGTCTCTTAAGTATTACATGCATACCACAAGTACTGGTACTTTCATATATGTACTTCATGACATATATATTAGCGTAAACCATCTTAAGAAGGATTGATGGTCAGCTAAACGTAGTATTTACTACCGTATCTTCGACTTTTTGATCTAGGTTCTGTTGTGAGCCTGCGCGTGTACCCTCTGCACATACCTACGCACATAAACTACACAAGTCGACACTCGTACAATTCATATATAAAAATATACACATCGAGTAGCTCGCAAGGTTTACTGAGCCCCAAGTAGGAACCTATGTAACTCAGCGTACAACAGCAGAGTTGACTTTACGACGAGATTCTAATTTATGAACGACCTTTGAACGAATCTTAAGTGACCTTGAGAAATATTGGCCAATCAGCAAACAGTTAGTATAGAGTAAAAATATGTTATACAAATTCAATGAAATAAAGTGGATACACTTCTTGTACGTGGTTCAAAAACTTGTCAAGGTTAGAAGGAGTTTCAGAGGTTCTAAAATCGTAATGCATGCAGTAGAAGAAATCATTCATACGGCTACAGAATAGTCGGCCTCTGGAGCCATGATAAAGTCTCGAAAACTCTTTCAGCCTCGAACACATAGCTTCAATATTGTTTATATGCACTCTGGTTGTTGAGTACACAAAATGCTACTTATGGATAACGACACGATTCACATAACCAAGCATTTGTAGGAGTCCGTACGCTCTCCCAACTGGTGCTTTTGTTATCTAGTTCGCAATAATTGTCGTAATTTGCCTTATTTAGGAATTATATATGGAGTTTTCATCACGAACTGACATCAGCTATAATACCAAAACTCTACTTAGCCAAATGGATGAAAGACTTTCGCGCTAAAATCCAAGATTTGTCATCCTATATCTGATTCGTTGGTCCACAAATTATGGTCTCCCCTTTTTATTTGTTATAGCCGCTCAATTATCACGTTTTGTATAAAATTTGCCTGTGAATCGATCGTACGTTATCACTGAGCACTGAAGTTGCCTCCATGACCTTGAAATCTCTCAAACGCTTCTGATTGACTCGTCCATAAATTAGAGTCTCGCCGACTTTATTACTTCTGAGACATACAACGAGGAAGCTTTGTGTCTGGTTTTGTTACCATGATACATAGTAATAAAGATTACACACTATGCTAAACATCAATACTATCATTATTGATTTTGGTACAATGTATTGAAAATCATTTTTACTCGGTGGGGGGAGAGGAGGAAAGGGTTCTTTAAAGATAGATTAAGAATATTTTTGATTAAACCTTTAATATTTATTTCTTAATTTTAGGTAAAGGATGTAATAACTATGTTACATAATTGTTTTGATCGATCTCATACTAATGATTCATTTACATTATTAATTTATGAATCAGATTTAATTGTAAAATTGTATAGTTTATTATTTAAATCAAATTATCAAATGAATATTGAAACTAAGAGATTAGTATTAAAGGTAAGTTATATATATATAGAAAGTTATCGTGTTTTTGATAATCATTATTAAGCTTTGAGAAGTATTTATTGGTAATTGGTTGTTATGATGGTTGAGTTACACTCTTGTGATGCCCTGGTACAGTCAAGAGTGGGACGAGTCAGCTCTCGTTCTTTCGAGCGTACGCATCTATAGCCATTGTCATAAAAGTCCTACTGACTTTAGGATCATGAGGGAACAAATAGAGTATGAATCTAATGTGTGGGTGAGGATGATAATGATTGGTTGTTGGTCTAGTTAGACTTATAAGTAGTCTGACAGGCGTTAGATGATTTATATTGTTGTCCTATCCTTATTATTATTATTGTTATTGAATTGTTGTCGAGTTTTGTTGTGGAAATATATTTACGTTCTAGTCAGGCTAATCACGTGTTCTTGATCTGAGTTGTGTTAAAATCCTGTAGAATAGATACTGGGATGGAATCTAGTGTAGATATTTGTCTAAGGTAAATTAGCATCCATTAACGAACCACTATAACAAGATTTAATGTTAGTCGCCGACTATCATAGAACTGCATGTCCTAACGTTACTCCACTACCTTTTAGATTAGCCTACTTGGTCAAAGGCTTGAAGAGTAGCCCTCTAAGAAAACCACCCGCTTCGCTTTTGGCGGGGTCTCTCGAACAGTATTCCAGCGCATTTCACAAAAGGTTATTTCATATTTTCTATCTGTATCAATCAGAAAATAATAGATCAGCTATTACATTTATAACCCAAATTTATTCATTGGGTATGTGAAAAGAGCATATTCATCTTAGAACTTGGAAGATATATATATATACATTATTGAAGGGATTATGAAAGATAGAAGAACATCACCACCACCACCACCACCAACAGCAACAACAACAACTGGGAATCTAGTTCAAAAAGACAAAACTCAGTCAGTCAGTCAGCTACAACGTACGACCAGGCACATATATGCATCGGTCCAAGTTGCTATACCATATTAACAAAACAAGATGAACATCAAATTCATAGAAGTAGTCACTTCAATGGTAGTAATGTATAAAAGAAAGATTGCATATAAAGAGAGAGTGTAGGAAAAAAGAGTCAGTTTTTAGGAAGAAAAATATAAAGTAATTTTAATCTCATAGTTTAAGGGAAAACAAAGAGTGTATACACCAACGCAATTGTAATCGATTCTGAGTCATGTCATTTAGAGTCTCAAGATATGTATTTATATATAAATCCACCTGGAGCCCCTCTGAGGCTACTGCTGGTCTCAAGCTTGGATAAAGGAGGAGAGTTGAATATGAAGTTAGTGACCCCATCTTGTGGAAAACTAACTCGCTAAAAACAATACTAACCAGAAACAATAATTTAAACCATTTAAACTTTGCTCTAGGAGTTAGAAGGTTTTCATTTAGAAGTGTTATGACACCACATCATGAAAGCAAAGTTCCTTCGGAATTCACGAGGCTGATGCTACGTCTAACAACCAGAGCAACCATTTATTTAGATACATGGAAGGCTTGTACAATGTAGGAGACCGAGAGAGTCTTCCAAATTGTTGCAGATATATATATATATATATATATATATATATATATATATATATATATATGAATATTAGAATTTAAGATCAAGAGCAAGTACCAACTGAATATCACAATTGATTGATCACTGGGTGGTGATCATTGTCATATGTGTCAAGTCCTTGTTAGTGAAGATCAAATGCTATTGACTAAATTGCAATGTGGCCACCACTCTAGGTGACTCGACATTGCGTGCATTATGTTGAGATAAGATGGTGGTTGGAGGTAGTTGACAGGGAACCCTGGACCCGGGTTTCGTGATACTTGGCACTCTTCAGCAAGGTGTACCTGTAATCTCAAGGGAACTGGTGCTCCCTGACGGATTCGATCCCGTGTCGCCCGGCGTCACAGTCAGAAATGTTACCATATGAGCTATTCGAGCCATGACCGACTTCCTGTAGGACTGAGATGTAATCACAATTGATTGATCACTGGCTGGTGATCAATGCCATGTGTGTGTGTGTCAAGTCCATTTTAGGGCAGATCGAATGCTATCGACCAAGTTGCAATTGAATATATCAATTCCATTATGAATAGTCTTTATATGTTCATCTTCATTTTTAGTTTATTCATAAATTAGCTTTATCTGATCGAGTAACGGATAAATATAAGTCACAATTATTTCTTAAAGATTGGAATGGATTCAGTTCATTATTGAATAATAATTCAAATATATTAATATTATTACAAGATTATGAAATTGTTAAAATATTCTTGGATCTAATGAAACGTGGTATGTATCTTCTTTATTCATTGTTCTGTTATTTTTGCTGGAAATTGAGCCAAACTAGTGAAGTACTGATCAAGGTACTTAAGATTTACGGAGCAGGTTTCAAACTCATAACTGAATAAGTAAAGATAGATGGTGACTAGCAGTGGACTCGTCAACTAGATGTACCTGCATTTCAGAGTTGATGTTTACTTTGGGACTCGAATTCGTTACCGTTCGTTTTAAACGTCATCGTGTTATTCACTTGGCTACTGAGTCCTGGTAGTCACCTGGTTTTGCAATGGGGTGGAGTTTAAATTCACGTGGTGTTGTTTTACTTGCATCTTCCCATTGTTGTGTACGACTGTAATTGATCAGTCTGTTGTTTGCATATATGCATCCTGTACGACTGTCTTGATACAGCCTTAAGTCACAAGCTTTCTAAGCAAAGATGGATGGTGTTTGATGCGAAAGGTATTAGGTTCCATTTCTGGAGCGAACATCAACTCTGGAATGCAGGTATATCTATTTGACAAGTCCCAAATTAGGATGAAACTCCCGTCCTGGATTCCATTGCTAGCCACCATTCATCTTTGCTTATTCAGTTATAAGTTTGAAACCCGTTCCGTAAATCTTAATTTTGGTTTCATAATGTTCATGTAATAAACAGGAATAATATCCGAATGAAAACAACTACATGATGTCATTTAATCAATGCACGAATGTTTTTGGTGATTCATAAAATTTCAATAGTTGAAATCATGAATCAATTGAAGCTAGACCACCATGGAAAACCTGGAAGCACTGGACGGCCGTTTCGCCCCAGTGTGGGACTCCTCAGCAGTGCGCATCCACGATCCCGCCCCCCACGGGATTCGAACCCAGGACCTATCATTCTCGCGCCAGGTGCTTAACCAACTAGACCACTGAGCCGGCATCCAACGGTGTTAATGTCTAACTAGCTTCAATTGATTCATGATTTCAACTATTGAAATTACCAATTCTCCAAAAAACCCATTCTAGTAATTCATAAAATTGTCGTGTTATTAAGTCATAGGTATTAAAAAATGTGCGAGACTGAAGTTCCTCGGTTCCATTCCCGTATACGTGATTGTGAATGGGCACTGTCGAGGGGTCCCATACTAGGATGAAACAACCTTATAATGTTTTAAAGTTTTCAATAATGGTCAGACTTATGTCAGTTCATGATTTCAAAGGGATAAAAGCTGTTTATGCAGCTGAAACTGATTGTTCTTTAACAAAATCTATGAAATCAGGTCATTTGAGCCATTGGTTTGTATCGTTTCTGCGAACAACTCAGATTGTATCGAATCAAAAAACTTGTTTGATGAAATTATGATCTTTTATCCAGGTTGTTTGGATCGTCATATACTATGCTTATAAGAGATTTCGTTTTGTTGTTAGTACAGACTTGTATGGATAGAAATAACAATTGTGGTAGAATCATTTAATTTCAATTATTTTGCGTATGTACTTCAACATCGTACGACCTAGAACTTACTTACATACGCATGTTAATCCTCATGAATGAAAATATCCCACCCACCAGCATTCTTCATCCAACTCTATCATAGAGAATCCTTTCCAGTTGTCTTTAGTTGTTATTCATCCTTTTCATCTCTGCTTTCAATTTTCAACGTAGTGTGATCCTTGGTCTTCTTCTTTTTAGTATCCCTTAAGGATTCCAAGTTAGCGCTTTCCTCGTGATGCAGTTTGGTGATTTCCGTAATGTATGTTCTATCTATTTCCATAATCTTTTCCTAATTTCCTCTTCATCTGGAAGCTGGTTTGTTCTCTCACATAGTAGGCTGTTGCTGATTGTATCCAGTCAACCAACATGTGTAGACAATTGTTTATAAATACTTGTACCTTTTTGATGGTGGTTGTGGTAGTCATATACTTTTCAGCTCTGTACAGTAGAATTATGTTTTTGTTCGTATTAAAGATTGCGACTTTGATGTTGACTGACAGTTGTTTTGAGTTCCATATGTTTTTAAACCGTAGGAATACTGTCCTTACTTTGCCAATCCTCGCCTTTACGTCTGCATCAAATCCTTCTTGTTCAACGATGATGCTGTGGAGGCATGTTAAACTTTCCATCTATTCCATAGTATCTCTATGAAGTGTGATTAGACTAGTGTTCTCTGTGTTGTTTTTGAGGATCTTGTACTTTCTCTTGTGTGTTTTGGGGCCTACTGTTACAGAGGCTGCTGCTACACTGACTGTCCTCATCAGCATTTGTTGGTACAACCAAGAAATAGTACTATAATAATTATGTAAGGGCAGTTGTTCATCCTTTGTATCATACTGTAAGGTATTTATCTATGCGCGTTAAGTACTTACAACTACGAAAACAAGAACCATTAGAATGATAAAACTTGATATACAACGTTGAAATGAAGAGAATGAGTTATGGAACCGGTTGCATCACGTAAAGTTGAACACATAGATAAATATGTTTAGTGTGTATTTGGAGAAGAGCTAATTCAAGATGTGTTCAGGAGAAACGAAAGCTTTTATGCAAGGGTAATCTGATATGATTTTCAATTCATTGTAAAGGGATTAGATACGTTCATTATTAAAAATACGGCATATCAATGACTGGAAAATAGTTTAGTGAAACAGTCCAACATCAGCCATGTGATCGGCTAAGATGTGACTTTGTTTTCTTAAGAATGAGACACATCCTGTTGATGGAAAATCATAGCTTAAATTTCTTAGTGTACAGTTATTGTTAAATTCGCTTCAACTGTTTAAAGTGTGGGGAAGGTACTCATCGAAGACAGTAGTAAATAGTCTCATAATATCATGGCTTAGTTGAAGTTAAACATGTATACCACTGGATCCCGGGTCAATGGTTCGAAACCGAAGGTCCTTAGTTTGATTCACAGTAGCACAGTCGTGGGTGTGCAATACTGGAACAAATCATCTACGCAGTACTCTTAAGTTTCCAACGATTGTCCAATCACGATTATTTTATGATAAAAGTTCATCTTTTTGCTATCAGTCTTCTCATTCAAATAGCCGGTTAAGTTGGGGCATAGAAAATTTGGGATACCTCCCAAAACAACAAGAAAGTACTTCCAAAGTAATGAATTTCTGTAAATTCGTTCCAACAGAATCAGGAATTGGCTTGACATAGTATCAAATACATAATTTTCTAATTCAGCTTCAAGTAAATATTAACGAAGCATAGAATAGGAACTAAGCTTGAATATAACATTCCCCAAATATCCTCTGCTTTTCAATGTTTCTCCAGGTGATGTTAGTTTATAATGTTGCTGTTTTCAAACAGTTAATGATAAATCATTATCTTTTTACCTAAATAGGACTGAAGCCTAGGGTAAGAACCACCAAGCCAGGGTACATGCAGTCCAGCACGAAGCTAAGTGCATACTATATTCAACCACTGAAGCCTAGGGTAATAACCACTAAGCCAGAGTACATGCAGTCAAGTACGAAGCCAGGTGCATGCTTCAATATATTTTTTTGGATTATGATAATGATCCTTCCGCAGGCTCACCTATGGAAACCTTGTTACGACTTTTACTTCCTCTAAATAGTCAAATTAGGTCATCTTCTCAGTTTCATTCGAGCGGCAAAATCACTACAACAACACCAAATTAACGACCTCACTAAACCATTCAATCGGTAGTAGCGACAGACAAAATCCTCTTCTCTAATCTTACAAAAATTAAAGATCCAGTATCATTATACACACCACCCGTTACTTCTACCGATTGAATGGTTTAGTGAAGTCGTTGGATTAGTGTCGTTGTAGTGGCTTTTCCGCTCGAGTGATTCTGAGATAACTTAATTTGATTATTTAGAGAAAGTAAAAGTCGTAACAAGGTTTCCGTAGGTGAACCTGCGGAAGGATCATTATAATGACCCAAAAATATACATTGAAGCATGTACATGGCTTCGTGCTGTACTGCATGTACCCTGACTTAGTAGTATTTACCCTAGGCTTCAACGATTGAAGCAACATTGTACTCTAGAGATTGTAAAAATTCTGTGTAATGTCATTTGATGTAATTAAGAACTAATGTAGATCATATTCCTCTTAGACATGTCATGAAAGAATATACACACCTTAAAAACAAACAAACAAAATTCTTATGTGAATTATACACACTGATGAGGAGTCTCATACTAGAACAAAACTGTCGTTCAGTACTTCCACGTTTACCATGATTGTCTAACATTGATTAGTTCATAATCTCAATCAAAATAATTATTAAATTCACTTGGTATTGTTTACTCAAATCTTCTCATTGATGTTTAAAACTGCAATTGATCAGTCTCTTATTGGTATATGTACATCCTGTGCGTATCGCCTTTATTTTTAAGCTTTATAAACAAAGATGAGTAGTGACTAGCAGTGAAATCCAGGACGCACATTTCATCCTATTTTAGACTTGTCAGTTAGATGTACATAGATCTAAGTGTTGATGTTCACAATCGAGTATTTATGAAGGCTCAGTAGCTAATCGGATAATGCAATGATTTGTTTGAAACGAACAGTACTGGGTTCGAGTCTAAGAGTGAACATCAACAAGTCTGAGATACAGGTACATCAATCTAGATGAGTCCGAAGTGATGAGCTTCCTGGATCCCAAAACTAGCTTAAAATAATTAGTTCTTAATTATTTATTAAGTTTTGTTTCTAAATACTTTTAGGTCCTTCATATGATATTTTGGGATTGTTACGTTTAATGGATCTATTATATCAAAGTCCATTGAAATTTCGTATTTTGGCAGTAAATACATTTATGGATATATTTAATAAATCATCAAAATATGTTATTGAAATTTTAAATCAATTACCTGTATTCTTGGATTCATTTTTCCGTTTATTGATTAAATGTCCTAAAGAGTAAGTGTTTATAGCATGTGTTATGTTCTTATAGCTTGTTTAATTATTAAGTATCAGAAGGGGTTTTGTAGAGATTGTAGGAATTTCAACAGTTGAGATTATGAGTCAATTAAAGCTAGACCACTATGGGAAACCTGGAAGCATTGAACAACCGTTTTGTCTCATTGTGGGACTCCTCGGCAATGCTCATTCACGATCCCACTCCTCTAGATTCGAACCCAAAACCTATCGATTTCGCGTGCGAATGCTTAACCACTAGATCACTGAACATGTTAATGTCTAACTTCAACTAAACCAAGAAATTGAGCTACACATTCACCATTGTCATCAGTGAGTTACTATTTCACAACAAACCTGGTTGAACTGCACTGTTCACTGCTTCTCACTAGAACTCCATGAAATACTTCTTGAAACTAGTCACTAGTGAGCATATGTTGATTAGTATCAGGTGTTTTGTGGAGATTGTAGTAATTTCAATAGGATAAAACGGCAGTCCAGTGCTTCCAGGTTTACCATGGTGGTCTAGGTTCAATTAACTCATGATCTCAACTGTTGTAATTATTAAGTGTTAAGATTACCGATTAGAACATCGACTTACTGAGAATGCTAATGATGTATAAACCAGTATGAGCAGCCTAGAGTTAACTATGAGTTCTTTTTAGATCTCTGAGATAGTAGCTTCTTGTCTAACCCAGTCGATTTCAGACCAGAACAACAATCTCATCCTCCGTTATACGAATCATGTATTTCACACAAAGTTGGATTATATACAAGCAATTCAGACGGCACCAAACCATAAAATAGAAAATAACAATTATACAAGATCAAATCAAAAAGTGGCTGTGATTGTGAGAGACTGTAATTAATAAATTCGGAATAATTTAAGAATATTAAATCGTATAATAGTAGTCTATAGGTCAAATGGAAGCTTATAATGAAAAGAATATGAATATAGATATAAAATGATTACTGAATAGTTATTCAATATTTATTTATTTGAACACATAAACATTGGTACAAGGAAGTATCATATACATATGCACCACACAATAACAATGAGACCAGTAGCAGTTATCACTAATTTATTTGAGGGCTGTGATACTAACTGGGTGACCAGATTAGAGCAGGTGGTTTTCTTAGGAGTCCACACCCGGAGCCTTCGACTTAGAGGTCTTTTCCACAAATAAGTGGAGTAACATTAAGAGATGCAGTCCCATGGTAAACCGGCGAGCAACAGTTGATTCATACGCAATTTATTCCCTAAGGATCCTGGACCCCATGTTCACCATTGGTTTGGAATGAGGGTTTTCCAACTCCAACCCCACACCAACCCGGTTAAAACGCCGGAAATTCGCTTTTTACCCTCTCAATTTCGTAAACAATACCCCCCGCAACAAGAAGATAGTGAGTAGGACTTTCTTGTCAGTGATTGTATGCACGTGTCCATGTGAGAGCATTTGAAGAAGAAGAGCTGACTCTCTCCACCAGGGCATTTCGGGAAGTTATCCAATAAGAATATATACAATAACAATCCATAAATAAATCCTAGCGGTTACCATTCACTTATACTTCGTCCGAATATAACAATATGTTATCTATCAGTCAACGATATATAAAAACAATATCTTATGCTGCCTACACTGTGTTTTAATTGACTTATATGATGAGATGGTGGAGAAGATTTATAGGTCAGGTAGATGATTTTGATGAAGTTTTGTTCGAACACATCAATTCTACCTGATGTTTGTTCTGATGATGTCATTGAGAAGAATGATGGAAGCTCCACGACCAAACCCTGCAGCTTACATTATTATATTATATTGTATAGAGTGCTATGTTTATACTGTTTACATATGTAGTTGATGTATGGTGTTTATATATTTTTCGTAAATCAATGAGAAAATCAAGAAATTTCACCATATTTGCTTCTAACAATGATCCCTTGACTATAAGCAAAGATGGATAGTGAAATCCAGGACTCGTGTTTCGTCCTATTTGGGACTCGTCAGCTGGGTTCACTTCCATCTCATAGTTGATGTTTACTCTAGAACTCAAACCTAGTACTGTTCGCTTCAAACGGTATCGCGTTATCCACTTAGCTACTGAGTCCGGATAGTCAATTGGTTGTGCAATGGAATGAAGTTTAAATTCACTTGGTAATGTTTACTTGAATCTTCTGATTGATGTGAATTTGAGGCATTATTGAGGTGATGAGCATAGTATGCACATATACCAATAAGAGATGGATTGATTGCAGTGCTAAACATCAATGGAAGCATTCAAGTGAACAATACCAAATGGATTCCTAAACTAGTTTAAAAAATCTTGAACATACTGAACCGAAAGCACTGGGTTCGAATCCCGCAAGCGGGATTGTGGATACGCACTGCTCAGAAGTCTCATTTTAGAACGAAACAGCTGTTCAGTGCTTTCAGGTTTTTCAAGGTGGTCTAGTTTTATTTGACTCATGAATTCAACTATTAAATTACTATAATCTCCACAAAACCCCTTTCTGGTAATACTTCCGAAAAGTTAATTTTTGAAATGTTGTTTATGGTATACTTAAGCTCTAACATGTTTGAACTACAAACATATTGGTTTATTATCAATCAGTAAGGGGTTATGTGAAGATTGTAGTATATTTAACCATTGAATACCCGGAAGCACTGGACGGCCGTTTAGTCCTTATATAAGATTCCTCAGCGGTACATATCCAAGATCTTTCAATCAATCATCCAGTTTTAAATTAACAATGAATCTATATGAGTATCAAGTGTAAATATCATATTTATATATCATTTTTGTATTTATTACATAGAAATACTCATCAACTTGACCAAATATCAGTATCTCGATTTGGATTAGCCGGGATTCGCTCACCACAAAAACATTCAAGTGAAATTCATTCAAAACGTCTAGAAGTAAGTTCTTTAATTGCTTTTCAACAGTTCTGTTGTAGTGAATGAGAACACAAATGAGGACATGGGTATGTATGAATACAACATTACAAAATCATCTTATTAAAGATGATTGACTTATTCTGGCTCTATGACTAGTTCGAATTAAACGAGGTATACTATCATTACTACACCTTTGGTTATCCATGTTGAAAAGTGTTGTTGAGCATGAAACTGACAGAAATCTTGATACAAGATTTAATGTGTTCATCAACAATCATCAGGTTGAATAGATCATGTCATGAAAGCAGAGAATTGTCACATATGTACAAGGAGGGACAGGCTAATCAATAGTTATGTAATGAACGAGAACACAAGTGGAGACAATCAAATGTATTTAAATACAAAGGTATAGAATCTTTTAGTAGAATCTGAGATCCATACAGTGAATACTTCATTTGCAATATGTCAATCAGTTGTCTCAGGCTTACTTGTTCTTTCGTTTCCACATCAATCGTTCTCTTTTCTTTGATCTTCTTTACCTTCTCCCTCTAGGTATTTCAGTTTCGATTGATGATAAATATTACTTATATCTGTTGACATCAGTAGCATACACTACAATTTTACAAATAAAAATGAAATTTCATAAGTTCAAACATTGTTCATTGTTTAATAACTCGTTTCCGTATTTTCATTGAGTATACTACCAGGATAGGTAGTTTGGATATAACTGATTGTATACATTTTAATTTATTTACCAGACACTAGTAGTCAGTTGAATGTAAGATTGAAAATCGAACTCGGTCATTATTTCAATCTTTAGCGGTCTGCTTGAATATCTGGGCGATCTGTTCCGGCTATCTCGACATCGCATGACGTATTCAGGCGTGCTTATGAGAAAAGTTTACGACCTTTCTATGCAAAACTTACAATAAAACACTATCATCACCGGAGACATCGTGGAGGCTGGCAGATAATATGCATTGGAAAGGATAAAAATTATTCAGATATTGATTCTTAAACCACTTACATCTAATTAGTGATCACTCGATATCTCTCGTCAGGATCGATCAAGAAACAAGAAGAAAAACTTGTTGAATTTTTACTTACTTACTTACTTACTTACGCCTGTTACTCCTCGTGGAGGAGAATAGGCCGTCGACCAGCACTCTCCATCCAATCCTGTCTTGGGCAACCCTTTCCAGTTCTTTCCAGTGGTTATTTATCCTTTTCATATCTGCTTCTATTTGCCGACGTAATGTGATGTTTGGCCTTCCTCTTTTCCGCTTCCCTTCAGGAGTTCAAGTTAGGGGTTGCCTTGTGATGCAGTTTGATGATTTCCGTAATATGTGTCCGATCCATTTTCATAGTCTTTTCCTAATTTCTTGATCTGGAAGTTGTTCTGTTTTCTCTCACAGTAGGCTGTTATAGACTACTGTTGTTGAAATATCATGTGCTGAGAATTCCACATTGCACCAAAAATATAATATTGAATATAGACATTAAAAAAAATAATCATTGTCAGTACAGGGTTGTAAATATTGTTAAGTTTTGATTGAGATCATGAATCGATCAATGTTAGAGCACCATTGAAAACCTAAAAACACTGAACTACCGTTTCACCGCAGTATGAGAGTTTTCAGCAGTGCGTGTCAACGATCTTATACCAAACGGACATGAATTCAAAACTTTCAGTCTTGCTCGTGAACACTTTACCTTTAGATCACTGAGATGACATCCAATGGTGTTATTTTCTAAGTTCAACTAATCCACGATATTGCGCAACGAATAATCATAATGATAATAAATTTCATTACTTTGAAAACAACATATAAACGAGGGTTGTGTGAACTGTTAAATTTCAATAAGATCACAAACTGGTCTAAGTGAGATAACTTTTGAGAGCATAGAAGCACTGGACATATGTTTCGTCCAAGTATGGGACTCTTCGGTGGTGCTCATTCATATCTTCACCATTGTAAATTGAATACTGGATCTTTAAACCATTGAACCACGATAAAATGATGTGCTTCTAGGTCAACACACACATGCCATCTACAAGATTACCGAGAAGTATTGATTCACATTTACACTCCTATCATCATATATTTATTTTTCATTTAGTCAACCAATGATTCTGGTCATGGTAGTTCAATTCATTCACAAAGTGATGAATTATACTCACCAACTTCATCCACACCACAGAATAAAACATCAGTAATATCATCTTTATCAAATGATGAAGTAGAATCTGTCTTCAACAGTCCAACCCATACACATATTCCTGATATAAAGGATTACATGAAAGATATCAATTTATTGAATTCATTCCACATTTCAAGTATGAAACAAGAACCTACTACTATTTCAGATCATATTAGAACAAATCAACGTCCAGTTTCAATATCCAATAACTATACAATCAAACAAACTTTATCAATTCAATCTCCGATTTCACCTTCTAACCATTCCCAACATGGTACTACTTATAACGATATACATAGTAGTATAAATAATTCATATAAATTATTAGAAAATAATAGCATTTTAGAAGATCATTTAACTCAATTAATTATTAAATGTTTACATGAAATTCTATGGACTTCTAATCATTTAGAACGTTGGCATTTCAGTACAACCATTACAAATGATGATCCATGGGTGGTACGTATTCAAAACTGTTTTTTTTTTCTTTTTATTATAATCACATTTTTATGAGATCAGGAAATCACTTGGTGGTTGTATCGGCAATGCAGGTACAGTTAGCTGATGCGTTCTAAATAGGATGAAGTGACGCACTTCCTGGATTTCATTGCTAGCCACTATCCAGCTTTGCTTAAAAATGTTCATTTTTTTAAAAAAGAACTAAACTTGTTTGCTAAGTTTTCCCTTTTCTAATTTACTACTTATCAAGTTAACCATACTAAGGAATAGTGTTTCAGTAGTTGAAATCGTGAATCAATTAAAGCTAGGCAATCATGGAAAATTTGGAAGCACTGGACGACCGTTTTGTTCTAGTATGGGACTCATCAGCAGTGCGCATACACGATCTCGCCTGTCGCATGATTTGAACCCAGGACTTATCAGTTTCGTGCGTGCGTGCACACTGCTGAGGAGTCCCATATTAGGACGAAGCGGCCGTCCAGTGGTTTCAGGTTTTCTATGGTGGTATATGTTCCATTGACTCATGATTTAAACTATTAAAGTTACTGAAATCTCCAAAAAGCCCCTTCTAATAATAATATTTCAATCATATGCACAGATGGATATTGGCTAGCAGTGAAATCGTCAGCTGAATGTACTTGAGTCTCTGAGTTGATGTTCACTCTACGACTCGTACCCAGTACCGTTCGCTTCAAACATGCCATGATGTTATCCATCTTTACTTATAATGTTTGTGAATTAAGGCAATATCAAGGCAATACGCACAGTATGAACATTTACCAATAAAAGACTGATCCATTGTAGCCCTTAACATCAATGGGAAGATTCAAATAAACAATACCAAGTGAATTTAATGTTTCAGTTAGATTGGGAAGTGAACAACTGTTTAATTAGGTTAATCGGATGAGAATTACCGGTTGACGAGAATAGTAACTTGCTTGATACATCAATAGATACATTCTGTTGTATTATGAATTAGTTATTATTCCTCCATAATACTATTGGTTCGTATATTTTTGAGAAAAGGGTACATTATGTTACTTAGGACATGAAAGGCTGTTTATAGTGTAATTATCATTTATAGACGACCATTGAGTAATGCTAAAAAGACCTTGAGAATATTCACCTACATACTATGGCTAAATGAGGGTTATAAACCAGTGTGAGGAATTAGGATTAAAATTTATAAATGAAGGTTAAAGTTATGAGTTAGATTGAGGGTTTTTATCACGAACTGATATCAGCTATAATGCCAAAACACTATTTAACCCAAAGGATGAACGAATTTCGGGCCAAAAATCCAAGAACTGTTATCTTAAATCTGATTTGTTCGTCCATAAATTATAGTCTCGCCCTGTTTGTTGATATTACGGTACATTTTGTTTATTCTATGAATCACTTTTACCCCCAAATGTCTTAGTACATCTGAGAGTGAGGAGAGTTAGCTCCCGGTCTCCAAATGCTCTCAAGTGGCCACGCATATACAGCCACTACCAGAAAAGTCTTACTCATTGACTTCTAGCGGTAAGGGTAAGAGGAGGGGCATGAGGACGAAAACTGAATATCCGGCTCTTTAACCGGGTTGGTGGACACGAAGAGTCCACCTTACTTACTTACTTACGCCTGTTACTCCCAATGGAGCATAGGCCGCCGACCAGCATTCTCCAACCCACTCTGTCCTGGGCCTTCTTTTCTAGTTCCATCCAATTCTTGTTCATTTTTCGCATATCTATCTCCATTTCCCGGCGTAATGTATTCTTTGGTCTTCCTCTCCTCCTTCGACCTTGAGGATTCCATATGAAGGCTTGTCTTGTGACGCAGTTGGGTGTTTTCCTCAATGTGTCCTATCCACTTCCAGCGCTTCTTCCTGATTTCTTCCTCCACTGGGATCTGATTTGTTCTCTCCCACAGTAGGTTGTTGCTTATAGTGTCCGGCCAGCGGATCTGAAGTATTTTGCGTAGACAACTGTTAATAAACACCTGTATCTTTTGGACGATGGATTTCGTAGTTTTCCAGGTTTCCGCGCCATACAGTAGAACTGTCTTGACATTTGTATTGAAAATTCTGACTTTGGTGTTGGTTGCTAATTGTTTTGAGTTCCAGATATTCTTTAGTTGTAGATATGCTGCTCTTGCTTTGCCAATCCGTGCCTTCACATCTGCACCAGATCCACCGTGTTCATCGATGATACTGCCCAAATATGTAAAGGTTTTTACATCTTCCAAAGCTTCTCCGTCAATTGTGATTGGATTGGTACATGTTGTGTTGTATCGAAGAATCTTGCTTTTCCCTTCGTGTATATTGAGACCTATTGCTGCTGAGGCTGCAGCTACACTGGTTGTCTTCTCCTGCATTTGTTGTTGCGTATGCGATAGAAGAGCCAGATCATCTGCAAAGTCTAGATCATCCAATTGCATCCTAGCTATCCACTGTATCCCGTGCTTCCCTTCAGATGTTGATGTCTTCATGATCCAGTCGATCACCAGGAGAAAGAGAAAGGGTCCACCTAGGGAAGTTGGAAATCTTTCATTACAAACCAATGGTGCACATGGGCTCCAGTATCCTGAGGAATCGAATGGCGTATGAACGTATTGTTGGTCACTGACTACCATGGGACTGTATCTCCTGACATTACTTCACTGCCTTGTGTATTAGACTTTTAAATCAAAGGCTCTGTGAATAGCCTCTTAAGAAAACCATCTACTTTGTTCTGAGCACCCGGGCAGTATTACACAGAACATAAAAATCAAGTGACTTGTGTTCAAAAGGTTTCTATGATGAACTCAAACTTGCTATTAATCTAATACACATCGTTAACGTTCTTGTTAATAATAAGCTCTATTTGGTTATCATTATTATTATATATATAGGGATATTATAGAGCTATGGTATCATTTATGGAAATCAGTCGTCAGTATATTCTTATAAAACCTTCATTTTGGATTATTCAACGACTATTCGAATTCATTATTTATTCATTAGAACAATCATTGCCAAATTATAGTAAGTGACATTTGTAAATTCATTCATTCATTTATTCATTCCATTTCTATGATAGATTGACATAAACTTGGAATGTTGTTGTGTTATGTGTTGTTATGTAGAATAAATGGGATATAGAATTCAAGATGCTCGTTTCATTCCATTTAGTACATGGTCATCTAGATCTAAGTGTTGATGTTCAAGTTAGGACTCGAACTCTACACAATTTCATTTCAAAGTCTCATCTATTAAAGTAATAAGTTCAGATAATGACGAACTTATACAATAAGTAAACTGTCGATATCATGAATAATGAACGTTTACATCTTCAAATGCATTGGAATGTCCGAAAGTGGGGAGAATCAGCCCTCCCTTTGGAAATGCTTTCAAGTGGTCACGTATGTGTAACCACTGTCAGGGAAGTACTATTAACTACCTTTTCGTGTCGAGGGTGTCGTTTACCGAATTTAGAAGACAAAAAGTAGATTTCCGGTTCTTTAACCGGTTTGCTGGACACGGAGGATCCATCTAGGGGAGTTGAAAAACCCTCAGTTTTCACTAGCATATATACTCCTTGGGTAAATTACTTCTTTACTAGCTGTTTAAAATGCATAGCTTATGATTAATAATGGATATTTATATTTATCTGACATATTAAGATATGTGTAAATATATCTAACTGACGAGTCACATGTATAGATAATTGTGCATTATGAAGTCTAATAACAGTCAATATCCAAGTTATGATGATAACTTATTCATTGTTTGCCTAATTTCTGAAGTACATATCTTTATTAAAAATATATATACTTAACTTATTTCATACTTTGACTTCTTTTCCAGATCAGAATTTGTTATTTCCAGGTGCAGTTGATGGAGATAAAGTTCGTAGAGTTGTTCATTTATTTATGATGTTTCTAGTTGATACTACTTGTAATCATAAAAACTGGATTGATGATGAATATCGGGTAGAAGTAAGTTGACATTCTTAGTTATATGTTTGCATATACATATTAATAGCTAAGTGAATAATGCGATGGTGTGTTTGAAGCGAACGGTATTGGGTTCGAGTTTCAAAGTGAACATTAACTCTGGGATGCAGGTACTTCCAACTGATGGGTCCCAAATAGGACAAAACGAGCGTCGTGTTTCCACTGCTAACCACTATCCATCTTTGTTTAAAAAAACTTGTGACTTAAGACTATATTGAAACAATTCGCATAGTATGAAATATTAATCAGGTGTCTCTTCCTACCATAGGATTCCTCACTAGTGCATCTCAGATCCTGTAGGGAATTGATCCTAAGACTTTCAGGTCTTGTAGCCAGAGGTTACACTTTTGACCACTAAGTTCTCATTTGATAGTTCACATACTTACTTACACCTGTTAAAACTCATGGAGAAGCAGAAGTCGCTCAACAGCACTTTTGATTCAACTCTGTCCTGGGTAATCCTTTTCGGTTCTTTCCAGTTGCTATTCATCCTTTTGATATTTGCTTCCGATTCTCGTCGTAGTGTGTTCCTTGGTCTTCTTCTTTTCCGTTTTATTTTAGGATTCATGATACAGACTGATGATTTCCATAATGTATGTCCTATCCACTTTCATCATCTTTTCGTAATTTCCTTCTCAGATGGAAGTTGGTTTTATCCTCTTCTACAGTAGGCTGATAGTTTACATGTCTAATTTCAAACAATTCGTGGTATTGCACAGCTATCAACCAATGTTATTCAAAGATGCTTAGGGCAATATCTAAAGTTAGATCATATGAATGATGGTTATCGAAATGGACATACTGTCAATCCTCGTATATAATTATCGACTTATCCAATTCCGTTATTCAGTGATGCGATTTAAGTCAGATACAAGAATAAAGGTTTGAATACGTATATTTCGGACAATCGCTGATCTGAACAGACAATGAAGAAAACGAAGCAAAAAAACAGAGAAAGAGTAGCAAAGTGAAGAATAGACAAAGAGAAACGAAATGAAATAACGCACAGTGGAGAAAGCGAGTAAGCCAACTCGATGTAATCAACCATGAATCGATTGTATAGTCAGATGAAAATAAGTTACAGACATATGACAAATGTGATAAGAAATGCACATACATACCTTTACATAGAAACAATTAAGGTAGACAGGCGAATAATAGACAAAGTCAAAATGTAACTAAAGAAGAATGAATAAATTGCTCTGTCCGAAAGCTAGAATAAGTTATGTTGGTCGCCATAGCAACCAACACTACAAGATAACAATTAGTTACATAATATTAACTATAGTGTATCATATAGTTAGTTGGTTACGTTTATAAAAATAAAACGAAGCAACAGAATCACCAGTATTTTTTTCTATTATACCTGGACACATGTTGGAATTATTTTTTCTGGTTAGCGTTTTTTAGCGAGTTAGTTTTTTTACGAGATGAGGTTGCTAATCCCATGTCCACTCCTCCTCCTTTATCCGGGCTTGGGACCGGTAATAACTCTAGAAGAGCTACAGGCGGAGAAAAATAAGAAAAGACGATAGAAATGAATAGGACATACATTACGGAAATCACCAAACTGCATCACAAGGTAAGTTCTAAACTGAAATCCTGAAGAGAAGCATAAAAGAGGAAGGCTAAAGAACACATTACGTCAGGAAATAGAAACAGATATGAAAAGGATCAATAATAACTGGAAAAAGTTGGAAAAGGATTGTTTAGGACAGGGTTGGATGAAGAATATTGGTGGGTGGTTGTTGGAGACGTTAGATCCCCCAGAACTCACTTGGAAAACGACCAAAGTTCGTAATTTTATTTAGAAAATTTGAATTTCTTTGTTTTTCGCGTCAAAAGCGCTCTTTTCACCTTTATGTCGTATTTCCCACTTGAGAGAATCTTAAACACTATTGGTTTGTTGTATCTTTTAGTATGCTCATTGGTAACTCTCTCCATAAACGGTTTTGTGCTGTATATATACGTTTTGATTTGTGTCTGTTGTTATCGCTTGTGTTTTCTGGCTTTATACGGAATATACTTCCTCGTACAGACTTCAACTTCTCTCGCTAGTTAGAATAGCTGGGACGCAATAGAATAGCTAGTTTTATTAGTATTTTGGTCACAAGTCTTTGTTCTGTTGGCAGTCTAATTGAACTCGTAACCACTTCAAACCTAGCAGTAGCCTATGCTCCTCCATGAGGAGTAACAGGCGTAAGTAAGTTAGTAAGTAGAGGTCGTCGGTATAGGATAATCTTTACCATTTTCCTATTCTTCATCTTAATAAATACTTTATTTCTTTTGTTTGAATATAATTACATTTAGTTAATGGAATCCTTATTACATTTATTACAAGAATCACTTCTTATATGGGAATTAAATTCATTACAATGGAAAGAAGTTCAAGTATTAACTATACATTTAATTCTATGGTGGATTACTAATAATAGTTCTTTACAATCTCGTTTATGTATTTATTCATTAACTCAATTACATTATATCATTTGTCAATTGGAAACTAGAACATGCTTTGAAGAAGTAAGTTAATTGTTGTATTAACGTTCTGCTGCCAAACATTTCAGTTTCGATTGATGATACATACTACTTATATCTGTTGGTATCAGTAGCATACACCGAATTTGTCCTCACTTTAAAGCAGTCGTTCTTGAGGTGATTCTACTCGCCGTGCCACTTTCTTCTTCTTCTCTGTAATCCGTACAGGGCCCTCCGTCAAAATGTCGAGTTTGCAACACGCTGACCTTCATAGGTCCGTAGACCTGCCGAGTCATCAAAATCCGATGTATACTCGGCAGCCACACGACTTACTGCTTCTCTATGTCAACAGCACCAACGCCGCCCCGCCACAACACTCCACTTGACGCCATCTCCCTACAACGGACCTCTCCAACTAGTACCTCAGCTTCAGATCCGCAACGGTGTCCGCAAAACTGCACCTTTTCCCCCTCCTGGTTGGTAGCGATACTTAATGTAGTGAAGGAGAACACAAATGAGGACAATCGAATATATGTTCTTCAATTGAGGGAATGCGTCCCTTGCTTTGCTAATCCTCGCCTTGACGTCTGCGTCTGAACCTCCTTGTTCATCGATGATGTTTCCCAGGTATGTGAAGGATTCTACATCTTCCAGAGTTTTGCCATCAAGAGTGGTTGTTCGCTGTTCTCCGTATTGTATTTGCAAACCTTGGATTTCCCCTTGTATGTGTTGAGGCCTACTGATGCAGGCCTACTGCTGCTACACTGGTTGTCTTTATCTGCATTTGTTCGTGTGTATGCGATAGGAGGGCTAGGTCATCTGCGAAGTCCAAATCATTTAATTTGTTCTGAGCTGTTCATTGTATGCCGTGTTTTTCCACAGATGTCGAGGTTTTCATATTCCAGTCGACCACCAGAAGATAGATACCAGATAGATACCAACCATTACAATCCGCTACTTTTGTCGGGATATAATATGACCGTCCAGTGCTTCCAGATTTCCCATGATGGTCTTGCTTCAATTGATTCATGAATTCAACCATAAAAATTACTAAGATCTTCACAAAACCCCCCTTTTGATAATGAACCAATACTTTGACCAATATTTAATTGTTTTAGATAGAGTCATTGGAACTGCTATAGGCTAATGATTAGTGTTTTTTAGTTTAATCAAGGTTGATTCAAATTATAAATCCATGATTGAATAACAAGCGGTCGTAGTTAATAGTAATACATTGATCCAATCAGTGTAAGGTAAATCACAAAAAGAATAGTGGTTAAAAACCTAGGGAAAAAAGCAATCACTTTGGATCATGGGATTAATGATGTTGAAAGAAACATTTACATTGAATGTATTAGCACCATTGAAAGCCAGTTTGAACCACATAGTTTGAAGTGTTTGATGAATGAAATATTGTATGTTTTATTAGTAAATGATTGTGGAGATTATAAACTTTTTGATTGAGATCGTGGAACGATTGATGTTAGATAACTGTTGAAAACCTGGAAGCACTGGACGGCCGTTTCGTTCTGTTTTGGGACTCCTCATCAGTGCGCATTCACGATCCCGCTCGCAGAGCCTTCAGTCTCGCGCGCGAATGCTTAACCTCTAGACCAATGAGTCGGCTGGCATCCAGCGGTGTTAATGCCTAACCTCAACCAATCCATGAAATCGCGCGACGACCTTCTATCTTATTGACGTAGATACCTGTCTCTACGTGACGCGGATTAGCTCCACTGGTCACAGATTCTCACTAGAACTCTGAGAATTCCCTCACGAAGCTAGTCACAAGTGAGCGCATGATAATTATCAGTATAGAATTATTGAGATTATTAAATTTTTGATTGAGATCGTGGAACGATTGATGTTAGACCACCATTGAAAACCTGGAATCACTGGAAGGACGTTTCGTCCTGTTTTGGGACTCCTCATCAATGCTCATCCACGGTTCCACTCGCGAGATATTCTTTACTATTCAATAGAAATATTTAGCTTATATTCATTTCTTTATAGTCTTTATTCCTTTACCTTTTTTGTTAATTTGTGTAACATGACATATTACTTTTGCTGTAACAAGTAGCTAACCCCAAGGCAAAATTTTCTCCTTTATTCGGGGCTTGGGACTGGCTATAGCCCCCGGAGGGACTCCAGACAGAGTTAGTTAAGAGAAATACTCCATCCTTATCATTCATTGACAAAGCCTATTTTTTTGATCTCCTATTATCTAGATTGCATTTCTTGTTTATCGTTTGGATAAAGTAATTGAAATATGGTCAAGATATGAAGAATCCATGGTGAATATAGATGATATACCTAAAATGGAAAAACTCAGTGAAATTCCCAGTGATCATTCGTTGAATATTCCTTTTAATCACAATGGAAGAAATGTAGATAAAAGTATTCCTACTGGGACTAATCTTACCAATGACCATTTATTATCAAATATGCATACCAATTCTATTTTAGATCGAATAAGTTCACAATCACATAATGTACTTTTATATTTAACTCCAATTATCTTTAAATTATTTAAAGATTATAGTGTATTATTAGAAATGGAGAAATGGACACCTAATTTACCAAAGATGACATCTGATTTTCTTGAAAAGTTTAAAGTTTATCGTACTATACCACATGGTGAATGGCAATGTTTTCTTGAATATCATGTATGTTGATAAATTTTGTTTTTCATTTTGTTTTTAACTACTCAAATGATTTAAGTAACTAAACGTTTTATGTGAAATATTTATCGTTTCCTACGTTAAAAATTTGTACAACGTATATGTTTAAATCCTTGTTTCAACTCCAACAATAGCTAATTCATTTTTAGGACTTCATATCTTCATATTATTGATTTGACCTTTGTGAAGTTCACAAATATTAGGGAGTTTTTAAGGGTGGTCGACTCATGAATTCAACTACTAAAATTACTTTAATCTCCATAAACCCCACATTCGATTTGTTTGAGGGCTAGGATACTGCCCAGATTCCCAAACCGAAGTAGATGGTTTTCTCGGAGGGCCAAATCCCGAGCCTTTGACATAAAGGTTTGATGCACAAGCCAGTGGAGAAACATAAGGAGATTCATTCTCATGTTAGCTGTTGACCAACAATATGTTCATACGCCATTTGTTCCTTTAAGATCCTCTAGCCCATATACACGATTAGTTTGGAATCAGGATATTCCAACTTTTCTAGATGAATCCTTCATATCCACCAACCTTTTTCAATTAATCCGTGATCTTGAACGATCCTTCATACTAATAATAATCATGTACCCACTAGTGAATAGATTCAAGATGGAACTCCTGAAGTCCTAATAATAAGACGTGATCAGTTGAGTTCAATCCGTATCGGATGTGAGACAGATATCAACCTCAAACTATACATGAAAGGTTGATCAAGATCAAGGATCCATTAGAGTTAGACATTAAAACCGTTGGATACCGGCAAGTTCAATGGTTTAGAGATGAAGCGTTCATGCGCGAAGTCGTAGGTCTTGGGTTAGAAACAAAACAGCTATCCAGTACTTCTAGGCTTTCAATGGTTCTCTAACTTAGGTAAACCATGAGTTCAATTGTTAAAATTATTTAAAAAATTTCTATAGTTGAGATCATAAGTTAATTGAAGCTAGACCCCCATGGAAAACCTGGAAGCACTGGATAGCTGTTTCGTCCCATTGTGGGACTCCTCAGCAGTGCCCATCCAAGATCCCACCTCGCGGGATTCGAACCCAGAACCTATCAGTTCTACAAATTCCTATTCTGTTATGTAATATAGATTCTCATTATCAGTGAATGATACTTTTCTTGTTTGTTTTGTTTTTAGCTTCAACCAGTAGCTGAATCTTATACAGATCAATACATCACAAGTACAGCAACAAATCAAAGTATATATCGTGCTAAAGCTAATGATGATATTGAACAATCTCGTTATAAACATAAACATTATTTAGATAATATATCCTTCAATTTACATTCTTATCTATTACGTAACATATCTGTAATATCCAATGTTGATCCATCAAATTCCGAAAGATCAACGGATCGTTCTGTAGCCATGACAACAAAACATATAACATCAATCGATAATAATCAATATGATATATCTCAATTATCTGTTATTAACAAACAATTTAAACAAGAAAAAAATTATTATCCAACAGAAATAGAAAAATATAATCAACAAATTAATTATTGGCATGCTTTATCATATCGATTAATGTATACATCATTGAATTCTCCATGGTTTATAAGGTGAATTAATATAGATTATTTATTTTATTTAATCTAATCCTTTCCGCAACACCCCCACCCCTCTTCATCAAGTTATAATAGATAGTGGCTAGTAGTGGAATCCAGTTTGACGCGCGTCACTTTGTCCTATTTAAGATTCGTCAGCTGGATGTACCTGTATCTCAGACTTGTTGAAGTTCACTCCGGGACTCGAACCCAGTACCGTTCACTCTAAACACCATGGTGTTATTCATTTAGCTACTGAATCCTGATAGCCACTATCTATTTTTGATTATAAAGCTTTTGATTGAAGACTATATCGAAGCAATTTTTACAAGATGACCATAAATCAACAAGAGATTGATCAATTACAGTCCTAAATAACAATGAGAAGATACAAATAAAACAATACTAAGTGATTTTGATGAAATTTTGTTCTTTGAGCTGAATGGTTTGGTCATGAAGCTTTCATCGCTCTTCTGAATGACATCATTAGCACAAACTTTAAATGGAAGTAAAACATTTTAATTTCTCCATATGTGGTTCACAACTTGTCTTGTAAACATTGATATTGATTGGTTCTTGTTGATCTTAAACTTGTAATTGTTTACTTCCTTGTTTCAGTTGTATCTCCCATTAATTTGATTTTTATTTCTATGTTTGTGCATAATTTTCTTGATTGGTTGATAAATTGAATCGATTTCAATGTACTTGTTGATTACTGATTGACCTGAGTATCCGCAGATGTCCACGTAGATTGATATAAGTCAAGAAATGTCATGGAGTTTGAATGCTAATTAATGTTCATACAGGCGAAGATGAACAGCTCGTCCGCTTTGTCTGATGTAGTATTTTTCGCAGTTGACACAATGTATTTGATAGATGATGTTTAATTTGTCATCATTTATCATTTCATCTTTTAGTTTGCACAGAATTAATTGTAATGATTTTGTCAGTTTGTATGCCATATCGGCGAGACTCTAATTTAGGGACGAGCCAATCAGAAGCGTTTGAGCCGCTTCAAGGTCACGGAGCCAAGTTTAACACCTGATGCTCACATATGATCGGTTTACAGCGGATTTTAGAGAAGGGGTGATTATTGAGAGGCTACAAGGGATAGGATTACTAAAAAGTTCTTGTACGTGAGACTGCAGTTATCAAATGACTGTAGTAAAGTGTGCAAATAACCGTGGTGAGATTATATTTCGTTGTCCTTCATGTTGGAGGAGAAAGTCTGCTAGAACGGGGACTTCCTTTGCTCGATTGCTACTGAAACTGAATCAGATTATGATAATAGTTGCAAATTGGGTAATAAATACACCAGTAACACTGGCTGCGGCGTTGGCAGTTGTTTATGAAAATTCAGCAGTCCAGTGGTATGATTACTGCCGTGCAACTAAAATAACACTTGTACACCAATCATTCGGAGGAGTAGGATGTATCGTGCAGACAGATAAAACGGCAGTGAGAAAGCGAAAATACAACAGGGGACGTAGTATAAAGTAGGATTGTGTAAGTAGCATTCCCGTAAATATACTCGACAGGTACTTGGAACTTATGACTTTTTATACCGTATGCAATATGATTTAAAAACATCTGAAACTTTAGCAAACCTTGATAAGTTTTTAAATCATGTAAAAGAAGTATATTCACTGTAATCCATTAGTTTCTTCTAATATATTTCTACGTTATACCAGCTGTCTTCTGATTGGCTAATATTCTCAAGGTCACTTAAAATTCGTTCACAGGTCGTCCCTAAATTAGAGTCTCGCCTGCCATATCTATTCTGAAGATTTTCAACAGTTTCGTTGAGGTTTGTAATATACCTTTTATGTATGGTAGAGTGATCATTTTGTTCAAATACTTCATTTCTATCTAAAGGTTGTGTTAGATGATATTATTCAAAAATAAATGATAAAAGTTTTGACGACTAAACTATCCATCTCAGAGAACAAAACGGTATGTAAATCATCCAATTGAGCTACAAAACTTTTCTATCATTTCAATTATAATGTAAACTCTTCAAAGAATTGATCCTTTCTAGTAAAACTATCTTCTTGTAATAGTCCTATTTCTTTTGCTTTCTTTAAATTTTTAGTTACACAAATATTGAACATTGGCGTTTATGTGAATTAGAAACAATTTGTCGTATACGACCTAAATTAGAACCAAATTTAATATTTAATTCACATATCAATGCTAGTGCTAAAAGAGATGGTTTATCTTTAATTAAATTTATACAATCTCATATACGAACTTATTCAGTAGATAATTATCATAAATTATCTATGTTATCTATTGGTCAATCATTATCTATGTTGAAAACTTCTTCTAGTGAAAATAATTTAGATATTTTACCGAATGATAAAATAGAATATAATACAGATGTTATTAGAAAACAATTTATGAAACTTCCTCAACTTTTGAATCAAACATCAATTGAAGATAATGATTATCATGATAGATCGATTTTAAATAATGGTGATGATGATCATGTTGATGATGATGTTGATGTTGATGATGATGATGATGATGTAATCCATATGGAAAATAAAGAGTTTTATGGATCTGATGATAGACGTGGTACATTAATTCCAGACGAATCAATAAAAACTCCGTAAGTTACTAGTATTGTTGTTGTTGTTGTTGTTATTGTTGTTGCTTAGTATTGTGTTTATTGAATTTTACTGATAATGAATAGTAATATTGAAGGTTAGTTGCTTGTATGGCCTGCTAATGCCGTGGTACGGTCAAAGGTGGGGAAGAGTTAGCTCTACCTCTCGAAATGCTCTGACATGGTCACGTGCATACAGCCACTACTAGGGAAGTCCTATTGACTGACTTCTCGCGATACTACTATTGTTTACGAAATTAAGAGGATGCAAAGCAAATGTTCTGGGTTGGTGGGTATGGAGGATTTATCTAGGGAAGTTGAGAAACCCTGATACCAAAACCGCTGGTGCACATAGGCCACAGGATCCCGTAGAAACTAATGGTGTATGGACCAATTGTCACTCAACGGCTACTATGGAACTGCATCTCCTTACGTTACTACAATGACTTGTGAAACAAAACTTTAGACCGAAGGCTCGAGGTGTGACCTCCTAAGGTAACCATCTGCTTTGTTTAGGGCACCCGGGCAGTATCCCAGCTCACATATAAATCAATCGACTTCTGTAGCGCATATATATTCAGTACACCTTTGTACTAATATTTATTTGTTCAAATAATAAATACATAAAATGCCTATATGGATATTTGTTATACATGGATCATCAGTAACTATAGTTCATTTATGCTATCAGGAATCTACATTAGTGAATAAAGTTGTTTATTTGGTTTGGAATCTTTTATTTGCACCTTTTCCCATAAGGCTAATTTCATCATACATGTCTTTGTAATTGCAAAGTGAAATAACGTTCGGTTTTCCCCCTTACTTTAGAGGAATATCTACACTAGATACCCTCTCAATTGTGTATTCTACAGAACTTAAACACAACTCTGATTAAGAACATGTAACTGGTCTGACTAGACTGTGAGTATATTTCCACTTTAAGAAACCGGCGAAAGTCACAATAATCATAAGGGTAAGAAAGTATGATTGTCAGAAAATCTACTAGTTTAACTAGGTAAACAACCAGTTATTATTTTCCTCTTCTACATATCATAAAGATAGCTTTCATCATGAAGTGTTATCATTTAACAAATCATGACTAACTTATTAACTTTAAACAAGTGCTTTGTTCCAGTTAGAAACTGAACTGTGATGTTTACTTATAATATCATAACAATATGTATGATCGATTCCAAGCTATATCATACAGAGTCTCCAACCATTGGTTACGACAGTCACGCAGACCCCAACCAAATAGTCTGCATCTACCAACATGGCTCAGATCAGAAGTTAGTGACTTCAAGCACTGATGCCATGCTTTGGTTGGGCCGCCTCTAACTTTCTTTCAACCATCCCCAACATTAATCAGAATTACGCGTCATGGTAATCAGTGTTCAGGCATGTGCGACATGCGCCCAACCATCTTAGTCGATCAAGATTAACAATCTCATCAACTAATTTCCCATCATTCCCTTATACCTTGGCATCTAATCTTACTATTACTTACCCGGTGATCCTAACGGTTCGTTTTCCAACTCTACACATGGGACGTTAATTTACCTTAAACGAATATCTATACTATATCCCTTCCTAATGTCTAGTCTACATGATTTCAACACAACTCAGATCAAGAACATGTAATTAGCCTGAGTAGAACGTAAATATATTTCCACACCAAAAATCCGACACAATCCAACAACAATGAATAATCAATCGTTATCATTCTCACCTACACATCAGTATTGTTTTACTTGAATCTTCCCATTGATTTTTCAAGACTGCAATTGATCAGTCTCTTATAGGCATATGTACATACTGTACCTATTGCCTCAATATTACCTCAATTTACAAGCGTCATGATTCAGTAGCTAAGTGAATAACACTATAGCATGTTTGAAGTGAACGTTACTGAGTACGAATTCTAAAGTGAATATCAACTCTGAGATGCAGATTCATCCAGAATTAACTGTCACATGTCAAACTGGATTCCAATGTTAACCACTATCTCTCTTCGCTTATCATTTTAATTCTTTCTCTTTTTTATGATATCCATTTCTATAGAATCATTTCATCCAATTCTTTGAATACTTCTATTGAAGATCCAATTAATGATCATCAATTCAATCAAATTAAGCTAAGTAACACTTTTAATAATGAATCATTTATCTCATCTACACCATCTCATCTATCAACTACATCTAATTCATTGAATTCATTTCATTCAATAATTCATTATATACCTCAAATACAAAAAGGTAAAGGTATTCTATTCAGTGTTAATGCACAATTAATTATAGCCATTAAAGTAATTCAAGGTATATTAACATTAACACAGAATCGTTTAATATTTGATATATCAATTAATAATATCATGAATGATAATAATAATAATAATAATTTCATTAATGATATCCATACTACTAATGATACTACTGAATTATCAATACCATTTGGATATAAAATAATCAATGAAAAATTAGATTTTAATAATACAACATTGAATAATTGTAAGTTAATTAATCGTTATAACTAGTTTATTGTATTGATTTTGATAATGAACTTATGAAGTAATCAGTTGTTGTTGTTTGTTTATGTGTGTGTGTGTGTGTGTGCGTGTGGCCTGATATCTGACTCTAATTTGATCAAATCTGATTGATTGTTATTGAGAAATATATGTCGGCAATTATCAACAGTGCGCATCGATGATTCCTTAATGAATGAACTCAAACACTTTACCTGTAGACCATTGAATTTGCTGGCATCCAACGGTGTTCATGTCAAACTTCGATCAATCCTTGATCTCGCTCAATCTTTCATATATTGTCTGTCATACCCGACACGAATTAGACTTCATTGGTTACAGCTTCTCATTAGAGAACTCCAGAAGAGTTATATTGAATCTAGTCACTAGTGAACATATGATTATTATTGATATGAAGGATTGCTCAAAATCATAGATCGTTTGAATTGAGAGATTAACAACACTGGGTGCTGGCTCAGTGATCTGGAGGACAATTGTTCGCAAATGAGACCAACAATTCTGGGTTCGATACTTTTTGATGTGAAACCATTGATGCACACTGCTGATGAATCTTATACGGCGATGAAACGGCCATGCAGTGATTCCAGGTTTTCAATGGTGGTCCAGCTTAGACGGATTCATGAATTCAGCTAGATAATTTGAAGCATGAATAAACGATCCAGTTAAAATCATCACTCTTAATATTTATGAATGATATCAGCAATTCATCATACTTGTATTTTGTCTTAAAGAATGTTTTCGCCTATCTACTTGACAAAGCGACTAATATATCTATATAAATCAAAGCAAAGCAGTGGCTGGATTCCTACAGGTGAAGAACATATGGGACTCTTAATAACCGTCAACCAATATCGAAGTCAGTATCTTCAATACGAACGTCAAAACAGTTCTACTATACGGAGCTGAAACTTAAAGAACTAACGCAACCATCAAGTATTTATAAATAGCTGTCTACTCAAGATACTCAATATCCATTGACCGGATAACATAAGCAACAGCCTACTGTGGGAGAGAACAAACCAGCTTCGAGGTGAGGAGGGAATTACGAAGAGACGTTGGAAGTGGATAGGACACACATTGAGAAAATCATTGAAATGCATCACGAAGCAAATGCTAACTTGTAATCTTGAAGGGAAGCGGAATAGAGGAAGGCCAGAGAATACATTAAAAGTAGAAGTAGATATGAAAAGGATAAACAACAGTTGGAAAGAACTGGGAAGCCTTACTTGGGACGTGGTTGGATGGAGAGTGTTAGTGCTTGGCCTATGCTACTCCACGAGGTTTAACATGCTTATGTAAGTAGGTAAATGTAAATCAAACTTCACTTCATTTCACAAAGCAGTGGCCATGTGGATTCGGTAGACAAGTGAATTGCTCAATGGCATTTAAACCAAACGCCACTGATTTAAAGTCATGGAGTAGATATCAACTATGAGCTACAGTCATATCTAGCTGATGATTCTTACATCGGACGAAACTCTCCTCTAGGATTCCACTGCAAGTCACTATTCATCTCTAACTATCTACTGGATAATTTAGTCATTATAGTTTCATTTATTTTACTTTTTCAGCTAGACAAATATTCTATATTCGATATAATTGGTCATTAGCTAAATTACGTGAATTACATTTACGTCGTTACAATCTACGTCGTTCAGCTATTGAAATATTTTTTGAAAATAATTCTAATTATTTTTTTAACTTTGAAACTAAGGTAAGTCAGAGTTGAGGTTAATTTCTATCATATTTCCCTTAATAAACTGATAAGGCACTTTATTCTTACTCATTATTAGGCATTTGATACTTTTGAAGTTGTAATACCTGGCATAGAAACAGAGAGAGAGAGAGAGAGTGGGAGCATTTACGCAACTAAAATGGAAACAAACTGAACGATGGGTTAACATGGAAACTCATAATGTAAAGGTAAAATCCAAACTAAACAGATACGTGCCATTGGAGCTTTCGGTATCTATTTATAAATTTGGATTGTCTCACAGATCTTGATCTAGGAGGAAAGATCGTTGTCAAATAACTCAAATTACCAGTCTATGTTTCTAAGTAGTGTTCCCATGTTTTAGTATATTCGTTTTATAACTTTCACAATTTAATTGTATGTTGAGCAGCAAAGTATACCGTGTTAGGTATTGAGCGATTATGATTGATAGACTTCTGAGATAAGAACTGCCAAATGAAACGTAAAATTATCGCGGGTCATTCGAATGTATCAGTTTTTATTTCATTGATAAGTTGGTTAATTTTATTTCAAATGTTTAACTACTTATAAGTAGGCAAACGAGTTGTGTAAAATAAACATCATTCGTACAAACTTGAGGTAGAAGTGAAATGTTCCACATTTGTACTGTTGATGATATCATTCAGAAGAATAATGAATGATCCACGATCAAATCATCTGGTTCAGAGAATAAAACTCCATCAAAATCATCTACTTTAACTACAGATATATATTCTCCATTATCTCATTTTCAATTATTGCCAATTATTTTCTTGTTTAAATCAAATTTACACATCTAGATTCGTAATAAATTCTATTCGATTATCATGAGTTTACGATTGCCAAGATTAGTTTATAGTCAAGGTCGTAATCCTAGAGAAACACTTAAATTATCTGGACTTACAGAAGTAAGTGATTATGTAATGCATTGTTATTATCCTATTCTTTTATACCAGAAGGTTTTTTGTGGATGTTATAGTAATTTCAGTGGTTGAGATCACGAGTCAATTGAAGTTAGACCACCAAAAGAAACCTAGAAGCACTGGATGGCCGCTTCGTCTTACTGTGGGACTTTTCAGAAGTGCGCATCCACGATCCTGCATCTCGAGATTCGAACTCAGGATCTACCAGTCTTGTGCGTGAACACTTAACCACTAGACCACTGAACCTGGTGGCATCCAACGGTGTTAATGTCTGGATTATTCTTTTATGTTGAGTAATGGATATATGGGTCTCTTAGAAGTTTTAAGATAGAATTATATAATTTCTTCTATTCTTTCTAGTTTCAAATGATTCATCAATAATGTTGTAGTGAACGAGAACATAGTAGTGGAAACAACCGAATGTATTTGAATACAAAATAACAGAATACTTTGTTAAAATCTAAGATCCTATAGAGTAAATAGTTCATTTGCGAAATGTCAATCAATCGTCTCAATCTTCATTGTTCTCTTGTTTCCACACCAGTTATTCATTGTTCTCGTTCTCTTTTCTTTGATCGTTCTTAACCATCTGCCGTCTGACATTTCACTTTCGATTATGATACGTACTACTTATAACTGTCGACATCAGTAGTACACAGTACAATGTCATTTCTTGACAAACGTTGATTTTAAAATGATGCACAATTGCGTAACCCTACAATCATTATCTTAGGTGGATAAATGTCTCACAATTGACACTGATTAAACTCCACTGGTGACGATTTCTCACTAGAACTTTAGGAAATTCATTTTGAATCTGGCCACCAGTGAGCATATGATTATTATTAGAATGGGGATTTGTGGAAATTGAAGTAAGTTTATCATTTGAAATCATACTAAGACGAAATAGCCGTCCAGTGCTTTCAGGTTTCTAACGGTGGTCTAGCTTAGACGGACTGACGAATTCGATTATTAAAATGACTACAGTCTTCACAAATCCCCATTCTGATACTTAAGTGTTATTCGTTTTTAAAATCCATTGAGTAGAACACCGGTATCGTAGATTAATCCCAATCATATTTGATAGAGAAACTCTGATAGATATGGAAGCATCATTGATAAACAAGGAAGATCGCATGCAGACGTAAAGACGAGGACTGGCAAAGCAAGAGCCGCATTCCTACTGTTGAGAATATATAGGACTCAAAACAACCGTCAACCAATATCGAAGTCAGTACCTTCAATACGAACGTCAACACAGTCCTACTGTACGGAGCTGAAACATGGAGAACTACTACAACCGTCATCAAAACGGTACAAGTATTTATAAACAATTGTCTACGTGAGATACTCAATGTTCATTGACCGAATACCATAAACGACAGCGTACAGTGTGGGAGAACAAACCAGCTTCCAAATGAAGAGAAAATTAGAAAAACATGATGGAAATAGATAGAACATACATTAGGGAAATAATTAAAGTACATCACGAGGCAAGCCCCAACTTAGAATCCTGACTGATCGTTACTGATTCAATTCGGTTAATCCAAAATTAAGTCATGAATACAGGATTAAAACCCAACTGACAATGATTGAAAAACAAGTCAAGATCTAACATATTGAATAAACTGATCTACTGAAACAAGGTGTGTTGTGACTAGAAATGAAATCTACCAACTATAGAATGATTTGGCCATTTATATTATGATAACTTAATGTCTTTATCCTCAAGGATCAGGTGAATATGTTCTATTGATACGATAGACGAGGAACTACTTCAACTTTGTCAGACTCTCAATAGGAATGATTATCCACCTAGATTCGTCTATAGTAACTTAACACGTAGACATCATCCGGCAAAAGCACCGATAACACAAAGGAAAACTTTTTATAAATATCGAATTTATAGAGGATACGGCTGTTGGAATCTTGAATAAACAGATTTCAACATCGTTGAATAAAACATTCTACTCAGCTAAGCTCCGAATTATTTTCTGAAGCCGGACTACTATTCATGGATGTGTTAAGGATAAACTTCCGCTTTGTGCCACATCAATGTGTATCTATAAATATGCTTACTCATGTAAAGCAGGTTACATTGGCCGCACAAAGTGATCATTGTCTAAACGCATTTTAGAACATTACCTAGCATAAATTTTAAAGGGAGAATGCAAAACAATTATTAGTTCAATACAGGAGCATTTAATCAACTATGAACACATCTCACCAAAGGAGTCTTCTTTTAAAATAATCTACACAATCAAAGGAATTGGATCGAAAGGAAGTCGAATCAATATATTATGCACTGCCGAGTTATTAGCAATCCACTAACTCATACCTGAACTTTGTGTGCAAAAACGATAGATTTAACTTCTCATCCTTCTTTGGTCCTAATTTCCTTTTATAGTATGTTTTGATATTTTAAACTGCATTAAGTTATTATTGCCCTTATACAAGTTTTTATGATTGTTATCAGAAGGGGTTTCGTGGATATTATAGTAATTTCAATGGTTGGGAACATGAGTCAGTTGGAGTTAGACCACCATCGGAAAGCTGGAAGCACTGGACGACCGTTTCATCCTATTGTGAAACTCCTCATAAGTGCTCATCTACGGTCTCGTCTCGCGAGATGTAGAACCTAGGACCTATCAGTCTCGTGCGCGAACGCCTAACCACTAGACTACTGAGCCAACATCCAACGGTGTTAATGTCTAACTTCAACTAATCCACAAAATTGAGCGACACATCCACCATTGTCATCAGTGAGTTACCATAGCATAACAGACCCGCTTAAATTCCCCTGGTCACTGCTTCTCACTAGAACTCCAGAATTTACCTCTTGAAGCGAGTCACTAGTGAGCATATGTTCATTCATATCAGAAGGGGTTTTATGGATATTATAGTCATTTCAATGGTTGACATCATGAGTCAGTTGAAGCTAGACCACCATGGAAAACCTAAAAGTATTGGATGGCCGTTTCGTGTCCCACATTAGAACGAAACGGCCATCCAATACTTTTAGGTTTTCCATGGTGGTCTAGCTTCAACTGACTCATGATCTCAACCATTGAAAGTTTGTGATTATTATTCAGTTTTTAATATTATGACCTTCGTGGTTTGGTTGAAATTAAACATTAACACTGTTGGATGCGAAAAATTTCAGTGGTCTAGAGGTTAAACATTCACGAGCAAGACTGATAGATCCTGGGCTCAAATCTCAGGGATTTGGATCGTGGATGTGCATTGCTAAGGAATCCTATACTAGGATGAAACAGCCACCCAGTACTTCCAGGATTTCCATGATGGTCTATCTTCAATTGGCTCATGAATTACATAACTTTTATGTTTATGGTTTTTTCTTCAATTATCTGACCTATAAATTAGTATCATCTTTCTATTCTTCTCTAATATTCTTGAGTATTACGTAACCTGTGATAGTAAGAGTTTCGGAGCAACTGATGATGTAATTTTTTCTATTCTTTTGTATTTTCCATATAACTATAAATATGATGAATAGTGGCTAACAGTGAAATCCAGGACGCATGTTACGTACTATTTGGGACTCGTCAGCCGGGTTCACTTCCACCTTATAGTTGGCGTTCACTTTGGGACTCGAACCCAGTACCCTTCGCTTTAAACGCCATCGCGCTATCCACTTATCTACTGAGTCCTGATAGCCGAGTTATAAATATGAATATACAGCTTATGTTCTATTTAATGACACAATGCGTTCATATTCATGAATAGAATAGAAGGAGAATATAAAAAGGAAATCTAAGCATTAAATATTATATAAGTAGTAAGTTATTTGAGTATTTCAGTAGTAAATCAGCAAGAGATTAAAAGTCTTATAAATTTTAGTCTCTATTAACTAACCTTTTGATAAGCATTTTCTCTAGTAAGTTAAATTTCTATAAGATGGAGTCGGTCCCATATTAGAACGAAATGGCCTTCCAGTACTTCCAGGATGAGTTCTACCATTATATAATTACTTCATAAAAGTATTTAGATAAAAATAAATAAATAAAGGATTATAGGTCTCGCTATCAAGGTTTGAATTCCGTCTGGAGTCCCTCTGTGGGATACTGATGTTCCTCAGCCCGGAAAAGAAGGAGGGTTGGGCGTCGAGTCAGTGACCCCATCCCGTAGAAAACTAACTCGCTAAAAAAACGCTAACCAGAAAAAATTATTCAAACCATTTAAACTCTGCCCTGGGAGTCAGAAGGTCTTCGTTTAGAAGAATTATGACGCCTCATGATGAAAGCCGAGTTCCTTCGGAAGTCACGAAGCCGATGCCCCTTCTGACAACCAGAGCAACCATTTATTTAGGCACATGGAATGCTCGTACAATATGGGAGACTGGGAGAGTTTTCCAAATTGCTGCAGAAATGAAGAGATACAACCTAGAGGTGCTTGGGATCAGTGAAACACATTGGACGCAAGTTGGACAACAACGACTAGCTTCAGGGGAGCTGCTGTTATACTCCGGACATGAAGAAGAAAATGCCCCACATACACAAGGAGTTGCATTGATGCTGTTCAAACACGCAAAAAATGCACTTATAGGATGGGAATCTCATGGACCAAGGATCATCAAAGCCTCCTTCAAAACAAAGAAAGAGGACATTACAATGAACGTCATCCAATGCTATGCGCCTACCAACGAATACAATGAAGACGCTTAAGATTAATTCTACGATAGGCTGCAGTCAATCCATCGAGAGGTGCCCAACAAAGGACCTAGCCATTCTGATGGGAGATTTAAATGCCAAGGTTGGAATGGACAACACCGGATATGAAGAGATCATGGGACGACACGGACTGGGAGAAAGGAACGAAAATGGTGAGAGATTTGCAAAGCTATGTGCCTTCAATAAACTGGTCATAGGCGGCACTATATTCACACATGAACACATTCACAACACCACATGGACTTCACCGGATCACACTATACCAAACCAAATTGACCATATCTGCTTCAACAAAATAATCATGAGGACGATGGAGGACGTGAGAACCAAGAGAGGAGCTTATATAGCATCAGATCATCACTTGCTAGTCGCCAAGAAGCACTGGACAACCGGGTGGACAATATCACAAAAGTTTAATACGGCTCTTCTTCGGGATACTGACAAACTCAACAAATTCAAGATGGCCCTCAACAATAAGTTCCAGGCCTTTCATGATCTACTCAATGGAGAAGGAACTACTATGGAGAGCGACTGGATAGAGATAAAAGAGGCAATCACTTCAACATGTCATGAGGTTCTGGGCCAAAAGAAGCACCATCATAGGGATTGGATCACTGTTAATACGCTGGATAAGACAGCAATCAATACCAGCAGAACAAGAGCAGAAAAAGACAAGGCACAAGCTGAATACACAGAAGTAAACAAGCAAGTGAAGAAGAGCATCAGAACCGACAAACGTAAATATGTGGAAGATTTAACAATGACGGCGGAAAAGGCTGCAAGAGAAGGAAACATGCGACAACTGTATGACACAACAAAGAAACTCTCTGGAAATCACCGCAAACCAGAAAGACCAGTGAAAAGCAAGGAAGGCAAGATAATCACCAACATTGAAGGACAACGAAACAGGTGGGTAGAACACTCCAAAGAACTCTTGAATCGACCAGCCCCACTGAACCCACCCAACATCGAAGCAGTACTCACGGACCTCCCAATCGATGTTGGCTCACCAACAATTGAAGAAATCAGCATGGCTATCGGACAAATCAAGAGTGGCAAAGCAGCAGGACTAGAGAGCATTCCAGCAGAGGCACTGAAAGCAGGCGTGGCGGTAACTGCAAGGATACTCCACATTCTCTTCGGAAAGATTTGGGATGGAGAACAGGTACCAAAAGACTGGAAAGAAGGACTTCTTGTCAAAATTCCAAAGACAGGCAATCCCAGTAACTGTGACAACTACAGGGGAATCACTTTTCTCTCAATACCAGGAAAAGCCTTCAACACGGTATTGTTAAACAGGATGGAGGACTCCGTAGACGCTCAACTTCCTTACCAACAGGCTGGATTCCGTAAAGATAGATCGTGTACAGATCAAATCGAAACTCTACGGATCATTGTAGAACAATCAATTGAATAAAATTCATCGCTCTATATAAACTTCATTGACTACGACAAAGCATTTGATAGCGTGAACAGAACAACCCTATGGAAGCTTCTTCGACACTACGGCGTGCCTGAGAAGATAGTCAATATCGTACGGAATTCCTATGATGGATTAAACTGCAAAATCGTGCATGAAGGACAGTTGACAAAGTCGTTCGAAATAAAGACCGGTGTCAGGCAAGGCTGCCTACTCTCACCCTTCCTCTTTATCCTGGTGATCGACTGGATCATGAAGATGTCAACATCTGAAGGGAAACACGAGATACAGTGGACATCTAGGATGCAGCTGGACGATCTAGACATCGCAGATGATCTGGCTCTTCTATCGCAGACTCAACAATAAATGCAGGAGAAGACAACCAGTGTAGCAGCAGCCTCAGCAACAGTAGGTCTCAATATACACGAAGGGAAAAGCAAGATTCTCCGATACAACACAGCACGCAACAATCCAATCAAAATTGACGGAGAAGATTTGGAAGATGTACAAACCTTTACATATTTGAGCAGCATCATCGATGAACACGGTGGATCTGATGCAGATGTGAAGGTGTGGATCGGCAAAGCAAGAGCAGCATATTTACAACTGAAGAACATCTGGAACTCAAAACAATTGGCAACCAACAAGAAAGTCAGAATTTTCAATACAAATGTGAAGACAGTTCTACTGTATGGGGCGGAAACATGGAGAACTATGAAAGCAATCATCCAGAAGATACAAGTGTTTGTTAGAAGTCGTCTACACAAAATACTTCGGATCCGTTTGCCAGGCACTATTAGCAACAACCTACTGTGGGAGAGAACAAATCAGATCCCAGTGGAGGAAGAAATCAGGAAGAAGCGCTGGAAGTGGGTTGGACACACATTGAGGAAAGCACTGAACTGCGTCACAAGACAAGCCCTTACATGGAATCCTCAAGGTCGAAGGAGGAGAGGAAGACCAAAGAACACATTACGCCGGGAAATGGAGCTAGACATGAGAAAAATGAACAAGAATTGGATGGAACTAGAAAAGAAGGCCGAGGACAGAGTGGTTTGGAGAATGCTGCTCGGCGGCCTATTCTCCATTGGGAGTAACAGGCACATGGGGGGTGGGAAGAAGAACTTGACACACATGACATTGATCACCAGCCAGTGATCAATCAATTGTGATTACATCTCGGTCCTACAGGAAGTCGGTCGCAGCCTGGATAGCTCAATGGTAACGTCTCTGACTGTGAAGCTGGGTGACATGAGATCGAATCAGTTAGGGAGCTCTAGTTCCTTCAAGATTACAGGTGCACCTTGCTGACGAGCGCCAAATAGCACGAAACCTAGATCGGGCAAGGATTCCTGTCGACTACCTCCAACCACCATCTTATCTCAACATAAGGCACAAAATTTCGAGTCATCTAGACTTGTGACCACATTACAACTTGGTCGATAGCATTCGATCTGCACTGAGAAGGACTTGATATACATGATATTGGTCACCACCCCGTGATCAATCAATTGTGAAAGATGGATAATGGACAGCAGTGGAATCCAGTTTGACGCGCGTTTCGTTCTATTCAGGACTCGTCGACTGGATGCACCTGCATCCCAGAGTTGATGTTCACTCCAAGACTCAAACCCAGTACCATTCGCTTCAAACTCCATCGCATTACCTTTTTACCTTCTGAGTCCTGATAGCCACTTGCTTGTGCGATGGAGTGAAGTTTAATTTCACTTGGTGCTGTTTAACTTGTATCTACCCATTGTTGTATAGGACTGCAATTGATCAATCTCTTATTGGTATATGTGCATCCTGTGTGTATTGCCTCGATATAACCTTAAGCCATAAATTTTTTAAACAAAGATGGATAGTGGCTAATAGTGGGGTCCATTGCACCCCATTGCATAAGCTAATGGCTATCAAAACTTAGTAGTTAAGTGGATAACCCGATGGCATTTGAGACGAACGTTACTGGGTTCGAGTCCCAGAGTGAACATCAACTCAGAGATGCAGGTACATCCATCTGACAAGTCCCAAATAGAACAAAGTAACGTGCATCCTGGATTCCACTGCTAGCCACTATCTATCTTCGCTTATTAAGGATATATTTTGTTAAATTAGAAATTCATGAAATCGGAAGAAAATCTAGTTTAAGAAAAAGCATTCAAATTGATATCTTCTACAAGTGTAATGCTTGTTACTTAAATTAAACATAAAAGTAATGATTGTTCTTTTTTTTTCTATATTTTCAGCGTTGGGTCAATAGAGAAATATCAAATTTTGAATATCTTATGCGTTTGAATACAATAGCTGGTCGAACATTTAATGATTTGGGTCAATATCCTGTAGTAAGTAGATCCTCTTTGAAGATGATTGTTTGAATTTAGTTTGCTTAACATATTGATATCAAGTAAGTAAACTATTTGGAACCTGGAAACACGAGATTCTTGTTTCGTCTTAGTTTAAGAGACTTAGAAACTGTGTCCCTGAAACCTGTACATAGGGTGGGGTATTGTCAAGTACCCCTCTGGTTTCTCGTGATTCTTCAGTAGATGTTAATTTGTGATGTAAATCAGTTTCAAAGAATAGTCTGTAAGAATATAAGTCATGTAGGAGTATAACTTATGCATTGAAATAAGTTATAGGAGATGATATTAGATAGTAAAGCTAATTATTGGTTCTCTACTTCAGGACATAATTGTGACATGAATAAACCTACGTCTGAATAGATTTCGAGGAAAAAGGTTTTTGGTGGTTATTAAGTGTCCGAGTTTACATCAATAGCCGATCTTAATTACACAACCATTGAGAACCGGAAAATATTGAGATGGTAGAGGTAGATGATTTTGATGGAGTTTTGTTCTCTGAGATGGATGTTTTGGTCATGGAGCTTTGATCGTTCTTCTGAACGGCATTATCAGCACAAACTTCAAATAGAAGTCCAGGAGAACGACGAAAGCTCTACGACCAAACCATCCAGCTCAGAGAACAAAATTCCATCAAAAACCAGGAAATATTGGACAGTTGCTTCGTCCTAAAATGAGGCTTCTTTCTACTGAGCACACACGACCTCCCCGGAGGTTGGAACCAAGACCTTCAAGATTATTGATTAGCTTTTAGCATTTTCACCACTGTATCATTATACAATAATGTAATATAATCATCTTCCGATATCATTGGTAAGTTACGGTATTTCAGCCGACATGATTAAACTCCATTGCTTACGGCTTCTCTCCATGACTCCTGGAGTTGATTTTCGGTTATTATATAACTAAGGTTACTAGATGACTTGAACCACGCATTCTAATTATAGTTGTACACTTACTATTTTCCAATATGAGGAGTGATTTCCAGAGTTCTAATTAAAAGCCATGACTAATGGAATTCAACCACGTCAAGTGTTAGGCAGTTACTTACCAACAGTATTACCAAATAGTTTTGCAATATCATGAACTAAATGCAATTATCAGAAGGGGGTTTTGTGGAGATTTTAGTAATTTTATAGTTGATTTTATGAATCAATTGAAGCCTGACTAGTGAAGCGGTGACCAGTGAAGTTTAACCGGATCTGTTGTGAGATAATAACTCAATGAAGACAATGGTGGATGTTTCGCTCGATTTCGTGGATTAGTTGAAGTTAGACATTAACACCGTTGGATGTTGGCTCAGTAGTCTAGTAGTTAGGCGTTCGCGCACGAGACGGATAGGTCCTAGGTTCTAATCTCGTAAGGCGGGATCGTGGATGCGCACTTCTGAAGAGTCCCACAACAGGACGAAACGGCCATCTAGTGCTTCCAGATTCTCCATGATGGTCCAACTTCAATTGACCCATTAAATCAACTATACATGCAGTTAGTGTAATTTTGAAGTAAATATGAAAATGAATGTTAACGTTTTGTTTTTCTTCTTCTTTTTCTTCCTCTGAAATTTCTTGTTACAGTTTCCTTGGATTTTAGCTGATTATACTTCTTCAGAATTAGATTTAAATTCACAACATACATTTCGTGATCTTTCACGACCTATTGGATTAGCTAATCCAAAATTTATTCAAGAAATTAAAGAAAAGCAAGTTTTTAGTCTATTCCAATAATGTTTTATTATTGATTATATGAAGATAAGACATATATTTGATCTTACTTTTGTGAAGAATGATAGTTGGCGGCCTACACTCCATTGGGTGTAACAGGCGTAAGTAAGCAACTTTTGTAGAATATCAGTAAGACACACATCATTCGATTTGTATGAGGGATGGGATATTGCCCGGGTGCCTAAACCTAAGGGGGTCACACATGGGGCCTTTGACCTAGAGGTCTATTCCGTAAGTCAGTGGAGTAACGTAAGGAAATGCAGTCCTATGGTAACCATTGACCAGCGATTGGTTAATACACCATTCGTTCCTTCAGGATGCTGGTGTCTATTTACACCATTGGTATGGAATGAGGGTTTTCCAACTTCCCTAGATGGACTGACCGTGTCCATCAACCCGTTTAAAGTGTCGGACATTCGCTATTCTTCCTCTTTATTTCGTAAATAACACATGCTTGAGAAGGCAGTGAATAGGAGTTCCCTGGTAGTGGTTGTATGCACGTGGTTATATGAGAGTATTTGGAGAGGGAGAGCTGACTCTCTCCACTCTCGGCCGTACCAGTGCATAGTAACTAGTACTATTCATTTCTTTTTGGGAACTGATCTCAGCGGATTAGTATCCATACTATTATCTTGTAAATATTTAATGTGGAATAAAGGATAGATCATTTGGAGAGTTGAGTAGTACCATTAAGCAATGACATATTGATCTGATACTTTCCAATCGATTCATTACATTTAACATCCAACACTAAGTTATTTTAGTGTCGCTTGTTGAACTTTTTACTTGAGTAATGTAGAAAACAAACGTTTAAGAAAATCATACTTCTAAGTATCAGTATTATCTTTTTGATTGAGATCATAAATCGATCGATGTAAGACCACTATTGGGAACTTGGAATCACTGGACATCCGATTGGTTCTAGTGTAAGACTCCTCGGCAGTGCACATCCACGATTCTGCGTTCGAACCCCGTGTGGATGCACACTGCTGACGAGTCCGGTACTAGGACGAAACGGCCATCCAGTGTTTTCAGCTTTTCAATGGTAGTCTAACATCGATCGATTCATAGTCTCAATCAAAAGCTGCACCATCTCCACAACCCCATACCGATAATCAGTACATTGAATTCATTTACATTTGAATGTTTTAATTAAGATTTTGTTTCTTTTTTTCTCTCTTTCTCATGTTTTACCTATTAAGATATAATTCATTTGAAGATCCAAGTGGTGTTATGCAAAAATTTCATCATGGAACTCATTATTCAAGCGCTGCTGGTGTCTTGCATTATCTTGTCCGTTTGGAACCGTTTACAACGTATCATGTAAATTTACATGGAAATAAGTTAGTACAATTCAGTTAGTGTTTATGATATTCCTTAATTAATATTCATTTTTATAGGGTGCTATTGTTAAACCGATATCCATATTTCCTCGTTTACAAACTAATAAGACTGATAGGGCTTCAGGAGGAGTTACTTACTTAGTAAGAGCTTTTACCCTTTGTTGAAGAGCATAGACCATCGATCAGGATTCTTCAACCAACTCTGTTCTGGCCTCCTCTTTCCCCTTGTTTTTACATACTGTTCATTCCTTTGATGTCTGCCTGCAATTTCTGACACAGTATGTTTATTGGCTTTCCTCTTCTGTTTGAATTCAAGATTCCAAGAAAACACTTGCCCCGAGGTGCAGTTTAATGAAAACCACAATGTATTTCTTATCCACTTCCAACGTGTTTTACTAATTTCCTTTTCATTTTGAAGCTGGTTTATTCTCTCCTATATTAGGTGGTGGTCTGCGGTCAACGGATATTGAGTATTTTACATAGACAATTGTTCATAAGTACTTGTACATTTTTGATGATTGTTGTAGTAGTCATCCACATTTCAGCTTCGTACAGTAGAACTATGTTGACGTTCGTACTGAAGATTTTAACTTTGATGTTGGTTGACAGTTGTTTCGAGTTTCAATCGTTCTTAAATTGTAGGAATTCTTTCCTTGCCTTTCTAATCCTCGCATTTACGTTTACATCAAATACTCTTCGTTCATTGATGATGCTACACAGATAAGTGAAACTTTCCACCTCTTCCACAGTTTCTCCATTAAGTGTGATTGAGTTGCTCTCTGTGTTGAATTTGAGTATCTTGCTTTCTCGCTTGTGTATGTTGAGGATTAAGTCTACAGAGGCTACTGCTACACTGGTTGTCTTCATAGCTAGATTATCTAGAGAGTCCAAATGGTCTAGTTGCATGGAAGCTGTCCATTGTATTCCGTACTTTTTCTCAGATATCGAGGTCTTTTTAATCCAGTCAACCACCAGAAGAAAGAGAATATCCGAGAGTAATTTCACTACAGATTGGTTTAAATAACAGCAAATATGATAGAGAATTATGAAGTAATCAACAATCACTTTATCCTACAGTAAGATTCTTTCCCACTAATTCTATTTATTTCAATGTTCAGAATAATTCATTACATTATGATCAACTCTAAGATACATGTAGGTACATTCAACTGGATAACTTTGACGTATTCTTCAACAGAAGTCATGAAATCCTGTTAGAGTGTAATGGTATTAGACGTTTTATCGATTTTTTCAAAACTTCCTACTAATTTATTTTGTTTATTGGTTGTTTGAATCTTTCCATTGATGTTTAAGACTGCAACTAAGCAGTCTTTGTTGTTGGCATATGTGTACATCCTGGATATTGGTTAGTAGTGGAATCCAAGACGCACACTTTTTCATCCTATTTGAGACTAATCATCTGAATATACCTGAATTATAGAGTTGATGTTCACTCCATGATTCGAATCCAGTACTGTTTACTTCAAACACCATGGAGTTATCCATCTACTTAGCTACTAAGTTTAGGTAGGTTGCTCGGATTTTCCTATTGATGTTAAGGACTGCAATTGATCAGCCTGTTTTTTTTTTTTTAAATTATAGATTTGATGTTGCAGATCGTCAATTCTATTCTATTCCAAAAGCATGGCGTTTTATATTAGATAATCCATATGATAACAAAGAGTTAATTCCGGAATTTTTCTTTTTACCTGAATTTCTACGAAATAGTAATAGTAAGTTAGTTATATCACTTCTTCTATTAATGGAATATAGTAAGGTTACTGATTGTAAGCAAAGACAAACAGTGGCTAGTGATGAAATCCAAGACACGTGATACTTCGTTCTATTTGCGACTCGTCAGCTGGATTTACTTACATCTTAGAGTTGATGTTCACTGTAGGACTCGAATCTAGGACTATTCGCTTCAAACTCCTTGCGTGTAACCCGCTTAGCTACTGAGTCCTGATAGTCACTAGCTTGTGCAATGGGATGAAGTTTAAATGTAATTAGTATAGTTTACTTGCATCCTCGCATTGATGTTTAGGACTGTATTTGTTCAATCTGTCATTGACATATGTGCACACTGTGTTTACTATCTTGATTGATCATCATCACAACTTCTTAATAGAACTTCAAGTAATCACTTTATGATAAGATTACTTTAACTCTAGTGTTTCTACGCACAACTCTAATTGTTTCCAGTTTATATATCAAGGTGTAAGTTGATATTCACCAATCAAATCACACTTGACGGAGAAGCTTTGAAGGATGTAAAAACCTTTATATATCTGGGCAGAATCATTGATGAACACGGTGGATCTGATGCAGATGTGAAGGCGCGGATAGGCAAAAAATAGCAGCATATCTACAAATGAAGAACATTTGGAAATCAAAACAACTGTCTGTCAACCAACATCAAAGTCAGAATTTTCAATACAAATGTCAAGACGGTTCTACTGTATGGGGAGGAAACTTGAAGAACTACGAAATCCATCATCCAGAAGATACAAGTGTTTAATGATAGTTGTCTACGCTATATATTTCGGATCCGTTTATCAGACACTACACTATCAGAAACAACCTACTACGTGAGAGAGCAAACCGAATCCCAGCGGAGGAAGAAATCAGAAAGAAGCACTGGAAGTGGATAGGAAACATATTGTGGAAAGAACCCACCTGTATCACAAGGCAAGCCCTTATCACTTATAATCCTCAAGACCAAATGATAATAGGATGACCAAAGAAGAACAAATTACACCAAGAAATGGGGACAGATATAAAAGGAATGAACAACAATTGAATAGAACTAGGAAAGAAGGTCCAGGACAGAGTGAGTGAGTGAGTTGAAGAATCCTGGTCGGCGGTCTGTGCTCCAGTGGGAGTAACAGGCGTAAGTAAGTAAGTAATTAAGTTGATATTCAATGTATAAATTCAATAATCATGAAGAATTAGTTTAAGTTTATCTTTTGATCACGTTTGAACAAACCTGAGATTTGTAGATGATCAACATGAACACATCATATACTCATCCAGCTTAAGTCTTATATCTTCATGTTTTGCATTAGTTTATTTATCAATTCTATTGAAAATATTAACTTATGATTACATAACTATACTCTTTCTTTATTCATAAACAAACAAACAAACAAACAGATTTTGATTTAGGCTTTCGTCAATATAATCAAAATCGTATTCATGATGTAGAACTACCAAATTGGGCTTCAACACCAGAAGAATTTATACGTAAACATCGTGGTGCATTGGAATCTGATTATGTTTCATCACATTTACATTTGTGGATTGATTTAATTTTTGGGTAAATTCTCATTAACTACTCATATTATCATTATTATTACTATTAAATATTGTCGTTACAATCGAACTGATAATCTGTTCATATCAGAAGAATTAAGATCAATAGTCGATTGAAGATAGACCACTATGGAAAACCTGGAAGCACTAGACGACCATTTCGTCCTATTGTGGGACTCTTCAGCAGTGCGTATCCACGATCCAACCTCGTGAGATTCTAGTGAGTTCTAATGAGATGCAATGAGATAGTAAGTCATTGAAGACAATGGTGGATGTATCGCTCAATTTCATGGATTGGTTGAAGTTAGACATTAACACTGTTGGATACCAACTCAGTGGTCTAGTGATTAAGCGCCCGCGTGCGAGACTGATGGGTTTTGGGTTTTATTCTCACCATGTGGGATCGTAGATGCGCACTGCTGACGAATCCTATACTAGGATGAAACAGGCGTCCAGTACTTCCAGGTTTTCCATGGTGTTCTATCTTCAATTGACTTGTGAATTCAACTATTATAACAAATGAATAAATATTTATTTATTTCATTATTTACAGTTATAAACAACGTGGTCCAGATGCAGTGAATGCATTGAATGTATTCAATTTTGTAACATATGAAGGTGCTGTAGATTTAGACAAGATTAGTAATTCATGTGAACGTGAAGCTTTAGAAAGTATGATACAGAATTTTGGACAAACTCCAAGTCAATTACTTAAAGTAAGTAAATAATTTCTATGACATAATAGATTTATAACATCTATATATAAAAATTGTATGTTTTCTTTTAAGAATTCATGGATCAGAGACACCACTTACGTATGTAATAAGTTCTCTTCAGGCCCCCAAATCCCCTTGTACGGCCGAGGTTAGGGAGAGTCAGCTCTCTCTCTCTCTCTCTCCAAATGCTCTTACATGCCTACGCGTAAACAGCCACTGCCAGGGACGTCCTACTCATTGCACTCTCACACAAAGGGTATTGTTTACGGAGTTGAGAGGTCGAAAGGCGAATGTCCGACACTTTAACAGGGTTGATGGATATGGATGATCCACCTAGAGGAGTTGTGAAACCCTCGTTCCAAACCACTTTTGTAAATGGGCTCCAGTATCCTGAAGTAACAAATAGCGTATGAGCCAATTATTGGTCGCCGGTTACCATTGGACTGCATCTTTTTACGTTACTCCAATGGCTTGTGGATCATACCTTTAGATTGAGAGCTTCAGGTGTGGCCCCCTTAGAAAATCACCTTCTGTCTGGCCACCAGGGCAGTATCGTAGCCCACACACAAATCGAGTGATTTATATGGCATATATGTATTCGGTGCCACTTTTGTACCAATATTAATGTGTCCGTTTTTCACCACAAGTCTCTTACACACTAAAACAAACACCTACTTTAAACATTGTTAATGTTGATTGGATGACCTATTTAGTATACAGTAAACCAGAAAACTATGTACCTTGTTTATATATTCACGATTGATTGATCACTGTGTGGTGATCATTGTCATGTGTGTCAATTTCTTCTTAGTGTGGCCACTAGTCTATGTGACTCCACACTGCGTGCACTATGTTGAGATTAGATGGTGGTTGGAGGTAGTTAACAAGAAACCCTGGACCCGGGTTTCATGCTACTTGGCACTCGTCAGCGAGGTGTACCTGTCTCTGACTGTGAAGCTGGATGACATGGGATCGAATTCGTCAGGGAGCACCAGTTCCGTCAAGATTGCAGGTGAATCTTGCTGTTGACTACCTGTTGACTACCTCCAACCGCCATCTTGTTGATATTTTCGATAATTTTAATGTTTCAATATATTTTCTTGAAAAAAGCTTGGACCCAAATGTCAACTGAAACGTTGGATTTACTTGAAATTCATTCTTCCTCTTTACTGTCTCATATCAATGAGGCGCTCAAATATTGTGAAACCACTCGATGGAATTTAGACAAAAGTTCTTATATGTGGAACCCTTGTTTGTCTGTTTGTTTTTATGGTTTTTCATTGATAACATGCAATTCACTCTTATCGAAATCATTGAAACAAATGACTATGATCAACTAGGTCATTCCGCGAGACGATAGCAACTGATGGTTAGAGACCTTGAAAGTGACGGCTCAAAATCGTTTACAATGGCGCAGGTGCATCTACTCTTTGTGTTCTCCTAAATTCTAATCTTCTGAATTCTTCATGTCCCTCTTTACCACTTTCCAAATTTATTTCACTGAATTATACTTCTTAAATAACATCAACCCTAATGTTTCTGATTACTGCTTGTACATTCACTACCTCTACCACTATGCGATTTGAATGGACAGTTGTATCTGTGTACTAATGTGGTATGGCAACTCGAACTGATGTGCGTACGTACGAAGTTCCATGTTGTTGACTGACTGACTGACTGACTAACTGATTGTAAAGTAATTATTTCTTTTTGATGAAATTTTATTCTCTGAGCTGGATGGTTTGGTCGTGAAGCCTTCATCATTCTTCTGAACGACATCATCAGCTCAAACTTCAGGTAGAAGTGAATTGGTTGAATTTCTTCACATATGGTTCACAGTTTGTCTTGTAGACCTCGATGTTTGATTGATTTTTGTTGACATTAAATCTGTCATTGTTTGGTTCTTTGTTTTGATTATATCTCCCATCATCTCAAAATTACTAGAATTGATTTGGATCACTTTTTCTGGTTATAGATGACTTAATTAGATGTATGGTGACAGGTAGTATCAAACAATACTTCTGCTTTATAATCTTTAAATGATTTAGATCAAAGTTAGACGAACTAAAATCTTGATAGCTGCTTGTATTCGACTAGTGAAGTTTGTCATCTGGTTGTAAAACCTGTCATATGTAAGCTAATTTGATATTAGTATGGAGGAAGCATCACATCTCACATTCAAATGATCTTCAATGACTAGATTGGAATATTGAACTAACAGATTCACACATGTAAAGTATGCAAAGTGACTAAGTTAGTAAAGTATTGTGTTACATTCTAACTTTTTCACCATATACCAATCAGACCATATTTAATTGATGCTCAGTACAAGTTATTCAAATTGGATGATTTTGATTATCTGATCAGTTTGGTGTTTGTCATAATCATTTGATTATCTCAGTTTCTTTTTAATAGTTGAATTCATGAGTCGATCTAAATTACATCACCATTGAAAACCTGGAAACATTGATCAGCTATTTCGTCCTATTATGCGACTCCCCAGAAGTGCGCATCCGCGATCCCGCTCGCGTGACTCGATCGAGGTGGGATCTTCGACCTCTCGAACGAACACTTAACCTCTAGTCCATATGGCTGCGATACTGTTCGGGTGCCCAAACCAAAGCAGGTATTTTTCTTGTGGGACCACTCTCCAAACCTTTGATCTAAAGGGCTATTTATTAATGCAATGGAGCGACGTAAGGAGATGCAGTCCCATAGTAACTGGTGACCAATAAAGGGTTCATACACCATTGGTTCCTTCATGACCCTGAAGCACATGTGCACCACTGGTTTGGAATCAGGATTCTCCGTGTCCATCAACCCGGTTAAAGTGTCGGACATTCACTTCTCGTCCTCTCGATTTCGTAAACAACGATAATGCCACAATAAGACAGTGGTTGTATGCATGTGTCCATATCAGAGCATTTCCAGTAGGAGGGCAGACTCCCCCAACCCTCAGCCGTGCCATGGAATTTGGGGACTTCTCGGAATATTTCATAGCATGACCAGAAACCAATATGATAAAGGGAATAATTTTTACAAACTTCTAATCAATATTAATTTTAATTCACTTGGTATTGTTTTACTTGAATCTTTCCAATGATGTTTATGACTGCAATTGATTAGTCTCTTATCAGTATACGTGCATCCTATGTTTGTTGCCTCGATATTGCCTTAATTTACAAGCATTATAAGCGAAAATGGATAGTGGCTAATGCTGGGATCCAGGACGCACATAGTATGCACATATGCCACTAAGAGATTTATCAATTGCAGTCCTAAAAATCGATGGGAAGTTTCAAGTAAAACAATACCAAGTGAATTTAAACTTCAACCCATTGTACAAGCTAGTGGCTATTAGAACTCAGTAGCTAAGTGGATAACCCGTTAGCGTTTGGAGAAAACGATACTAAGTTCGAGTCCCAGAGTGAACCTCAACAAGTCTAAGATGTAGGTACATCCAGTTGACAAGTCTCAAATAGGACAAAGTATCGCTTGTCCTAGACTCCACTACTAACCACTATCCATCTTTGCTAATAATAATTTGATTATTATTATTTTTCATTCTATAATTACAGGTACCACATCCAAAACGTTTAACCTATTCTGAATGGTTATCTATATTGATTCATCAATGTAGATTACCTGTTATTAGTTTATTAACTTATGCTAATCTTAAAAATGACAATTCAATACACAAACATAATTCATTAATACAATCAACATTTCAACAAGATTCAATGAATACGACTACTACTATTATTAGTAGTGCTAGTAGTAGTAGTACTAGTAGTAGTAGTAGTACTAGTACTACACCTAACAGTACAAAGTCTACAACATTCTTTCAACGTTCAAATGAATATTTCCATTCAGTATTCAATACTCATACATTATTTGATAAGATTCAAATAATCAATCATAAATGGTGTATTGTAAAACATCCAACTATGAATAATATTGGTATTAGTATAGAAACATTAAAGTTAAAAGTGAATACAATAACTCAATTGAATTCAATCTATTTAGCTATTATACCAGCATTTTGTTGTCCATCTAAACAACAATCAACTATAGTTAATACCATAAATAATGATTTATCTTATACGGATATTTATCGTTCAACAAATATATTAAAAACTCGTCTATTCTCTACCGGAAGTTCATCGATGTTAACTTCAGCGGCAGTAGCTGCTGGATTAGTGACAATGACAGCGGCACCACCAGCAACAACATCAGCAACAACAATAATATCTGAAAATCAATTACCCAAATCTAATTGGGAACGTTTAGCGTCAGCTGTTTTTACTATTAATAGTAGAGGTATTATTAATCGATATTTTTGGATACCAACTGATCAACAATCTATAGAACGTGATAACAACGATATTGAACCTTTAGAACAATATGGTTTATTCTATGATTCATTTCGTTCATCACAATATGGGTAAGTTAGTTGGTAGGAAATTTATGTTTTATTTATGGAATTATCTTAAATTAATCAATAAAGACTCAGTACTTAAGTGAAGAAGGCGATGGCGTTTGAAGCGAACAGTACTGGGTTCAAGTCTCGAAGTGATTCCTATCAAATCTAGGGTGCAGGTATATCCAGCTAATGAGTCTCAAATAGGACGAAGTTTCGGTTGTCCTAGATTCTACTGCTAGCCACTATCCATCTTTGCTTAAAAAAAAAACAGCATTTGACTTAAGGCTATATCAAGGCAGTTTACACAGGATGCACATATGCCAACATGAGACTGATCAATTGCAGTTCTAAGTAACAATTGGAAGATACAAGTAAGAACAACACCAAGTGAATAACTGGTAATTGAGTTTGTCCAAAAAATTCATTAATTTGAATCTAATATTAAGTATTAGTTTCTATCAGATTTCAGTAGTATGCTATTGTATCTAGATTATTTCTATTGACTTTTTACATCAATTAATCATTATTGACCCGAGGAGAATTTGATGTAGATGTAAAGGTAGGAATTGATAAAGTAAGGGTAGCATTCCTACAGTTCAAGAATATTTAGAATTCAAAACACAACTATCAACTAATATTAAAGTCACAATCTTCAATACGAACATCAAGACAGTTCTACTGTACGGAGCTAAAACTTCGAGAACTACCACAACCATCATCAAGAAAGTACAAGTGTTTATAAATAGTTGTCTATGCAAGACACTCAATGTGCGTTGCCTGGATACCATCAGAAACAGCTTACCGTGGCAGATGACAGACCAGCTTCCACCTAAAGATTAAATCAGGAAATGACATTGGAAGTGGATAGGAAATAGACTATGGAAGTCATCAAACTGTATTACTAGTGAACTGTTATCTTGGAATCCTGTAATTAATACGAAAAGAGGAAATCCATGAAATATATTGTGTCGGAAATTGCAAGCGAGCGTCAAAAGAATAAATTGTATGTAGAAATAAGTGGAAAGAGCAGGTCAGAACGTTTCAGTATGAAAGAGGTATTACACAACACGACACAATTTTTTTCTAGAACAGCTGATAATATTACCTGGTCATTTAAAGTAGATGCGCACTGCTGAGGAGTCCCATAATAGGACGAAACGGCCGTCTAATGCTTCCAGGTTTTTCATGGTGGTCTAGCTTCAATTGACTCTTGATCTCAACAGTTGAAATACATGAAGTGTTTGAAAGTTCGAATATCATATTTGTGAGGAGAATTTTTAACTTTGAAAATACTAAAATTTTCACAAATCCCCATACTTATAATAATCATGTGCTTATTAGTGACTAGCTTTAGAATTAATTTCCTGGTGTCCTAATGAGACATTTTGCCAAGTAGATTCCAATCCATGTCAGATGTGAGACAGTTGTACCCCTAATGTAATGCATGAAGGGTTGCTTAAGATCGTGGATCGATTGAAGTTAGAGATTAACACCTTTGAATGCAAGCTCAGCGGTCTGTAGGTTAAGCGTTTGCACGAGACAGTAAATCCTAGGTTTGAGTCCATTTGGTGCGGGATCATGGATGCTCAATGTTGAAGATTCTCACATTAAGACGAAATGGCCATCCAGTGCTTGAGAATTTTCAATAGTGTTCTAGCTAAGATCGATTAATGAATTCAACCATTAAAAATACTACAGTCTCCACAAATCCCTATAATGATAATAATCATGTGCTTATTAGTGATTAGTTTCAGAATGAATTTCCTGGAGTTCTGAGGAGTCCAATGCTAGAAAGAAACGGCAGTGCCGTGCATCTAGGTTTTCAATGATGGTCTAGCTTAGATCGACTCGTGGCTTCACCATGGAAATATCTAACTAATGAAAGATTAAACTTGATTCAACTCTTTTGTAAATCAGCATCTATTTGGTTATTAATTTCTAAATAAACTGTAGTTAGTAAATTCTACAGTCATTGAATTTTTTCAACTTCGATTTAGATTAACTCAGTTAGCCAGTACAAAATATATCTGATGTGATGGGGGATATTTTGATGAGACTATAATTTATGGACGGTCTTTAAGCAACGCTAAAGCGATCTTGAGAATGTTAAGCTTTCGCGCGCTAGACTGATAGGTCGTGAGTTCTAATCTTACGAAATGAGATCATGGATTCACACTGCTAATGAGTCCCATACTAGAACAAAACAGTCATCCAATACTTCCAATTTTTCCATGGTGGTCTAACTTCAATTGATGTATGAAGTCTACACAAAACCCTCCTTTTCTGATAACTTTGTTTTGTTCTTATTTCATGTTTTCAATAGCTCTGTTGGACCATTTGATTCATCATGGATTCATTTCATTGAAAATACAAATAATTTTAAACTTGATGAAAGATTTTCTTTAAATTTGCCCAACATGGAATCATCTTCATCTTTGAATACTATTGGTTCACAATTATTTGCATTAACCTATGATGATAAATGGTTATTTATTGGTGGAAGATGGGATGGACGTTTAACTATATATAATATGTATCAATCAAAAATTCATGCTCTATTAACAAGTCCACATATAGATACAATTAGTTGTGTTGCTATGGATTCAGCATATAGTTTAATTGATCGACAACCATTTACATATCATGGTGATTTTAATAAAATCAATAAATTCTTAATAGATCAATTGAAGAATTCAATTAGAACACGTTATTATATTATTACTGGTAGTCGTGATGGTACATGTGCTATATGGGATTTTGATCTTTTAAATGAAGAAGATAATGAGGATCGTGATCACGATTATAATTATGATCGTGATGAAGAAGAAGATCTCACAGAGTTTCGATATGATAATTCACCTTTTATTAATGATTCATTATTATCTTCATTTAATCAAAGAAAATTATCAAATAGTAATGTGTTTTTTGGTAGTCAAGATGATCTGTCAATGAATTCTGATCCAAAAACTATATATGATGAACAAAATCAAAAAGAACATCCTTCATGTTATCGATCTTTTGATGGAACTGGATCATCATCAAGACTATTGTTCAATTCAATCTATTTACCTAAAATGGATTATCATTTACAATATAAAAATGCTGGTATACCATTTTATCCTTTACATTCATATAAATCTAAAAAGTCAAAACGTTTAGCAAAAATAATAAAAATTTTTTATGGAAATTTGTATGGTAACCCAGTAACATGTGTTGCATTAAATATTGCCTTAGATACAGGTGTCATGGCAACAAATGCGAATCATGATCTATATTTATTTAGTGTAAAATTATCAAATTGGTCACGTGTACTTAAATTGAATACATTCGAATCAAATATTATGAATGAATTACATTATCCATTTGATTTATATCCAAATGCAGAAGAGATATTTTTACATACAAATCTATATACTATTGTTAATCATCTACTTATATCACCTAGATTAGGTTTAATTTATATACAATGGAATGTTATTGCAAAAATGAATCAATCTAATATAAACAAAACAGAAATTGGACCTAAATTAAGTTTATTTAATTCAATAGGTGAAAAATTATTAGAAATTTCACCATTTATTTATACTACTGATTATAATCATATAAGTAGTAATGAATTAAATCAAATAATTGTTACACATATTTTATTGACATCAACACCAATTCAATCGAAATGTACTTTTCATAATGAAGATAATAATAATAATCATGATACTGCAGAACACTTAGATGATCGTTCCAATCATTCCATATCTCAACATATTCTAATGTCATTTAATACAGGACATTTTATGATTTTAATGGCTGAAACACTAGAACCTATTTATTGTATTCAATTAAATGAAGGAATTAATCATCTATCATTAATATGTAATCTTACATCAAATCAATATCTTATTGAAGGTATTCATTTAATGTTATCTTTAATGAATAATCAATTAGTAATATTTCAAACAATACGAAAGAAAAACCAAAGAAAAAATCAGTTAGCAACAAAACGAGTACAAGTATGAAATTGTTTTATTTACGAGAAGTTAATAATAGTGAAATATAATGCCAAAAATTCTTATGATTACGTAACAATAATTTTATATTTCATCATTTATGAATGAACCAATCAGAGTGACGATAACTGATCTCGGATTTTGACGCGAAATTTCTATTGGTGAGATTATCATTTATGAATGAACCAATCAGATTGAAGATAACGAATTTTGTTTTTTGTTTTTTTTTTGTTGGTTAAAGAGCATTTTGGCATTATAGCTGATGTTTGTTCCTTACATTGGTTTATAAACCTGATTTGGTCCTAGTTATTAAGTGGGTTGTTTCAAGATCACTTCAGCGTTAATCAATGATTGTTCGTAAATTCTAGGTCTCACCTTCATGTTCTTTCTTCTTTGTTGTTTTTTTCGTTTAATTATATACCGTATAGTATTTTTGTGTGAATTTTTCAAATGTATATATCTGTCTTTAAAAGTACGATGGGTATCTACCTCAGATGATAATCTTTTTTAATGATTGTAATTTCTTTTATAATCTGTGCAATTTTTTATTGTCTCCTTTGATAGTAAATGAACTAAGTGGATTTCTATGTTATTCTATTAAATTAATAGAAGTGAATTCATGTAATGACAAGGTGTTGTTGACAAGATTCTCTAAAAAGAATTCATCATTTCAAAATCTTAACGTTTGTTTTTATCTGTTTGTTGTACGCAATACAAAAAAAAATAATCGATTCAAGTTATTTTTGTATTTTTTTCTGTCTCTTGATGATGGAGTTTTTGTTTGTTTGTTTGATTTTGCCAAAACGGTTTTTGTTCTTTTTTTATGATTCTATTTTTTATATTTTTTGATGATTAACAGATAGACGTATTGTTGTTGTTTGCTTGTTTGGTTTTACACGTTTGTCTTCCTCTATTTTATACATTTTTATTTACAGATGTGAGTGTGTGTGTGTGTGTGTGTGTGTGGATGTTTGGATAGATTTTGTGGCCAAAATATACTTATTTGAATGGAAATTATTTATTTAAATACATAAACATCGGTGAAAAGAGGCACCAAATAGATATGCGCCATATAAATCATTCGATTTGTGTGAAAGCTGGGATACTGACAGGGTGTTTAAACCGAAGCAGCTGGATTTATTAGGGGAAAACGACCTAGAAATAAAGGTTTGATCCACAAGGCAGTAAAGCAACGTCAGGAAATGCAGTCTTGTGGTAGCTGGTGACCAATAATTGGTTCATATGCCATTTATTCCTTCACGATACTGATGCTCAAGTGCACCATTGGTTCGGAATGAAGAATTTCTAACTGCGGTGAGACCAATGAGTTAGGGATAGTATCCCTATATAACATGACGAGTAAGAGCAGGTGTAAATGGTCAATCACAAATCTTAATATACGTGTACATATTATACATCATTAAATAGTACTCAATTAGGTAGATAACACAAAGTATATCTCATTGAAATACATTAATCCGTTCAACAGTTATGAAGGATAATGTGATCGGAAACATTCCTATAGAATGGCCTTGAGAACGTCGAAATGTAATCACCAGTATGAATGAAATCGGTTAATCAGCAAACCAATTTTGCACATGAACAGTCAGAGAAACTTGCCCAATTAATGCTGAACCATCCACAATATCAATGGTGAACCTCCAGACTCATATGAATTCTTTATCACTACTTCACTGATGTACTCGTTAGTAGGGTAAAGCTAACTTGTCTCATAATGATCTGAACTTAACTCACTTTCCATTTCATTAGGTGAACTTTCCAATTCTTGATGAGTTCTGCTTCACCATTTTAGAAACAACAAACATAGAAGGATCAAAGAGCGGCGTCGCTATGATCGCTTGGCGAAACTAGTCGGTGAATCCCAGTAGGCCCTTCTGGTGAAGAGGCTATATTGAAACACTGCACAACTACCGGGGCTCAATATTTGTTTTTGCCGGTTTTTAGTCTTTGATTTTACTTCTTTTCGGGTGATTGCTGAACCCCTTTGTACCGGATTGCAGTGGTTGATTATGTAAATGCATTACATTATTTATGGAGTTATTTTTATTTGTTAGGGTAGTAGTTTCAATTTTTATGTAAATTGCCGGAAGCTCTTTCAACTCATCCGAGCCACTGGCAGCAAGAAGTTTGGTGTGAGCGAAATAGTGTGTAAGAATGACGGAATGCCAATCACTAAAATCCATCGACGTCTTGGACGATGGTCAGAATTTTTCGAAGAGCAGTTCAACTGGCCTGCTGCTCCGACAACATCGGTCAGACTGTCCTGCCCTCTATGGCCGGTGACGACTGATCCACCAAATGAGGCGGAAGTCCGCAAGGAACTCCAGCTCATAAAACGTTACAAATCACCGGGCCCAGACGGCTTAACTCCGGCTAATTCTAAAGATGGTGGTGACTTTCTGACTAAGGACTGACAACGTGGTTTACAAATGTCTGGGAACTAAAGAGTGTACCAAAGTCATGGAATCAGTCGATAGTTGTCCCTATCTTTAAAAAATATTCACGTAGTTCCTGTAACAACTATCGGGGGATAAGTCTACTCCCGATTGCGTCCAAGCTATTGGCTTCCGTCATACTTCGTAGGTTGTTCAAAACCCGAGAAGGATTGACTCGCGAGGAGCAGACTGGGTTTCGTTCTGGTCGAGGATGTATTGATCATATCTTCACCCTCCGCCAAATGTTAGAACACCGCCGTACCTATCAAAGGCCAACAATCGTAGTGTTTCTCAACATCAGGGTTGCCTTCGACTCGTTGGATAGGACTGTTCTCTGGGAGTGTCTATTGAAGAAGGGCGTGCCTGAGAAGTTTATTAACATCCTAAAAGCTTTATACACAAACACCTCAGGCATAGTGAGGGCATACAACCACCTCTCTCCATTTTTCCATTCAAGCAGTGGAGTTAGGCAAGGTTGCCCAATCTCACCATTCCTCTTCAACTTTGCCATCGATGACATTCTGGAAACAGCTCTATGGATGTAAGTAATGATGGTGTGGATCTGTTGCCTGGAGAAAGACTTCTCGACCTTGAGTATGCGGATGATATTGTCGCACTGTGCGAGAATGCCCAAGCTATGCAATCCGCACTTAATCGGTTGGCAATCAGTGTCCGTAGGTATGGTATGTGCTTTTCACCTTCGAAGTGCAAAGTACTTCTACAAGACTGGGAGGATTCTAATCCTGTACTCACTATGGATGGTGAGCAGATAGAAGTAGTCGAGAAGTTCGTGTATCTAGGTAGCTGCATAAGTGTTGGTGGTGGTGAGTGATGAGATCAATGCACGTAAAGGGAAAGCCAGAGTGGATTATGCCAATCTGGGCCATCTTTGGAGCCTTCGTGATGTTAGTCTGGCTGTAAAGGGTCGGATCTACAACGTGTCAGTGAGAGCATTTATGCTTTATGCTTGTGAAATCTAGCCTCTCCGAGTTGAGGATGTTAGACGACTCTCTGTGTCTGACCATCGCTGTCTCTGAAGGATTGCTGATATCCAGTGGCAACATCATGTTAGTAATGATGAGGTTCAGCATCATGTCTTAGGGCACAGAGACGATAATTCAATTAGTGTTACTATCTTGAAACATCGACTTCAATTGCTTGAACATGTTGTACGAATGCCGTCTCAGAGAATTCCATGTCCTGCATTATTTACTGACTCTGGGACTGGTTGGAAAAAGCGGAGAGGTGGTCAGTATATGACATGGTGTTGTGGATTTTCATACTATGACGAAACGGCCATCTAGTGCTTCCATGTTTTCCAGGGTGGTTTAACTTCAATTGACTCATGAATTCAAATATATAATTACTATATTATCCACAAAATCCCTCTCTGATGAATATCGTACATGTTAACCCAAAGCTTTTATGAACAACAAGTGAACGCTATTTTCATTCAATAGAGAAAGAATTCCAGTGACTAAAACCTACTCTGCAACGTCGAAGTAAACTGTCTGTATGTGATAAATCGTACTTTATGGAATTGAAGTATTTCGAGAGTGACACAGTTATTACAATCGGGATCGGATGAACATCATCATTTGATGTTGGTGATTGGCATTCCGTCATTCTTACACATTATTTCGCTCACACCAAACTTCTTGCTGCCAGTAGCAACAGAAGTTGCAATAAGCTTGCTAACATCAATCCTTTGGTGGCGGTCACTTCGTTGGCCACTGAAAAGTAAGGTAAGATTGGCGCAGACCAGGGCATGATCATATTCCATCAAGGTACCCCAAAAGAAGCGTCAGTCTTGTACAGAACCACGCCAGCGGTAGCTGATCGCGGTGTGATCAATCTGAGTCCAGGCTTGAGATGCAGAGGGAGGACGCCAGGTGGCACATCGGCGATGATTGTGCCGAAAGTTAGTGCTAGCCAGAAACAGGTTATGGTCTGTGCACAGTTGCAGAAGACGGTCCCCGTTATCTTTCCTGCGATCAACAAGTCCCCATCGGCCACCTAAACGACTCTCTTCTGTGTCTAGACGCCCGACCTGAGTATTCAAGTCTCCGGCTAGTACTACAATATCTGTCGAACGCACTTTCTGGAGAAGAACAGTTAACTGGTGATAGAACTCATCCTTGATTGCATCCGGGCTGCAATCTATCGGGGCATAGGCGGAGATGACCAAAAGACATCGTTTCTCACGCCGATTTCTTCTCACTTTGATGGAACTTTCTAATCTAACAGCCCGTAAACGACTGTTAATGGGGATCTAATCGATTAGTGGTGCCTCAGCTCTAGCGCTTAGTGTGACACCAACGCCAGCAAGACCAGACGAAGATGCCACAGGGGCCCCGGATAAACGCACGTAAAACAAGCTTTTTGAAGTGACAGATGCAGAGCGAACTTGTAGTACTTCACTAGAGTCTTGAATACGGGTCTCGGATAGACAACACACATCAATATTAAGACTTTCCGAAGACATAACCAGCCCTATCTGTTGTCCGACCTGCATAAGTGTGCGAACGTTAAAGGCAGCCAGTTTGAATGGTGCACGTGGTTTCAGCAAAACTGCTTCAGTGCTCGTATTCGGCGGTAACATACAATTTTCAACCAGGCAGTGAATCGAGAGCGTTTAGATAGAGCCAAATGTCCACCATT